TGACTGTGAGAATGTTCTCCTGCGGTTTTGTAAAATCCCATCTAGACCCACAAAATAGAAAATCAAATCATTTTCTCCACTAGCTTTGCAGCGGTATGTTACATTTCCTCTTCTGAAGGAGGGAAATACTCAAGGGGGTGATTACAAATCTTAGTATTTAACAAAATATTCTTTAGATGACTCTCTCATCACTGTTTAACATTTATGATAGGAATTAAATCCAGACAGTTGACTCAAGTTCAATTTCTCGAGTACATTATAAATCCAACTCATTTTGATGAAATGGGGCCTTTGTCACAAATATGGCCTTTGTGTACATCAAACCCACGTAAAAAGGGAATATGTTCCAAGAGTCTTTTCAATATGGAATCCAAGGAAATTAAGCACTAACAAAGAAACTACTTGCTTTTCCTTCAGACTTTTAAAAAAATAGTTCTTTAAAATCTTCTAAAGAACTATTAACATGTGAAGTCCAGGCATTATAAAATATCCTGTCCTGACTCATTAGGTTTACATTGAAAAGAGTTAGTACTAATATCAGCTAAAATTGAAATTTTATATAGAAATTCTTTATATGAATGAATCCTCACAACGATTCCATGGAGTCAAATATTATTTTTTCCACTTCACAGATGAGAATATTAAGTAACTGGCTCAATGTCATATGGTAAGCGTTCAAACTCAGGTCTGGCCAGCAGTCCAGGTCTAGAATATTCACCACGAGGCCATCCTGCTTCTCATAACCTCAGAAATTTTGCAAAATTCATATGGAGAAGGATTTTTTTTTCATCTTGTACAGATTAGAAAGAAAGTCTGTGGTTTTAGCAAGGGCGTGGAGATACACAGAGCAGCAACCTGGGGGAAAACAAGCAATTTAAATTAAATTTTCTTGGAATTTAAAAACAAATACCCTCTGTACCACAGAGGGATCCCTAGCTTCCAGGTGCTGTAAATGATATATTTCCTTCTCCTTTATTTCTTGTTTCTTGTTTATTTCTTGTTTCTCTGACTTTTTATATAATCATATAAAGAACTGAAAATGCACACTGGCTGGTGTGGCTCAGTGGATTGAGCGCCGGCCTGTGAATCAAAAGGTCTCCAGGTCGATTCCCGGTCAGGGCACATGCCTGGGTTGTGGGCCAGGTCCCCAGTAGGGGGCGCCTGAGAGGCAACCACACATTGATGTTTACCTCTTCCTCCCTTCCCCTCTCTAAGAATAAGTAAATAAAATCTTTTTTAAAAAGAATTGAAAATGAAAACAACTTTTAAAGTTTCTGTTGGGAGTGCTTGACAGAAAGCTGGCGGTCTTGGGCATAACTGAGCCTCAGAGCTAGAAAAGAGGTTGCTTTTTTTTCTTCTGTCTTTTTCAGTTCTTTCTCTCACTTCTTAGGCTTATCACCCCTGTCTTGCCTGTTCTTCCTAGTTTCTCTGAGGATCTCCAGGATATCTAGGGTCAAGGATGAGAATCCAACTCAAAGAGTCAAAGATCCTCCTTGGGAAAAGCCAGAATACACTAGAAACATTAGAAAATAAGTCTTCTGCTCAAGGAGGAGATGTTTAACCTTTTTGTTCTTTGTTAAGCTCTCCCTCCTTCCAGGCACCGACTCCAGGAGAGAGAATCGAAGTGACAGTGCTAGCTTTGGGCTGTGAGTACTTACCTATCAATACAGGGAGACAAAGTTTTAAAAGAAAGAAGAACGTGCAGTGAGGAATTGCCCACCACCCCTACAGCACACCTAGCTCACTGACCCCCTCAGGCCCTCGAAGGAGCCGGAAGCACTGATGGGACGGCATCATACACCTTTATTCCAGCTTCCTCCTTCCATGCCAAGAGTAGGCTTTGCTCATTCAAGATCAGAGGAATGAAGTCACAGTAACTGTAAGTCATTTAAGTGCTTAGAGTGATGAAGAAAGTATCTCTGCTTCCTGAGTCTCTCGCCACTCAAGCCTGGGTTGTTTCCTGGAAGTGGCTTCCCAGGCGTTTCAGCAGTTAAGTCTCATCATGCAAGGGGTTTGTGCTGTCTGTCCTGTGCCACAGGTGTTATTATCATTGTTACTTTCTGATTGCAGGTTTGCCTTGTAGCATGGCCCAGGGAAGAGCAGGAATGATCCAAAGTGTTTGTCCTTAGTACTCTGAACAACTGTCTTCTCCTCCTGCCCGACCACAGAGAGCTGGACATTCCTGCCCTTCAGTGAAGGTGCTCCATGTCCTCAATCTGTCCCTACAGCCATGGAAGGTGGTCCTGGACTCCTACTTGACAACCCTGCTAAATAATGATCTAATTGTTTTAAATTTTTACTTTTCTTAAGCCCTGAGATATTCGACTAAACAGATCAGAGCCACCTCAATAACTGTTTTCACCCACCTCTCTTCCTGTTTGACTGTTTTCCGGGCCCCAGGGGAAGGGTCATGCCCTTGACACCACCCCATCCTTCCATCCCCTCCAGGTCTACAGAGTGCCTCCTGCAGATACCAAAAGTCTCTCCCCTTCTGGACCCTTCCCCTCCAGAGGGAGAAAAGGACATGGCCATCTTCTTTGAGCATAGTCTGTGGTACATAGTACAGTCATACCTCGATACTTGGTGGCTTCAGAACTCATCAAACCCTGTACTGATCGTAGTTTGACAAAAGAAAATGTTCCAGCACTCTGCGTTTGCTCAGGACTTGTTGCACTTGCTAGAACATGTACGAGTCATGATGCCGCCCCACAAGAGAAAACGCTTTATCACTCATCGCTTGCTCGGTATTCGTCGGTCTCAGCACTTGTCAAGAGTTCCAGAATGAGTACCGAGGTACCACTCTATGTGCTCAATTACTGTTTTATTAAACGAGATATTAGATATTAAAAAATATATATGCATAACCCTTTCCTCAAGCATGGCGGTCACATTACACAGTTCCAGGGGATAGCATTGTATTTTGTTCTTTGTGAATGGCATCCCCTAGAGTTGTGCACTGGAATAGTATTGCCCTCCTATATCTTTTCTAAAACAACTGTCACAGGATTCTCACAATATTTTTTTTAACACAGCCATACAAAGAATGAGTATCCTCTGAAAACCAGTTTTAAAAAGCAAGTTCATTCCCATCTGAGAATTTGTCAAAGTGCGAATTGGACATACTCTGAAATTTTCCCTCTACCTTGAGGGAGAGAGGAAAATAAAATTCACACACAGCTATCTTATCACTTAATTACAGTGCTAAGACCTTTCATCTTATAAAAGAAAACATGTTTGGAGAAACAGCAAAATATTTACAAAAAGTCTGTGTTGGTATATTGGTTTTTGTAAAAAAAAGAGTTCCAAAACCAAATGATCCCAACACTAATCCAATATGTTTGAATTAGGGTTTCTTTGCCAATACTGGACTCCAGGCATAGATAAATCATGTCGATTCCCTGAAACAAATCAATAGAACTGCCATTTTCAGAGCTTCAGGAATCATGAAAGAATCTAGGTGTGTAACCACACAGGATTTTAGTCCAAGCCCTTTGCCAAAATATATAAATACTTCTAGACACTCCTTCCACATGTACAAGAAACCTACATAAATCTTACTTTCAGAGATGGCCTCCTTTAAATACATTCACCTGGCTGTGCTTTGCAGACTGAGTAATTCCATTTGATAGACAGAGACTAAGACTAAACTGAGTTTTTAAGCAAATGAAAGTTTGAGGAGAGGGTGGGTAAGAACATAGAAAAATTTAAGGTCGCACACCTAGCTTTCTATAGAAAAAACAATCTCCTTATTCTTGAGCAGTCTAGATACCCTGAGCTAAAGGCAATTATTTATATAGAAATTCCAGCCAATTTTTTTTTAACCTAATGGATAAGTTATGCCAAAGACACCATTGAATACCAAATGTGTTGCCCTTCTTTGGATTGGATCTCAGTGGCTGCCACTCCATATAATTCAGTCCTGACAGAAACTGGAGCTGCCTACAAGTCTAAGTCAGTGACAGTTCAGGGATGACCATTTTCTCTCTCTCCCTGCTGAAAATTCAGACTGTTTTTGCCTTCCTGTTAAAGCCCCCCCAAAAGAGAGAGAGAGAGAGAGAGAGAGAAATGAAATAAGTATCTGTTTACTTCTCCAGTTTCATTTCCCCACTGCTAAGTATACACACATACACACATACTCACTGCACTCAATCTCCAGCCATGCTGAGCTATATGCAATATTGGAAATGCTCACCTTCTGTTCATCTCTTGTCCTTTGTACGTGCCATTTTCTCTGCTTGCTATAGCTTCCTTTCCTCATGCACCTCACTAGTTTCCATCTCTTGACTGAGACTCAGCCTCCTCTGGGAAGATGTTCCTGACCCTCCAAGTCTGGATTAGTTATCTATTCTTTGTATTCCCATGGGGTTCTATAAATACTCCCATCTTCGCATTATTATAGCTCCTTATTTGGTGATTGCTCCTTCCATTAAGCTACAATATCTTTAAGGATAAGAACCTCAAACCTGGCTCAGTGAGGATTTTGACTAAACAAAGACTAAATATTATCTCATCCCTCTCCTAATCATCCTGGTCATTTCTCTGACTGCCATTCATTTCAACAAGTTAAAAAAAATAAGTGACATACATTAAATAAAAGGAAAGTACTGCAGATGATCATTATATTTAAATGTTGATTCATATTATTTTTGTTTTCCTTTTGTTTTGTGTCTTGAGGATTAGAAAAAAATGGAAAATCTGCTCAATGAATATATGCAACTCAGTGCAAACTGGATTCAGGTTATGGGAACGTTCAGAAAGAAGTGTTCCTAATTGGGGAAAGTTTGATGAAAGCTTCCAGGTTTTGATGAAAGTAATAGAAATAGAAGATGTCAGTGAAGGGAAACAGATGCAAGGTAGATAGACTGTCAATGGGAGGGAAAAGGAGAAAAAAAAAGAACACCTGGTTTGATTGACTTCCTTGTATAGGAACCTGATAGAAGGAAAAGGCGACTCAGTGAGGAATCTACTGTGCTACCAAACAACCTTGGGTGAGTCCTTACCCTCTGGCCTGGAGAGCCATCACGTCCTGGTGAACCAACGCCTCCTGGGATGCCCTAGGTGGAGTGAGAACAAGACATGAGTCAGAGTCACGGAAGTGAGTTACCTTCTCACCCAGCTTCCCTGAAGCCTCCATGATCGAGAATTCAGAACCCACAAGTCAATCATGAGAATGGAGCGTCCTCACCAGGGCTCACCCTGAGACCATCAGTGTGACCCTTAGAAGGGACATAAGATAAATGAATACAGACTAAGCATCTTTAATAGAGAAACGACTTATCGCCAAGATTCCAGCTGTCTGCAGAACTACTGTCTTTTTTTCCCTTCCTAACAAAGTTCTAGGCTATAGCCGACGGCAATAGACCAAAAAACAAAACAAAACAGAACAGAAATAGTACCTGTGGACCAGGTGAGCCAGTCTCTCCTTTCTCTCCTTTCTCTCCTGGCATTCCCTGAATATCCAAAAGTACATGGGGTTAGGTTCACATAGGTCAGTTCTTAGACTTTTCTTTTTCTCCATGGACTGTTCTAATATTTTCAATATGAAATTGCTTTCATGCTAACATCCAAATACAGCATATTTCACTTCTCACATATGTTGTACTACTAATGTAAACACTTCCAGTAAACTGAACTTTATATATTATAATAGTTTAAACACAGAACATACAGTCTGATATGGCTAAGCCCATATAGTAAATATGTGGAGGGGAGTCTTGAACATTTCAATATTGTTTATAGTTTAGAGTTAAAAACCATTACCCATATAGATTTTTGTTTTGCTTTGTCTAGAAATGTATAATAATGGAAAAGCAAACACAGAAACTGGCAGGTAGCAAGACCTCAACAAATGCTTATGATTAGGACTAGTAATTGTGCATATTGGCATGTTAATGCTTTCTAAAGTGTGAAAATAACTCTGGAAAAGAAAACTTAGCTAGGCAGACATCATATGAACACAACTGCTAACAGGGTCCATTTGCTTCAACTTACATTAATTGCATTAATTACAGAGACTGGTTTTATTCTATAAATCTAGATCTCTAGAGTAAAGTTAATGAAAATCAGAGAGTATAATTAAATTTGTTGTCAGTGGTCCAAACAGCTTTTAAAAAGGAATGAGGCTGTAAAAAAAGTACACTGCTGGTAATCGTAAAACGCATACTTAGTGTACAGCACTCTGATATGCTCATTGAGGTAAAGATGGTAAATAAAAGGCTGTCATGAATCTACGTCCACAATCACTACAAATACACCATGAATAACTTAAATTTGTATGACATTTGTTGATGGTAAGGACTTAGTCAAACACTATCCTGTAGATCAATTGCTCATGGATAGGCTTACTCCCTAGCTTTGTATGTGTCTGTAAAAGATTCTGCTATTGAACTACAACAACAACAACAAAAAAACGGCTAGTGAATGAACCCTCAAATCATTACTTTTCTGTCTCAATTCTTACTTGTCGTTAACAGGGACTCGGGCTCATTATTAAGGCACAGAAGACAAAAGTTCATTCTTCATAACTCACAGAGCAATAATAATGATAAAAACCTATCTGAATGTTTACACACAACTCACAGGCATTCCTTGAATAGACAGACCACTTGGTCCTTGTGGTCCAGGGGGACCCTGAGGTCCTGGAGGGCCAGTTTCACCCCGAGGGCCATCTGGTCCCTGTAAGGCAAGAGAGGAAAGTCATCCGAGAGCTAAGTTAGACCCTCTGGCACCTAGAAGATATTTCTGCTTAGTGTACTTATAATGTATTTCCTTAAATAATTTTTCCTAAGATGTGAAATATGCATGGGATACCAAGACACCAAACCTCAGATGATTCACCTCCCAGGCAAAATGTCATCAGTAAACCAAAAGAGTAAACATGCAAGGGTTGCTGCAACTTTATATTTTTTTGCTTCCATAAATAAGAACTCTATGCCAATTATGTGAGTTCCTGGACCTCCCACACTTGCTCCATAACAAATCCAAAAGATATAAACGCTTCAAGACCACCCTCCTAGCCTGTAAAGATTTATACCATCCGCCCGAACTGCATTCTCTCCACCTTCACTGTTGTCAGTTACCTACCGCAGGACCATTCCTCTGCATTTATTGAAGACTTTGATCTACCCTCTGTTTTCTTTGTCATCAGTATCTTGCCACCATTCCTATGCCTCTTCAGTGGTCATTGAATGACCTTCCCTACCCTCAACCCTTTCTTCTCAGAATCAAACTTTCTTCTTGCTTTAGCAACTCTTAATTTCTATCATTTGGAACTTACTGCGGTTTGGCGAAAACTACACATAGCTGTAATCTTAGACCCAGAAAATCTACTTATCCTCAACCTCAATGCCTCCCCCTTCTCTCATTCTGTGTCTCCAATAAAAGCCAATCTTTTATAAATTAAGACTTCCAGAACCTGGGGATCATCTTAAATGTGAGACTGACATATCCATTACTCGGGACGGGCAATACTGAAGAAAAAGCAAAATGGTGTAAAGTGGGGGTAAATAATAAGTGTCACCGGAGACACTCTAAGTTTTAGGTGTACGGGGAAAACGTGGAAATGTCTGGTTGGGGGTCAACAGAAGTCTTAGCTGAGGTGGACTTTGGAGTAGTTGAAGATGGGTTTGTGGGTGAAATGATTAAGGAGATTGTTGATCGAATGAAAGAGGAAATGGATAAAGATTAGATGACAATCAGGTAGAAGAGAGAAGAGAAGCCTGGGAAAGAATCTGAAATGAAAAATCTAGACATTAGGACAGAAATGAAAGCGGAGAGGTGGAGAGGTATGGGAAAGGCCAAAAGAAGAGGAAATTTCAAACAGAGAGGTAACAGTCATGTCCAATGCTGCGGAGATCTCAAGCAAAGTAAGAATTAACCACAGGCCATGGATGTGGTACAGAGATAATTGGTGACTGATGAGAACTACTTTATAGGCCTCCTAGAGGAACAGGAATTGTCTGTGGGTTAAGAACGATTTGGGTTGTATGTAAATGAAATTTTACACTATGTGCTCCCATGTTTTTTCCTTCTTTCACATGACAGAGTATTTTGAGGTTCATTCATAGGGTGGTATGTTTCAGTAGTATGTTCTTTTTGATTGCAGATTTCATTAGTATTTCATTACATGGATAGACAGAAAATTGTTCATTACCTGTTGAGAGACATTTGGATTGTTTCTAGTTTTTTTGCAACTGTGGATAAAAGTAATGTGAATATTTATGTACCACCCAAAAAAGAATTATGTTTGAGGTGAGGATGGAGAAGCACTGACTAAAAACTACTATAAGAAACATTGAGTAAGAGAAGGTGAGAGAGAGGTAGCTAGATTTTTAAAAATGTGACAGAGGAGACATGGAGGTGATTTACAAATATTACTTAATATTTATAGTAGTGTAATAATATATTGTTTGTATATTATTAAGGAATTGGGAATGGAGTAGAAGGGCAGAAAGTAGGTGGTCCATCTTGTTCTATAAAGTCAAAGATAAAAATGACTAGGAAAAACAAGACACAGGGCTGCTCTGGGCTTCTAAATTATTATTAACTATTCACTGCAACTGAAATACAAAGCCAAAAAATAAAAAAATAACATGGACTGGGGCTTTCCTGTTTGAAAGCATAGTTTATCTGTCCCTACACTGTCTACCTTGGTGGACATATGAGCATCCTTTCTCCAACAAGACTTTTTTCTAAAACAACTGCATACTTGCATCTTGTGTTTCCTCAAAATCATCATATGGAAATAACCGCATTGGTAGTGGGCTTCTGGGAATGGAATATTAGAGGAAAGGGGTAAATCCTGAGATCATCAAACACCTATGAATTCCTAATATGTCTCCATGATCAGAATCATCACCCAGTGAGAATGTTAAACCAAAGAGTCCTGGTGTTAGCGGGGCTGGGAGGAGGGATCCAGGACCTACAGGAACTCATCGGCATTGCCCGGGGCTTAAACCAAGGACGACCCCGTATATCACTGTCTGAGAAGAAGCTGTCAAACGCTGGGCCCTCTCGCAGCATGCAAGAGATGAAGCCAAGTAAGGTACATCATGTCTGTGCCTGAATTATGTGTCACAATCTCAGAAAATGAAACAAAAATGGAGATATTTTCTGGTCTGAGTTTTGAGTTGGCTAGTACCGGATTAATAATCTTCAGCTTCCTTTTATTTACTACTCTCTCCCCATATTCTCTCCTACCTTGCTTCATTTGTTTCCAATTTTACAGTAGAAAACCTTGCAGTGTTCTCTTCTCCAAGAATAAATACTATACAGATTTAATAAGGAACCATATTTAGACAGTAAGTCAAGCAAGATGGATGGAGATCAGATCATGTGGATTAATATGGTGGAAATGAGACAGGGAGTCAGATTATAAAAGGCCTTGAATCCCATGCCAAGGAGGGTAAATTGTATTCTCAAGGCAAACAGTATATGATGACAGGTTTTAAGAGTGTGATATGACCTAGTATAACTTTTGAGGAATGAATCTGGGGGAAGATGTGAAAAATCAATCAGAAAATCAAGCCACTAGAGCCAGGAGACTGGTTAAAATATTCACCGAAAGTCAGAGAGAAGGTGGTGGAGCCTGAACTCAGTTAGTGGCTGGGCTTCTGCCATCCCTCAGGGTTGCTTTTGCGCAAAGTAGAAAAACATGCGCCTTGACATAGCTTTGCACGGCTTGGTCCCCTTGGTTGGCGCCTTTGTACAGTCCCCAACCTGAACCACCGCACTCGGTGGCCTTGGGCAGCACAAACAGAAAGTAGAGTTGTGTATTGATTATGCATAGTGGGAGGAAAGGAGGAAGGATTTACAATCTGAGAAATTACCTGGGAGGGACTGCTGCTTGTTTGTGATTCAGGGCTCCCCCAATAAAGACAGAAAGAAAAGAGTGTACAAGAGCGATGACTATACCACTCAGAACACTGACACTCTTTCTGACCCGGAAACCTTTTCACTAAGTTATTAAATATTCTTGTTAATAAAAAATACATGTCTAAGAATAAGGAGAAAGAACTAAACACAACTTTGACAAAAATGTAAGGACTTTTGGATTGCAAGGAGTCAGTCGTACTGAGCTCCGAAATCACGATGGTTAGTTATGAGAGAGAGAGAGGGGAGGGAGGTATTGTGATACTGAGGTTGAGGACGTTACCTTTGGACCCTGTTCACCTCGTTGGCCCTTTGGTCCTCTGAGTCCTGGACCACCCTGGCAAACAGATGTTAAGTATTAGCATACAGACACATCTTAAAGCCATTTATTTTATCCATTGTCCTTAATAACGCAGATTATATAACTCATTTTGTGTCAAAGCCAACACTTTGTGTAACGATATAGGTTCTTCATAAACCATAGCTGGAAATTTGCCACCCAGACCCAGCCTCTCTGCCAAGGATTTCATAATCTGAGCAAAGATTCTATGCCAAATATTTTTAAATTTTAAAAAATTATGGGATTTTTGAAATTTAGTGATATTAAGATTACTACTACCAATGGATGCAAACAATAAAATATACTACTAATCTAAAATGGTATGTCTTATACCACACCTTTGAGATTAAATTATTTAATTAAATTGTAAAAAACATATGAGAATAATAGCAACTCAATTTTCTTTCCTTATGGGGTAAAAAGCTAACTCGTTTAGTTTTTCTGTAACTTCAGTTATTTGCATTTCCCCTGCAGGGGTGTCCAACCTTTTGGCCTCTCTGGGCCGCACTGGAAGAAGAATTGTCTTGGGCCACACATTAAATACATTGCGACACATAATCACAAAAATATCTCATCATGTTTTAAGTAAATTTACAATTTTATGTTGAGCTGCATCCACAGCCATCCTGGGCTTGCATGTGGCCCACTGGCCGCAGGTTGGACACCCCTGGCCGGTTTTTGCCAGATTTATGCACCACATGCACAATTATTTAGTAGCATTTTTCTTTATATAGATACATATACACACTTAATAAATATATATGGATGTGTATTATTTGCAAACATATTCCTTGTATACAAGCATGTAAATGCATGCGTGCATATATAACCTTTGAATATTTTTAACTGCCTCACTATTTCACTTAAATCAGTTTTAAAAAGCAAATATTATAGCATTATAGTGGAAAAAAATATTACTTGCTAAGAATAGAAGGTAACCTTAAAGATATACTATAAGCAATGTTATTCAGTTTAGCTAAATTTTGTTCCTATTGTAGCTTTTGAGTCACAGTTTTGCTCCTTGTTAAAAAGGGATAATAAGTATTAGCATGGCCATAAGGGCACCAGACTGAGAATATTACCTTCACCTGAGCAGAAGGATTAAAAGACTATTGGAAATGCATTATCTTTCTCACTATGTGATTCCACTTTATTTCCTGCTCTGTCCACGACTACTGAAAATCTCATGGCTGCCATCGACTTGCACCAATTAGAAAAAGACGAGATCACATGATCTTTAAGGTTTCTTCCAGCTTGTTTTTTAACCACTTTAATTCATTCTCCTCCCCAATATCAGTTCATTCCTTATCTTTGAGACTTTTTAAATACAATTATAGAATTCATTTTATGCACAGGTGTATATGTATTTTTAAAAATCCTTACCTATAGTATTTTTGGTATTATTTGAGATATATATATAGATACATATATATATATCTATATATATATATGTAGAGAGAGAGAGAGAGAGAGAGATTGCATATGTGACATCAAAATTTTTCTATGAGTTTTAACTTAATGTTTTAGAGGGCCTTTTTTCCATAATGTAACATTTGGATCTAACTTATTCTTAATGAGTTACATAGTTGTCCATACCATGGATCCATAATAGTTTAACCCTTGTTCCACAATTGGAAATGCAGCAGGTTCCCCTACAATTTTTTGCTGTTTAAACAATAATGCAATCAACATCCTTAAAACCTCTTAAATATGAACGTTAATATTTAAGTAAAATGTTAACATTTAAGGCAGCAACAAGTAGAACTATAAATTAAATTTAATGAATATGCACATACATTCTCAAATTGTGCTCCACAAAAGCTACGCAATCTGCCAAGAGTTTAAGAGGGTCCTTTCTTCTCTAACTCTTAGTATTTGATATTGCAAAATTTACATTTTTACCCACCTGACTAGTAAAAGTAATACTTTATTCTTATTAAATTTTTATTTCCCTTAAAGCTACCACAATTGAGCATATTTCCATAATGTTTGTCTATTTGTATTTTATCTCAGTGCAACTACCTATTTATATACTTAGTTTTCTGTTGTGTTGCATGTATTTTACTCTTTAATGTGCAGAAATTCTTCATATATTTGGATAGTACATCTTCAACCATTATAGATGATGCAAATATTTTCCCCGCTGTGTGCCATATATTGTTCGCTGGCTCCATAGAGTCTTTCCTGACTCCTTTCCATTTTATTTCTCCTTCTATAAAGGCTGCAAAAGACAGCAATTTGTCTTCCAAGTCTCCTCTGTAACTAGGGATGGGCATGTTAGCTAGCTTGAGCCTCTCTGATCAAGAAGCAACAAGTCAAAGAAAAGCCAGGTGGGAAGCTGGAACAATTTGGGTCCTTAATGAAGTTGGGACCTCTGAATCTTTTGCTGAGCAAACAAGGAATGTCCAAATGCCTTAATGGGTTACACCACTGTGTTCGTTAAATTTTCTGTTTCTTGCAGCAAGCCCAACACATCCCAAGTAATATATGTAGTCTGGCCAACTCTTTAATTTTGTTTGCACATTTTAAATGATTGTGACCAGATGACTCATAGATATTCATGCCAGAGGCACCATGTCTAAAAGCCAGGGACCATTTTACATTTCTAACTTATTTTCCATCTTATCCCTGACCCTCATCCCTGAGGACATGACAAGAATTCAACAAATATTTGCGGATGTAAAACTCCATCTTTTAATAAGAAAGGATGAGTCAAGGCAAAGAGAATGTGGTCCTCTCTCCCATGTCTGTCTATAGCTCTTCACACTTGTATTGGCACATGGTACTTCTGTGTAAATTCTTGAATGAAAAGATAATCACAACTATGTTAATCATTGGACAGGGTGTATTACATTTTATTTGGGATACTATTTCTTAAATAGTTTATTATGCCTTAAATATTTAAAAATTTCCATAGCTTTTCTCCATTTTACTTTTTTTTCCTCAACAAGTCAGAGCTTAACCCTTGTCTTTCATTTCTCTGCTGCTTTCCTCTCCTTAAAAAGTTTGACTCTCAGGTCATATGGAAGTAAATATTTTATAACATATTCCAGTGGTATTGCAAATGAAAAAACTTGAAAAACCTCCAGCTAAAAAGTTTATTAATGCTGTTTAAAATAAAATAAACATGACTGTAATTAAGAACTGAACCCTTAAGTACCAGGAATGACGAAGAAACAATACCCGGAGCAGCCAGCCTGTGCCCTGAGACTGCCCTGGGGGGAGGAGGGAAGATGGTGGAGGTTCACTGCAAAACTTGTATTTTAGAGCCCACACAAGGCAATGAAATGCGAACTTGCGTCTATGATAGCAGGGGGAGGGTAGGATATGAAACATTCATTAAAGTTGAAGAACTTGAAAGGCTGCACTCTGAACCAGCTAGAAAAAAAATGGCCCACTAGCAGGTGGATGATGAAAATGTTGTTTTCACTTGAGCTGTGGGAGAAATAGGAACTGTCTTCCCTAAGAATTATTACCCAGTAGCTGATTCTTATACAATCTAGAGACTAGAATTCACACTGCTTGTGAGAATCGAACAAAACTGCAAAGTTAAACCTAAGGTGGTTTTCAGTTGGTTGTATCCTTGGGATCTTAGCAAAGGTACAGATATTCTCTGGAAGAATAGCATTCAAACTCAGGCTCAAAATAGTCCCCGAGATAAAGTTTCAAGTAATATGAACTCAAGTGTACACACAAAAAACAATCACAAAATACACATGGAAACAAGATAGAATGAGTAAAATCATCAGGAAAACAAATGGAAGAATCAGAACCACATACACTGCAGAGATATTGAAATTATCAAGTTACCCAGTAAGTAACATAAACCAGATTTAATATAATAAAGAAAAAAAGCTTTGAAGGGGTTACAAAAGAAGAAACTATACACATTACCAAAAGTTTTAAAAAGGAACCAAATGTAACCTCTAGATATGCTAAAGATAATAATCAAAATCATAAACACAATGGATAGGTTAAATGGCATATTAAAGATAGCTAAAAACTGAATACATCAGAATATAAATTTAAAGAAATTATGCATAATGAAGCTGGAGACAGAGAGTAGAAAAAAAAATGAGAGGTTAAAAGACATGAGAGTAAAATTATAAAGTACATCTAGTTGAAATTTCAGAAAAATGCAAGAGATGATAAGAGAGAGAGGCAGTATTCAAAGAGGTAGAGACTAAGAAAACTCCAAATTTAATGAGAACATTGGTATTGAAATTCACAAAGTCCCAAATTTTCCAAAATGGAAAAACGACATCAAAAATCCACATCAAAATATACTATAATGAGACTTCAGATCAAAAAAGGGTCTTGAAAGCAACCAGAGAGAAAAGGTTTCTCACAGAATGATAATTAATTTGACTGGCAGCTGACTTTGCAATAGCAACAATGGAAGCTATAAAATGGTATTAAAGCATCTATGAAGTGCTCAGAGAAAATAATTGTTAATCTAGAATTGTACTTCAAGTTCATTAGTTTGAAAACTTGCTTGAAGATTTTAATTGAGGTCAATGTTTAGATTTTTAAGCAAAACAGGAAGTTCATTACTGCATTATATTCAAATCTGAGTTGATGACTGGTTCAGTGTAACAGAGCAAGCGGCTTTACCCAATAAGGCAGTGCGAAACTTGGGTTGCTTCCACCCTGTTGCTCTGCTATGTCCTAGAATGTTGCTTGTCAAAAAGTGAGCTCACTACCACGTGCAAGTTCTAACCTGTTGAGAAGGGTGAGGTTGGTTAAGAAGAGCATTTGGTTCTCATTTAGGAACAACATCCAGGGTAACTGCATATACCTTCTGTCTCACTGGCCAGAACTTAGTCCCAAGGTCATAGATGCTAAGAAGTCAAGCCCCTAGCAGGATGGCCATGTGCTTGGCCAAGACTCCGGGTTCTACTATTGAAAAGAGGCAGTGGCAGTGAATATGGGGAGGGGGCAGTTAGCAATCTTTGTAACCGCCACCAGAACTATCCTTTGATGACATGAGAAATAAAAACATTTTTATATGAACAAAAACAGAAAATTTACTACCAATGGTCTCTCATTAAAGAAACATCCAAAGGGGATATTTTGGGAAAAATAATAATGCTACCAGAAGACACTGTGAACAAAGAAAGAAAGCAAATATGCAGGCAAGTCTTAACACCCAATAATTTATAACAAGAAATAAAATGTCTAATTTGTGATGATAAAAAATTCCTGAAATACTCGGTAGCATCAGCACGTTAATTATAAAAAGAATAATTCAAGAGAAAAGGATTCTAAGAATATCATATTAGTCGAAAGAAGGGTAGAAATCTTGATTCTTTTTACTTCATCAAGTTAAACATGTCCATTAAAATTTCTAGGTGAACTATTATAAGAATATATAGAGAGAGTATGATTTCCAAATTAGTTGAGAGGAAAAGAATGGGAATAAAAGAAAAGCAAACAGGCAAAAATTGCAAATAAATAAAACCTCAATCAACCAAGAAAGCCACACACACACACACACACACACACACACACACACACACACTGGACAAATAGAAGGCAAAAATCAAAGTGATGGATACAGGAGTATAAGCCCAAATAGGTTAATTATCAGAAACAATAAATTGGACTCAACTCTAAAAAAAAGTAATAAAACAAGATTAAAAACAAAATCTAGGCATATGCTCTTTAAAGATACACATACAAAATATAAATACATGGAAAGGTTAAAACTAAAAGTATGAAGAATATATATATTGGAAAAATAATGTGAATGAAATGTTGACATAGCAAGTTCCTGGGAACACAATTTTTCTAATTATTCTGCATATGATAATGCAATCTCAGGATATATAATGCACAATTACAAACAGAATTTAACCATTAGAGTGGAAGATTTTAAATATCTACCTCATAATTGAAAGATGAAGAATTAGTACAGATGAAGATCCTAAAAATGCAATTTACTATTTCATTTACAGGATTTTAGATTGAAAATGCTGAACTTCTGGGGGGGCAAAGGGGAAAAAATTGGGACAACTGTAATAGCATAATCAATGAAATATAATTAAAAAAATAAAACAAAATAAAATGCTGAACTTCACAATTAGAGAGCACTCATTCTTCTAAAGCCTACATGGAAAATCTGTAAAATTTGCCCAAAGGCCACAAAGCAAATACCAAAGAATCAACAAATGTCAAAGAACTGGTACCATACAAACTATCTTCCATGATAAACTACAAGAAAATTAATATCAATAAGAAAAAGATAAAAATTGCACACATAATTGAAAATTTGAAAAGATACTTCTAAATTAATCATGGCTAAAAGAAAGGATAAATAAAAATATAAAAGGTGATAACTCACAGAAATATTAAATTTGAATACATTAGAATTACAGTTTCTAGACAATATAAATTCCTGTACACAACAACAGACAATCCACAAACCAGGAAAAGATATTTGCAAACCATATTGTTAATAAAGGGTTAAGTTCAGCCCTGGCTGGTGTGGCTCAGTGGATTGAGCCCCAGCCTGTGAACCAAAGTGTTACCGGTTCGATTCCTAGTCAGGGCACATGCCTGGGTTGCAGGCCAGATCCCCAGTAGGGGGCGCGAGAGAGGCCACCACACATTGATTTTTCTCTCCCTCTCACTATCCGTCTCACTAGCAGGGAGGGATAGTCCTATTTAAAATAACAATGACATGGGGTTTTCCAGTCATCAAATAAACAAAGGCTGAAGACTGCTATTTGGCAACATCAGAGGGTTTCAGTGGGATGCATGGGAAATAGCTCCCACACAGAGTTTGGGGAAGAGGACATTGGGACAATCACCCTGAGGAGCATTTTGGGGTTTCTTCATGAAGTTGAAGGTGCATCTTCCTTATTTTCCAAAAAATCTAAGTGTTATTGCAAGAGCACTCATTCTTGTTTGCAAAGAGACATACAAAGAATGCTCACTGTAATAATATTGTTGAAGGGAAATACTCCACAGTAATGGGTCAATGAACATAGTTTATATAATGGAATACCTTATAGCCGGTAAAACAAATAAACTAAACAATGTGCTTTGGCCTTGATAAAGTTCAAAGATACGCTTTTGAGGTTAAAAAAAAATGATCTGCACACAGCTGAAAATAAATCTTGGTTTTCAATTCCCAGATTAAATTCAAGTTTTACATTTGATTAAAGTTTTATAAGGTTCAGAATTTTTATATACATAAAAATACTATCTTGTATATTCGTCACAATACCAGTTAAAGAAGTGGGCGTTATTTTATATGTAAGGAAATGGAAGTTCACAGTGGTTCAATCTTATGATTTAAATTTAATGCTTTTACTATTACCCCACATATATTTCTTTGGGATAAACAGTCTTTTTTTTTCCTTAAGTATTTGAGTTCTACATCCATAGCTTGAAAGAATGTTTTATGCGCCAAAGATAAAGGAAAACTGCTGGGATATATTTCAGATGCATTCGGCAGGTTCTGCAGTACAGGAAATGCGGTCTACAGATAAAGGAAATGATGTTGTTGGTGGTGCCAAGACGCAGTGAGTTTCCTGCTGCAAGCTGGCTATTGGTGTGGGTTGTCTACTGCCGCCTGGCCAGCCGCCTCTGAGAGGTCAGCGAACAAAGACCAGTCAGGCATGGAATATTCCTCCTGCGGGGCCTGGGTTTCTGTATTTGCTGGTGCACCTTCTCCCTGTTTCCTTTGTCTTCTGTCCTGATAGGTTTGTCATTGTCTAACCCCAGTTAGCAGGTTTGACATAAAATGAACATTTGAACATATTAGAAAAGATTTATCATGGTAAATTCAAAGACCTACATAGTGCAATTTTATATTTTACAAAATATGTTTTTTTTACCTTCTTCCCTTTCTCCCTCCTTTTTTTTCTTTTCTGCTTTTCCTCCTCCTTCCCTACCAGTTCCCTCTCTTTTTGTCTGCATAAAGTTCCAATCAGTAGTGGAGAACTTCATGCTCAGATGAGATAATTTTTCTGAAAATTCCAAAACCCTCCCTTCACATGTAAGTTTTGATACAGAATGCACAAAAGAGGGTATGCAAATATTACAGGTACATGCAGCAGGCCATTATTTGGAACAGTCACACTGAGAATAAACCACAGGAGTGTAAAGGGAAGATTTTGCCTATAGAGCAACACGAGAGGTTACCTTGCATCGTGGTTAAGACCATCACCTGGATTTGAAGAGCCACTCCCCAAAGCTGTGTCCTTTAGGCAAGTTATTCAACATCTCTGCGCTCTACTTTGCTCATAGGATTAAGTGAGTGTTTAGCACAGTAGAGAGCACACATTAGACACACAAGAAGTGATAGCTATAAAATATTATTGAAGAACATTTAAGCCCAGCTGGGCGAGACTCACTGGTGGGCCTGCGGGTCCCAGAGCGCTTTTGCTGGTTTCAGAACAGGAGCAGGAGTGTGGAAGGTCTGGGCAGGTTTCCTCATCCCTCTGAGAGGAAAAAAAAATAGCATAACTGTTAACAAGATATTCGGTACAAGCTGTTTTATGAACTCTAAGAAAAAATGTTGATTTAGGACACTTTAAAGTGAGCATTAGTCTAGAAAGCCGGAGAGTGTTCTCTCCTGACCACAAAAATCTTGTTTAAAGAAAAATGAATGGATGTCAGTGAGCCAGTGATAATCACCGTTAGTAAAGGATGCTGTTAAAACTGGCTTGGGAATCCAGGAGAAGGAAGAATGGCAGAAGTGAGTGTAAAAAAACCCCCACAAGACCTACTGACTAGTTAATTCAGTTGGAGCAGTAGTACTCTGTGAACTAAAGGTCTTGTAAACTTTCTCTGTGTTACAATGTTTTTTCCATTTCAAAGAAAAAAAATTTGTTGAAATAGTCAACCAAACAACTGCATCTATACTAAAACAAACAAACAAAACAAAATTAAAACCACGCTTAAACACATCATCAATTCCCTGTAATAATTTTAACTACGGCTCACATTCTGTAACTGTAAAAAAAAAATCACAGCATCAAACTAAAGCTTTGAGATAGGAGGTCACATTTCTTCTCTTGGAGACTTTTGTTGCCATGTAACATTACAAGGAACATTAAGAATGTCCGACTGAATATATCTGATGAGTTCCTGGAGAGTAGAGAAGGCAGAGCACCTGCGAACAACGATTGAATAATTTGTGAATATCCATTTGGAATAGCAGCCAAAAAAAAGTCTACCATAGGATAAGAAACCATACAACTTCATCAGTCCCTTAGGAGAGAGAAAATGAATTTTGCTATTTAAGACATTGGGGAAAAGAGCTGAATAGAGCACAGATGATAATTAAATAAACAATCTGAAAATAAGCTGTGCCTCTGAAATAGTCACAATAGAATCCCAAAAATGTGGAGCAAAGGACCAGTATTTCCTGCACATACTTTCCCCTAAATGTTGGGCAATAATCAAAGCTTTCAGCTGGTTCCAGTAAGACCCCTGCTAACACATCTGCACAGCTAGGGTGTAATACAAACTTGAGGATCCTGAAAGATTCCCCAAATAAAGGTAACAGAAGCTTCCCTGTGACCACAGATGCAGTAACGGTTTTGCCATTGCTGTTGACTGTCTCCATCCATGTCTTCCTAACATGAAATGAGAGAAAAGTTCTGAGAAGGCCTGGGTCCTTCCTAGGAGAAGTGGGGATCACAATTTGCTTGAAACACCTTAGGATTCCGAGTACTTCCCCTTCCAGTTTCCAATCCGCCTGCATGTAAGCATGACATCAGTGTCTCCGATTTAATTCTGCCCCAGAGTCTACTTGTGAACTTATTTTGATGAGGAGCGAGTAAGTTCTTTCCTTCTCAAACACAGTCACCATGATTTTACTGCCTGTGATAGATGATGTGCTATGTTGTAAGATCTTAAAAAGGCGAACCTCTGAGACTTTATAACAGCTTCTCCATGAGCACACTCCACATTCAATTATTAACCCATGACTACCATTCAGCCATGACAGGGTCATCCATTTCAGCTCACTGACCCTAAGGATCTTAAGATATGAATCTGTGTGTGTGTGTGTGTGTGTGTGTGTGTGTGTGTGTGTGTAAAGTTAATATGGAAGAAAAGAGTGAACATGGAGACGTCCAATCAGATTCCAAGATACGAGAAATTGTACACTCCCAATAGGCACACACACCTTACCAAGTAATTGTGGTTATTTAAGAATAAAATAAATAAATTTTTCCTTTAATTTTCATATGGCCACTGAGATATTAGGACTCAAACACTTAGGAAGATGTTTGGGCTTCATTACTTTAGAAATGTAATTGTTAGGTATTTTTTTTGGCTTAGGGATGCCATAAGACATCCCAACACTAAAGGTTTCATGAACCAGGGAACCTGGGAACATCTGGACTACGTACGCGGCAACTCCGGAGCCGTGCGGTCCTACCATGTATGTCACTGTGTCCTGCTGATATCAGACACACCTCCTTCTTAGAGTCTTTCTAATTTTCATTATCATCACAATGAATTATCTCTGATATGAGTTTTGCAAAATTGTGTTTCATTTTCCGAGAAAATATAATATAATTTTAGGAAATTTCAATAAAGAACAGACCAAATAATGAATGAAGATTTCTTACCAGGCCTGGTAATTCACAGCATTTGTCTTTACTGGCCCACGATGTGGAGCAAACAATGTCAAACATCTGTAACTGGAACTGCAATTTAAAGTGAAAACTGACATTCAATAAAAGATAGACAGACACTTTGTATTTAATAACTATAATGATTTCATACTATATATCAATAATAGAACACCAATATATTTACAACATGACCTTACTGAAAATAAACTAAAAAGTCATTTCAACAATATGACATGAATTAGCTCCTCAAAGACACAGTGGTGTAAGATTTTGTTTACAGTTACTCCGTCTACCATCTACATTCCCTTATTGACCACAACTTCTCCTCCCATCTCTACCTAAAGAATCCTAGCGCCTCTGCCGAAGCCTTCCCAGCACTGCCCGTCACAGTTATTCCAAGAGATTCTGTGACCCCACAACACTCTGTGTGTCTCTTTTATAGCCTGTCTCCCACCATACAATACAACTATTTTTATTTTCTCCTCCTTAGACTGTGAGCTCTTCCAAGGACAGAGAAACACTTATTCATCTTTGTGTCCCCCATCACAATATGTAGCAGGTAGTAGGTATTTTATCAAGGCTTGTTGAATTAATCCTGACTTTCATCATTCAGGCATACATACTAGTTTGTTTCCATAATAATTATAACTATTTAATATTCTGGTTAAGAAGAAACTTAGCAATAACAATAACAACAGCAGCGAACATTTAGCGAAAACCTACTATGTGCCAGGCACAATCCTAAGGACTTTGCCTATATCATGTAATCCTCAGACCACCACTATGAGGCATAGTAATAATAATACCAACCCCATTCTATAGATTCATGCCTGGGTTGAAAAAGCTGAAAGCTGAATTCTGGTTGGAATTTGAATGGGCCACCTCATTTTCTTACAGTTCATTTCACAGTGAATAAAATTTTGGTCTAATACCTAAAATGCAGATACCCAAGCCTAACATTAGAGTGCCATTTATCTGGGGACATTTATGAAATGGGACCCATTATGACAGCATTAGATAGAATCAGCTAAATCTGGAAGTCATTCATCCATTTAGAAATTTTCCATTTCTGAACAGAGCCCTCAGTGTAAAAACCTTTTGGTGACTGGGAAGATTTATTTAAAGCAAAGGCCTTTCACTAGCCCCAAGTTGGCACCCAAGCTTTCTTGAAGCTTTTTAAATAAACATTCACCATCTTAATCACCTATAACAGTACAATATCTACATATACACCTTTGGCTAAACTCCTGGCTTTTGAGTTATTGGATGTCTTATGAGCTCATATTATTTATTCCAGGGTTGAATGTCTAATAAGTGCTGAATGAAGCCAATACTATTATTTGAGGAATGTTCGTGGGCTGCCTTCCTTTTCAAGTTAAATGGAGTCAGCAGTCTTTTTCTTTTTTTTTGTATGAGCACAACAAATTGATTCATAATTGTTTTGTGTTCATAATGGTTTAGATTCCTCAGCCTTTACTTAGGGACTTTCTTCCAGGGCACATTTCTGGAGATGGATTTAAAAAACCCTTTGGCTTTTATTCCAAAAGCAATGGTACACATATTTGTACCAATTAAGTAGGAAATGGTACATTGAAAGATCTTTTATTCGAGAGCCTATAAATGCAAGACAATGTGGTTAAACATAAATCATACTTCATGCAACTGGTGCTAAGAGGCAGCCCCTTTTGCTTTTGTAACTTCTTTCCTTTTTAAGTAACTGAACATTATAAAATAAATATATTTTTATATGTATCTGTGCAAGAAATAAAAAAGAGAAAGACACAGAACTTCCCATTTCTACTGTTTATAATCTCTTTCAAGGGAATTCTGAGCCAATCACAAATGCTCAATTTTCATTACTGGACATTTTTGTCTGGGTGTAGCACAAAAGGCAAGTCATTTGGTGTCAAATAGTAGCATGAAAATAAGATTAAAATATTCCTTAGCAGCTGTCACTATAATCTGTGAAAGGCTATTACAATGCATTCCTGCCTCCATTTCCTTTCAGTACCAGATTTTATCCTCTGTCTTTTACTAGCAACACATAACTAAGCTTATAATTGGAAGTCAAGCTGTACCTGAACTTATACTAATATTTAGAAAGCTTGACATTACACAAGAATATTGGGAAAAGATGATGAGGAACCTAACCCATCTTCTGCTCTTGATTTGGTGTTCAGCTTTTATTGACTCCATTTGCAAACTAGGATTTATTAAGCATATGCCATTTGTCAGCTATTCAACATGGTGTTTTCACTTATTCTCAGTTTATTGAATTTAAGGAAAACCATAATAGCACTAATTAAATTAAATGAAAATTAACAGCTGGTGTATTTTCTGGTAGTAATTAAAATATATAGGTGTAGACATTCTTTGGGAGGAGCTTTTGGATCACGTTGACTTTCAAGGCTGTAGTTCAAAAAATGTAAGTCTTCAGACTTGTCAGTCAACAAAGAGGGCTTACGATGACTGGTATAGGCCAGACTTCCTCCTCTCCCATAAGCTCTGTAATAATCAGTCAGACCCAGTAGAAGAGAACTTGGAATGGAAGGCAGGTAACCTTATGCAAGTCAGGTATGGAGAGGTATCCCTTTTCCTCACTTTTGGAAAGGGGAGCCTTCCCTAACTTCTAGTCTCAGTTTCTGCACCTATAAAGTGGACCTTATTTAAGTATCTCTTCCTAGGGATACTGAATGATTAAATAAGATAATCACAGAAAAGTATGCACTACCTAGTCCATAATAGGCAGTTAATAATATTAGCTACTATTATTATTTTAAGGATCGGTGTCCAACCTCTTGGTATCTCTGGGCCACACTGGAAGAAGGGTTGTCTTGGGTCACACATTAAATACACAAACACTAATGAAAAGTGATGAGCAAAAAAAAGTTTTTAAGTAAATTTACAATTTTGTGTTGGGCCGTATTCATAGCCATCCTGGGCTACATGCGGCCCGTGGGCTGTGAGTTCGACACCCCTGGATTAAAAGATATAATTCTTTTGAAAATAGTCATTTTATTGTAATTTAAAAATACCTTGTTTCAATGGGATCCTTCACTAGTCTACTATTGATTCCTACTGTTGATAAAAAGCTTTAACTCAGTAAATAAATTTATTAAAAACTGCATAACAATTTGTATTTGTCTTTAACAGCAGAGAGCTAAGCAAAGGTCAATTGGATAATTATATAAGTGTTTTATTTTAAAAGGTGGACAAAAGACACTAAGAAAGAAGATCCTATGCCAGAAGATCAAAATTCTTCTAGAATCATCTCTGACTGACAGCGTTATAATTTCATTTGGTATCAGAAAAGGTAGAAGACACTTCTTACAAGAAAGAAGATGGGAAAAAAGAACAGCTGTTAAGTTTCCTCCCACATATGTTTTGACAGCTAAGTTAAGCCTGTTTATTAGTCTAGTCCCTCTAGGGATTTTTGCTGCCTATAAAATATTGCACTGCAGAACACAAGCTGTTTTTATTATAAATGTGGATAATTTCAATATAGTAGTACTGTGTCCCTAAATCCATTACTCTCTTCTCTACTCAACTTTGGTTCAAAAAGTATTTTTTATTCAGACACTGAATATTTAGATTTTTTCCATCATCTGGCTTTTTTTAAAATCATTGCTGAATTTGCCCAGGGAATGCTGACCTATAAACTACTAGTCTCAATGATATGATGTTTACTCCCCCTTGAAATCCAAAATTTTCACATGACACATTCCCTTTTGCTAGGTAGTGGAGTACCAATGTACATCAAGGTTTTTCTTCTAGCAATCTGTGATTTTTTCATTGAAAACTGAAGACTGAAGCTCCTCTCTTGCCCTGCATGAAAACGATTAAGTGATAACCCCCAAAAGCAAGTGAGTTTCCAATCATATTCTTGAGATCTAATCTAATATCCATTTCAACATAATCAAATTCTTCAATAAGTGGGCAGACTACAAACCTATTTGGTAATCCTTTGCAGAATTCTGATTCTAACAAAAGCCACAACTTTTTTCCTACTAGTCTTACAAAGAACCCTTTTAATTATTGACTTCTATAAATTCCCTATTGTCTACTCCTGGCTGGGAGTTACCACAGAGGGTGCTCTGTGTAATTGCTTTTCTTTCATGGGTAAAGTTAAAGATTTATTGCCAGTAGGACTGAAACCTACAGGAAATTTTGCTTTCAGAAATAAATTCTTTGATGTTTAATTGGCCATATATTTAGTGTACCACTATTACATAGGGTGTAATTTGAAATAATTGTAATTATAAAACTGTAATTGTAAAACACAAATTAGGAAAGAGTATTATGTAATTACTGGATGGTTGTCAATACCATGCAGGAGTAGAATATGTGCAAAACACTTTAATAAAAGTCAGAATACAATTCAAATAGATGCCATTCTATTTAATTTCTACCAAGTATTTCTTGAGAACTTACTTTGTTCATATAAGATTTATTGGATACTATGATGGAGGATAGAAGAGTATGGTTGTAAATAAAGCCCATGTCATGGTTTCTGTTTTGAGGGATTCATACTCTGGCTAGAAGGGCGAAATATGGATATATGAAAGAAGAAAAAATATGACTACATATGACTACAAATAACCAAGTGTTAAACCAGTAGCAGAACTTTAGAAAAGGTGAGGTGAAGAAGGTATTATTGCCATCCTTCAGTAATGATAGCTGCTCTCCACTGACCATCTATTAAGTGTCAGGGATTTTAAATACATTATTTAGAAAATAAAAATAATAGTTTAGAAAGTGATTTGGGCCTAGAATCTCATATACCTAGAATTGTTTCTCTTTTTTAAATTATAGTTTATTTATTTATCTATCTAAGCATGCACCTATATACGTCCACTTATCCATAGAAGATATCCTTAGTTTGCTAATTCTGGATCTTTATAAATTCTGGAGTGCGCTATCATAAAGTATCTCCCATGAAGCAGAAGATAGTATGTTTCTTCATCAGCATAAAATACCACACAATAAGAGGAGACAACTCCTCAATATCATGTAAACATTCTTAAAAGTCTCTTACTATAACTGAAAACAAGAAGGTCTTCCATAACTTTTATATTCTCTCTTCCTAAACATTGAATCCAAAGTTCTCCAAAGCAAAGTAGAACAAAGAGCACTTTTAAAGATACCTCAGAACTCATGCTAAATGAAATATGTCAGACAGAAAAATTCAAGAACCATACGATTTCACTCAAATGTGGGATATAAAACTGAAAGCAACAAATGAATAAACAAGACAAACAATCAAACAAAACCCCCTTAGACACAGACAACAGTATGGTGGTTACCAGAAGGGAGGGGGATACGGAAGTAGTAAAATGCAAAGGGAGTCAAATATGTGGTGACAAAAGATTTGGCTTTGGGTTGTGGGCACACATTGCAATATACAGATGATGTAATCATAGAATTAATTGTACACTTGAACCTTATGCTTTTATTAAGCAACGTCACCACTATATATACTTAAGTATATATAAGCATCAATGCACCCAAGGATTTCATCTCTCTTGTTACCACAAAGAAAAATGGCATAAAATAGCCAGGAGTCCCAAAGTAAATCCCTTTACCACTCTGGGACTGTTTATGGGTATGTTAAGTAAAAGGGTCATACCAGAGTAGTGCAATTAGAATAGTGCTCCCTTAGAACCCACCGGAGGTGGGACACCTACTACCCTATGTCCTCTCTACCCTCTAGTCAGCATGGATCTGTTTTAACCTTATGTATGTATGTATGTACCTATTTATGTATTTGACAAACTGGAAGATTTCATTTGTACAAAGTGTTCTCCAGCTTAAACAGCTTTTGAGAACCACCAAATCTTCATAAGGTTTCCTATAACTGGCTAGTTCTACTGATCTGCAAAAGTATTGTACAACACAGTAAAAGGAATTCATAATTAATTTTATTTTTCTTTGACATATAAGAGAAATATAGATTAGAATAATTGGGGTTGTTTAAAATAATAAAATATTCTCCAGGATAATTGGTTCTAATTATAAAATGACTCAAATTAGAGAATGTTGCTAATGAGTTATGACTGCATGGTGTTAAAACAAAAGCTGGTGTACACTGTTCTTTTTTTGTGGGTAGTGAGTGAAGGGAACATGATTTCTTTGCCAACTGAAAATCTCCCAGGCTTAAAATTCATGCTGTATGGTAACAAAAAATACTATCTTAGAATGATTTATCACTGAAATAACTATATGATTTAAAGGGTAAACTTTACATTACCAATAGCAAAAATCTAGTTGTAAAATGCCCAAATCTAACCCAAATGAGAGGCTTATGTTAATTTCCTATGTATAATAATTACATATTTTGTATGCATCTATGTTTGCTTATAGAAATGAAGTTCATTTACAGTCTTGATTTTCATTAACAAACCATATAATGAATATTTTACTATTTGAATTGTAAAATACCTTTAGAAAAATAAACTAGCTTAATTTCTGGAGTGTAATAAAGCATTTTACTGCCAAGGGCCTTGACTACACATGTTTTAGTTCATTTATAAAGGCCATTATTCATCTATTTGTCTCTCATCCATCATCCATCCACCTCTTTACCAAACGTTACCCCTGGGTAATAAATAATTATATTTGTAAAAGGTTTTCTTCTGTAACAACAATACTGCCTCACTTGTTTGCTCACTTACCGGGGCGGAGTTTCCGTTTGGTCCTCTTGACCTCACCATTCTTCCTAGGACTTCAACGCCATCCACCGTGATATTAGCTGATTCGTTGATTGCCTTCTCACCCACTTGCTTGCAGTCAATAACTACTTTGGCCACGGTTTTGTTGACAACAATGTGTAGCTGCACAAGAGTCAAGATGTTTTGGGAGGCAAGAAGTAAGAAGATTATCAACCAAATTTACATAATTGCATGACATCACTAAAAAGTATGAAAGAGAAGAGCAGAAACTCTAGTCGCTATGCATTTTGCGAGAGGAGAAAGATTCTACTTTTACCACCTCCGTGATGGTCTCGCAATCAGGTATCAGCTGTTTTTATTTAATTAATACTTTTCTTTAAAGTAACTTTGAAAAGAGTCAATTTTTAAAGAATCTAGCCTTCCTCTAAAGCAGTGCAAATTATGTCTTTTCTGAATGCACATTAAAATAAATATAAAAGTATGAAAATGTAAGAAATGCTGGTTGATATACCAGAAAAAGTTATCTATGGTACTACTGGCAGCTGGCAAATGACACTTCGACATTTTATTTAACTGAAGGTGAGGAGAAAAGATCTAGAATACAAAGGGGAAGGATGAATGCTTTCTAGCGACTCCAGGATCAAATGAAGCGCTTTGGCAGTATGTGTAGTTCAATTTTCTGAAACTGGAATCTCTAGAGTCTGAGGTCCATGGTAATATATTTAGGAGTCTACAGAGTTTTCGTGAGGATTTGTAAAAATCTGTGTTATCGTGTAGGCTATGGTCAAAGGTAAATTAAGTACTTACTAAATGAGACACATTGTAAACAAGTTCTGCCATGAAATTTCAGTGTAGATAAATGTGTTTGAATTTATGATGTTTTCCCCATGAGTACTTCTTGCAGGTAATGGGCTACTTGTCTAGTAAGCTAAAAGAGTGGGATTTATAGGAAAATAATGTTATCACATTAAATGAAAGCCAAAATAAGTTTTAAATAGCTGTATATGGGAAGGTATCATGGTAGTTCAAAGAGAAAAAGTGCTAGAGAATGTGAATCACGGTTATGAGAGTCACAGAAGCTGGTACTGTATTGTAAACAGATGTTGAATGTCCATAAAATAATCTTTCAAATTAAAATAATGTTACTTTTAGTTTTATGGGTTTATTCAATCCTTATTTATTATTGTTTATTTCTTGCCTAGAAACTGAAAGTATAAAACTTATACCAATTCTATTTATTATTTTATTGAAGTTACATCATGATATAAGTGATTTAAGTCAATAGTGGAGGCTGTTGAGAATTTTTTTTTCTTCAAAAAGGAGTTCATCATAATCTATCCAGACAAACATAGCTTGAGTAAATTGCTTGTTTCATATTAACATCTCCTTTATAATCATTTAGAAAGGTATAGTTTGATTCTTGTATGTTTTTGAGCCTTAGAATATTTTTCATTATTATAAATTATAGAAATTTTCATGCAAAGTGCTAGACAACCTGGTACATAAGTTTCATGTTTTAGGAACTCTTAACTTGTGAAGGAGATTATTCATATTTTTAAAAAAATTTTTGCTTTACAAAGAGACATTGAAAAGTTTTCAGAAATATTTTGCTACTTTGATTGCACTTAAAGATCTATTTATATAATTATAACTTTTTGAAAGAGATGTTGCGGTCATATTTCATATCCAAAGTGCATAAAATAAAGCCAACTGAAAATCAATAAGGAATTAAGGTAAAGTGTTTATTCAATTTTAACATAAGTCTATGAACAAATTAAATATGATCTGCGCAAACTGAATTTGCTTCAAGATTTTTTATTAATAGACCTATTAGTAAAGTACTTGGTTCCATGATACACCTTTCCTATTTTATTTGGCTATTTAAATTTATTAAGACTTAGCACCCCTGACCAGTCACTGGTTCAGTTCCTGGCAAGAGCACCTGCCCGGATTGCAGGTTTGGTTCCTGGTTGAGGCTTTGTACGAGAGGCAACCGATGAACATTTCTCTCTCACATTGATGTTTCTCTCCCTCCCTTTCTCCCTCCCTTCCCTTCTTTCTAAACATAAATAAGTAAATAAAATCTTTTTTAAGAAGACTTAGCAAAGTGGTCCTTGACCAGGTAGTTCAGTTGCTTACAGTGTGGTTCTGATAAGCCAGGATTGTAGGTTAGAGCTCTGGTCAGGACACATATAAGCAGTGACCAATGAATGCATAAATAACAGGGACAACAAATCCATCTCTCTCTCTCTCTCTCTCTCCCCCCCCCACCCCCCACTCCTCTTCTCTCCCTCTGTCCCTCCCTCCCTCTAAAATCAATAAATTAAAATAAAATAAGACTTGGCAAAGTAGAGGGAGATTTTTCCTCATGTAACTTTCAAAAACTTGAAGGTTTACTAATTTGAAACCGATTTTTAATGAGCCTTATCTATAGGTCTTTGATTTCTTCTGGTAAGGTAAACAAAGCTTAACACTTACCTAAAATTCATAAACGATTCTTTGGAATGAGTATTACAAGTCCATGCCTATTCTACAGGTAAAGATGGCAATATTTTCTTAACACTCATGAAATCTCACATGCTTTTTATCTCCCCTACAATTTTTTCTTGACTACTTTGCAGCAGAAACTGTCTAACCAAGAAGAGAACCATGTCAAGAGGAATTTGGTGAGAAATGACAATAACTCCAAAGAAATGCTAATTGGGCCATTTTGAACCATAAACTAGTTGATCTCCACCTGCATCTCATGTATTTTTATGATACCTTGTACAGTCCTATTCGGCTAGGAAAAAAATTGCACTTTTATGCAACTCTTCTTACACAAAACAGAGTCAGAATTTTCTTATGCAATTGTTCATATGCAGTTATGTTATTCAAAACCCCAGAAGGACCAAACTTGTGTGTTTGACCATGTTCTATGTCAGAGACAGAGCCAAGATGAAGACTGCTGTTCTATATTCCTTTTTTCACTCCGTCAGGCCAAGAAGGGCTGGGCTAGGAGACTTTTGCCAGGACCACCCAATAAATGTTCTGCTCTCCCTGCAGTCTTGGTGTCTCATGTCTAACACCTCAGAGGTCAGCATGGTTATTTGCCAAACCCAAAGGAAACAGTGTATATTGGAAGGAAGCCTGTGTACTCCAGTGATCACCAAAACTAAGTGTTTCAGAGATGTAAAATGTTAAGGAAAAGAGCTCTTATCATAAATGCTAAATTAAAAGAAGGGCAAGTCAAGTCAGGTTGTACAAAATTTGTCCCGGGGTCACTTTTATGAGGGTAGTGATGGGTTGTCTGTATATATGTCAAAGAAAAATCAGTGCAGTCAGTTATATCTATCTTGACATTTTAACATGGTTCGGCTAACTGTGGCTTTCATCTGCACTGGTAGCCAGGTAGACCAGCAGTCCCTTCTCTGTGACACCTAATGCCTGTTTAATAGTACAGTACCCTCTACTAAGTTGTTCCTTACCATGGGAACCTGGACCACTTCTATCATATCTCCTGGGGTTCCAGCTAAAAAAAAATGCATGTTTCAAGGTACCAGATCAGAATCTCTAGGCATTGTTAACAAGCACTGCAGGTAATTCTTTCTCCAGTTGAAATCTGAGATCCAAAAAGCACTACAACATATTTTCACATATTTGCCCACAGTGAATAGAATAAAGAATATGCATGTACAAGGCATTACCTTATGAAAGCTTCCATAGAAAATTTTCCTAATTTCAGGTCCTTCAAAAGTAACAGTTTGAAAATCTCCACTGTAGTCATAGTTGAAATATGTTAGGGTTTTCCCACCATCTAATCAAACACATAAAAACATTTTAGAAAAAATTAAAAATGAGTAAATAATTTTCTATAATTCAACACAAGACTGAAAATAATGCATCCATTGTTGTGAAGCTCGTTTAGAACAAAGTGATGAGGAAGGAAGGAAGGATCTATAGCCCGTGGGTTGCCCAGTCTTTTATTGGCCAGATTAACTGACTTAACAATGTGGTAATGACGGTGAGGCAAGGACTCCCACACATACTCTTCTCTATCCTTCCTTGCCTACACTCCCAACTCTATCACCCTCTTGAAAGAGATTTGTCTGTAGCTAGGATTAGAGGCCAAAAAAAGGGAGAATAAAGTTAATCAAATCTTAAGAAACAGAAAACAGGCTCTTTGCCTAATTAACCCACTATAGTAACCAACTTTCCCAGGACATGCAATTTATACCACCCGAAAAGAGTGATATTCTAATGTCTTTCACTATGAACCAAAAAAAAAAAAAAAACCTTCTTAATCTTCAGTATTTAATGTTACAAGAAATATTTTATTACATAGAAATAGGAATATTTTTCTCACTAGTTCATTCCCAGGTTACAGTTTAATTCTTAACTCTCCTTCCAAAAGGAAAAGCTAGTCTTAATCATTTTGAGAGACTTCATTGTTTTCAAGCCCTCAGTGTGTATGGAGTTAGTGTCTTACACCATTTTAATCTGCAGCTTTCCCTTAGTTTTAGTATCAACGCAACATGCTTTCACAATATCATATTTAGCTGTTGATTCATTTCCATGTACTGAAAAGTCCTTTTACAAATACTAGTTGAAAACAAACTTAAAATATTTTCCTTATCCAAATGTTTGAGTTAGCCCCTAACAGTAACCACTAAATTTTGGTTCCTAGCTTCATTGGCATTCTAAACTAAGCACCTCTTTAGAAAAGTCATTGACATTAACCAAAAACTTGACAGCCTTCTTAAGTGATCATTATATGTGACATCCAAGAGTGGGAGGTTAAGAAGCTTCTTTCATTGGTTCCCTCTCAACTTTTCAACACCCAGTCAATGGAGTTTCCTGGTCTTCAGACCTCTTCTTCTCTTTCTGGACTCATTCTCCAGATGATACCACCCAGGCTCCCGGCTTATATATCACACAGGCAAGGTGACATACTACCTATATCATTCATACGTGTGTATTGATGTTATATACAGAAATATACTTACTATCTAAAATAACTCCAACCAATGGGTCTGAATTTTTATTTAAAATCTCCCAAAGAGCAAATGGCTCCTCTGGAGTGTCAGGGAGAATCCGGAATAGAAAACTGATTGTGTAATCAGAGGGCAATCCTTCTGGATGCAAGTGCCTAAAAATGGAAAGAAAATAGTATTTTATCGTTTCCCTGCTCAAAAGGTTACTTACCTGATTAAAGTGAGTCAAAAGGTTACTTATCTGATTACAAAAGCAAATACACTTTCATTACACAAGATTTGGAAAAATAGAAAAGAACAGATCACCATTAATTCCATCCAAAGGTGATCACTATTTTTGATAAAGTGCATTTTTTCCCTCCAGTTTTTAAAGAATGTCTGTATCTGTCCAATTTATATAACTTTGTAGCTTTTTTTAGCACCATTTATTACATATTTCATATTTCCTAAATATTTCTAAAAGCATGACATTTAATGCCTGCACCACCTTCTCTTCTGTAGCTATTGCATAATTTATCTCACAGGTCACTTCTTATGGAACATTTAAGTAGTTTCAAAAGTTTTAGTATTATTAGTCATGTATGTCTATAGTCCTTTTGTAAAACTCCACTTACGATGTTGTCACTTTCTAGCACATGTGGGAGTTAGTTACATTCCTGTCTGTGCTGTGTGCTGTGAGGGCGCCATACAGATCTGCCTTGAAGAAGGAAGACACTGTCACTCCTGCCGTGGGCCACAGTGATGTCTGCAGGCAGCGCTCAGACACCAGCTCCCTGCAAGAACTGCCTCAGATGAAGGAAGAGGCCTCTCAAGGTCAGGCCCACTTTTTAATGGCATCTCTTCTCAGTGATGGGTCTTTGAGGAGGTACGAGGATGTCAATGGAGATAGTTCCATTTTTGGAACTCGGGTGGGTGAATCAGCTGAAGCTTTTATCGAGGCTGCTTCACTCTTGATTTCTTTCCTCTGCCTTATCCTGCTTCTGTCTGACTCCTTTCACAAGAGCATGCCCTTAACTTTCCTGCACACTAATCTCCACCTCTGGATCTGCGTCCTGGGGAACACAACCTGCTATACCATCTCATCTCTCTAACAATTAAGTAGATCAATTACATACTTTTAAAATTTTCCCTCAAGCAATAAATAGAGCCCTTTACATTTGGTAGGAGCCCCATAATAGTTATTAATTTTGTGGCTAAATTTGTGAATATGTGCTATGTAAGTATCAACTATCTTTATATATTTTTCTTAGATCAACAGATATTAAAGTTCAGCCAGCATTATATGTGAGTCTAATGTTTTTAATCAAAGAAATCTAAACATCATCTGCTCTAAATATTATAGAGAATCCTACCGGGACTTATTGCAGCATATCATACATTGACATCATTTTGACATTGAGATATAATAAAAAAAGATTGGTTTTATTTTTTCATAATCAATTTTAATATCTTGCAATGGAAACATACCTGGTTGGCTGGGAAACCAGAGCGTCTTGATGAAGTCGGTAACAAGGATACACATTGAAGGTTCCAGGCTCCATAGAAACCCCTTCCACCGATGAAAAATCCTTTTCAACCAAACCAAACATTTCCATCATCTTAAATCCTAAAAAAATACCCAAACAGATATAGAAAAAAGAATAAACAGGCATTTTAGGGTTTCACATTTCAAAATTAGCCTAGAGAGAATTAAAGGAAAAAGTCTGGACCCCAAATGGAAGTTCTTTAATATATTTCTATTTGGAAAAATTTTGACAACGCATACCTGCAAGATCAATGCCATCCTTGTACAACAGTGGGCAGGCTGGAAAAGAAAACAAAACAAACAATATAAAATGCTAATTTAGATATTTTCCAAACGTATTCTTTCCCTGTCCTGAGAACAGGAAGCTAACAATCTTTCCGGAAGTCAGTTGTGAAAGGAATCCAAACCAGATGTGGCTATGGTCTTCTGTGGATTCCTAAATATTGAAATGCTCTTACTTTTTCTATTAAAACCAAAGAGCCATAGCTTCCTTCTCCTCTCCTGGGTCCAAGAAAAATCTTTGGAGGTCACTTAAGGGCATGTGTTGGAATAAGTGTCACTTCTAATGTGTTACCCTGATGAGCAGTCTTAATATACTTTTGAAAACTATTTGCTACAGCTGTTTCAGCAGCGATGCATTTAAACACTCACATCTGATTAGGGGTGTTTTCTCAACCTAAAACTCTACACCTGGGAGAGGAGAGGTTTACTTCCAAGTGCTCAAAAACATAAAACAATGTCTGCATAACACACAGCTCTGCAAAACAATATTCTTTCCTCAGATCAAGATGGGACTCATTGGATTACTGGTATGAAGTATTTCAGCCTTTACGCAACATGAATAAGCACACATTTCAAAGAACTCACTTGCTGATGCAGTTTCACAGACAAAAGTAATCAACTCATCCTCAATTTTCTTGAAGGCGTCAAAGTCATCCACAAAGAAGACATGCCGTGCACTGGGCTTGCTGCCAATGCTAACCAACTCTGAGTAATCTGCATCAGCCACACCAATTGCAAAAATGCTGTAGCCTGCAGCAGAACGGAAACAGATTCCTGAGTACTTTAAATTGCACACAATACAAATATTGCAATACAAGACATGTCCAAATGTTTAACATAAGTTTGTAAAGGAGGGCTAGTGGGGGTGGGTAATGCATTCTTTACACTTCATAAGAATTCTGCATGCACATATTTCATTAGATGATAACTATGGCATCATCTCCTACAGAAATTTTCCATTTTAAAGAAACTCAAGAAGACCAATGCCCCACTCAGTACTTGAGACAAAGCAGTTATCATTTGGGTAACATCTTCATATCTGTATATTTTTAATAGCTGTTTTTAAATGTATAAGATGAAGTGTAGTTGAAACAGAGAAATTTTATCTCTGTTTTTATTTCAGATGTAGAAACTGAGATGTTAATAGACTTAGCAGCCTGACGTGGGTCATGGGTCAAAGCTTGGCCAATTAAGATTAAACTACTATTTACCAGGCATATCTTGTATAATATAATCTTCACAACAGTGTTATGAGAATCTTCATTTGACAGACGATGAGGCTGAGGAGTTTCTGTGATTAGGTTCCCTCCCTAGCCCTTTATAATGGTTTTTTTCATAGTATTGTACTTAACTGCTAGCATATCTTACATAGGGCATCCTGCAAGTAGTAAAAGTATTAGAGAAAATACAGCAAAATAATAGATTTGGAACCTGGAAATTATTTTTAAAATCACATTGTCCAGTGATATTAAGAAAGATTTAGAAATAATTTAAGTCATACAGATACAGCTTATGAATGTGTATTCAGAAAACAACAATGCTACCACATTATTTGTAGCCTCTGTTGCTTATCTATGTAAAACCTACCTTCTGATTGCATCTCCATGGAGATTTTGTTCACATCATCTTGTGATCGTCCATCAGTTATAACTACAATGACCTTGGGGATGCCTCTTCTGTTACCTGACTCTGAATTAAACAAGGTGTCTCGGACATACTTAATTGCTTTTCCTGAAACGAAGGAACACAACAGGTCAATTTCATTCCCTCCTATTTTCATTTTGCTGGAGAGGGGAGGGTAAGAATGAAGTTCCTAAATCAGTGAAAAATCTTTCCCCCCAAAACCTATATTACTATGCCTCAAAAAAAGGTAATTTTGGATGATTAGATAATGAAGATATATATACACAAATATACAATGGAATACTATTCAGTCCTAAAAAGACGAAATATTGCCATGTGTGGCAACATGGATAGATTTTGAGAATATTATACTAAGTAAAATAAATCAGATGAAAAAAGACAAAAACCATGTGATTTTACTTATATGTGGGATATAAAACGCAAAAGCAACAAATGAACAAAGAAACTCATAGATACAGACAACAGAATCATGGTTACCAGAGGGGAAGGGTTGGGGCCATGGGGTGGAGGTCTAAGAGGGTAAAGGGGGTCAAATACGTGGCGACAGACGGAGGCTAGACTTTGGGTGGTGTGCACACAATGGGATATACAAATGCCATATTATAAAGTTGTACACCAGAAATTTATATAATGTTATTAACCTTTGTCAACCTAATAAATATAATTTTAAAAAGGCAATTTCAGAAATTACTAATAATTAATTACTTTGGATCTTAACTGGGCTTTCTTTTGTCTCACCTGTTTTTGTATTTCCTCCTTTGTATGAAACATGTTTAATTGCATCAAGAAGAGTCTCTTTGGTTTTGTAAGTGTTTAGCTTAAATTCTGTTCTAGGATCATCAGTAAACTGAACCATTGCAACCTGGAGAGAGAAAGTGTATTGGTTTTTACATCTATGTAGACTTCCCCTGGGCCAGAGAACACCCAAAATGTCATCTAGAATTTTAATGTCCTATTTAACCCAGTCCACAATTTCCTTGATTTAAAATTCCACACAAGTTACATACTAAATCTAATGACATTAAACAGCTTTTTTTTTTTTTTCTGAATGCTTTTCAGAAAGTACTTTATTTTTTACAAATCTCTCTCTAACACTTATGGGCCTTTGTCACTTCATTTGGCAGATGGAAAAAATGGCAGCGTAGGCCTTGTAACTTGACAAAGGTCAGAGAATCAGATTTGGATTCTTCACAAGGACTTCTTTACAGAGCAAACCAATGAAGTAATCATTGTATCCTACCCCATTTTACAGGTGATGAAACAGAGGCAAACAAGTCAACTAACTTGCACAGGTCACAAGAGTAGTCACTGGTAGGACCAACCATTGCAGCCAGCATTTCTACTTCAAAATCTGTGCTCTTAACTACTGCAATATAAAATTTCCTGGCTTCATTTCCTATGATTTCATTTCTTTGGAACTTGGGAGCCATTTTTAATTTACAGGTTTGTTTGTTTTTCAGAGCTATGATGGGGCAGTACACATAGCATCTTCGGATGGCCTTCTTTGATTACGTGAGCCTTCAGCCGCTACCAGGTTGTCAAGGTCTACTGCAGATGTCACCATCTCTAGGAAACCCCCTCGGATCCTTCTATTCAAAACACACTTCCCCTCCCCACCCCCGGAAATGCTTCAGCAGCTTTATTAATTCTGCCCTTATGGTACCCCTCGTATCCAAATTTTCTCAGCTCTTCCTCCAAAGCATATATCTCCCTTGTCGTTCTGATGTACCTTGAGAGCAGTGTCTTAACTGGTCCCTCTGTTTCCACTCTTACCCCTGTTAATATTCACACTCCACAAAATAGCCACTCATCTTTTTAAAAAGCATGCCACATCTTTTCTCTTCTCTCCATACTTTCTATGGGCTTTCATTGCCGTTATGATGACACCCAATTCCTTCGATGGTCCATAAGACTCAAGACAATCTGGATTTTGCCTACCTCTTCCACTCCTTCTCCTGCACCGCACATGCTCACCCACTATATTCTAGCTACAAGTTTTAGCATTCGAAGCCTCAAATCTTATTCTCATCTGAGGTCCTTTGCACTTGCTATTTCCCTGTCGGGAAACTATACTCTCAGATTCCCTCTGTTACTATTTACATCTCAGTTCAAAAGCCACTCTTCATAGAGGACTTCATTGACCACAAAATTTAAAATACCCCTCTTGTACACATACAGACACACACACACACACACACACACACACACAGAATTTAAGTATCTCTCAGTGAATTTAAATCCTATCACCCTGCTTCAGAGCTCACATCTCTACCTTGCAAGTTTATTTATTTGCCTATTTGTATCTGTCTCTCAGCCTCCTCCTCTCTATGCCTTTAAGAATATGAGCACCATGAAATTAGGAACATTGTCAGTCATATTCGTTATGACACTACTGTGTCTAGCCATAATAAATCTTCAATAAATATTTGTTGAATGAATAAATTAGTTTTATGTTCTAATTGATCTATATTAGTGTGATCACAATCTCTGTCTTTCAAGACTTTAATGTCCTTGAGAACATGGGAAACAGTGGATATATCCGTAAAGGAGATTCTCTGTCATAGTATATAGAAAAGGAGAGTCTACTGACATGATCATTGTTACCGGTCTTAGTGTGCTGAACTCAATAGCTTTTAAGAATTAACATCTTCTTTAGCTCTATCTGGTGCTGGTAAACTGCTTCCAAATGCAGACTTGTGTATCCTCTCATTTAGGGTTGGAACAGATCATTATAGTTCTTTATCCTGATCCCCTGAATACTAGCCATAATAACACATTAAAATAACTTTTAAAGCATATAATGAATTAATAATTGATCTGTTAGCCTTACTTGAGTTCCATCTGCACCGATCTTGTTCAGGGCCCCAACGGTGTTATACAGAAAGTCAGTGATCTTGTTGAAATTTTCATCTCCAATACTCCAGGATCCATCTACCATAAACACCAGGTCTGCCTTGGCAGTTTTACATACTGAAGACCATGGAGAAATTTCGAACCAGAGATAAGGGGAAAAATGTAGTTGCTATTAAACCAACAAAGCAGATGATGGTTTTCTTCTGGTAATTCAAACTTTTTCCCAAAGAAAAGGTATAAGTCCTTAAGGTTTATATTTCAAGCTCTTGCTTATTATGTTTCCTGACCATCGTTTTCTTCCATACTCAAGGTTCCTATCCATGACTCAGAAGTTTCTACTGAATACATGGAATTTGAAAGGAAAAAAATTCACCAACCTCAGCCCAAAAGAATAGAAGTGAGAGAATAGAAAGAAGTGGAACTAAAGTGACTTGCAGAGAGAAAAATCAGCAAGCACTCTGTAGTGCCTACCAATTAGAAAAATGTCCAAGCTATCACCCTGTGCACTCCATCCTCTGCTTGCCAAGTGAGTAACTTCAGAAAGATTCAACATCACAAGGAAGTCATATGACATCTACAACTTGATATGCATTTGGGCTGAAGCCATATGCAAACTTTAATTCCAGCCTAGTTCAAAAATTCTATGTATGCCCTTCTGTTGACTCTGTTTTATGATGAAACTATTTTCTCTTCAAGAATATGAATCTTCAAATCTTAGGCAAGTTATACCCAACTATTCTTTGAGATAATAGGCCTTTTTCCTTTTTTTAGGAAAAAAACCCTCATTTGTTTTTTTATTTTATTAAGTGCAACTTTATTCCTCTAAAGTTATTTGTAATTTAAAATAAACCATCCTTAAGTGAGGTAATACTCCAGAAACAATAAGGATCTGGTGAGGTTGCTCTCATGAGTTCTGTAATTCACAAAATTTTACAAATTTATGGTTTGAATTTAAAACTGAAAGGGACACAAGATTTGCTCATTATAAGCTTAAAAAGGAAAGCCTGGTCCTCTGTTTCCAAGGAAAGCTGAAATCTGGATTAGGTTTCACCTTCAAAATGAAAGCAAAGTCTATTTGAATATTTGGTCAAAGTAAAATATTAATAAATCAAGGAAAAGATATCAAAGTGCATGAAGAAATTACCTCTGGGATCTGAAATTGTGTTTTTAATGTTCCTCTATATACTCTTTTCTACTTATTAACATTTCTTTAATAAATAATGAGTATCACTTTAATAATAAAAATGCACAGGCCCTTTAATTAAACACAGTCTGCACAAATAAAGCCTAAGATGAATAATGCTTTCAAGGTGCAAAGGCCCCACCATCTAAACCCATCCAGAGGAAAGCTTCAGGAGCCATGTTTCTGCTCTCTCAATCCTTCCTCTCACAGATGTTTCACAGACCATCCATGAGCATTCATGAATGTTTACTGAATGATATCCCTATTCAGCTATCAATGAAAATATTCTGACCTCAGAGAGTTTGTCATATCTGCACATCAGAAATGTTTAAATAGTAAGTTCGTCAATCAGGATCTGCTTTCAGTTCCAATACTGAAAAGAATCATAGGTATCAAGACTAGAGAAGGCTACATATAAAGACAGAAGAGGAAAGATTATGGCACTCCAGGTAGAGCAACTAGCGTTAAAAGATGAGGGACAACCTAAGACATGTATGGGGAACCCTGAGCTGTACAATGTTGCTGTTACCTAACATAGTCTGGGAAATGCATTTGCCAAGTAGGCAGACCCTTGAAGGCTTTGCGCAGTGTGCTAGGAAGGATGTTGGCCTTTATTAGAGTTTCTCGTTGCCTCTTTGCTTCCTTGACCCTTACACTCTCCAGCATCTGACCTCATTGACTTTAAGCTGCTCTAAGACAGGAACAACTTAATTTTCATTGTATCCCTGATACGTAAGAAGCACTTTAAAATGCATTATGAAAGAAAGAACACTCCCAAAACAAGCTTCCCACTACATGTCCTGCCTTTATCCTCTCCTGCCCCAAACGCTCCTCTCCAGGGTATCACGGTTATCTTTCTCAAACACAGGTTTCCTCTGGTCAGCCTCCCTTCATAAAACATCTCATCGCACTCCATTTCCTAGAGAATAAAGCTCCAACTCCCTATTCTGGCACACACCACTTTGTGACTCTATCTTCACTCTTTTCCACATGCTGCTTATTGTTCCCCAAACACTTTATGTGCTTATGAGATTATTCCATGACCCTGAGTGCTCTGCTCCCTTTCACTTTTCTGTAAAACTCATTCTTCACAATGTAGATCAAATTTCTCCTCCTCCTTTCCAAGTAAGTAAGCTGCAGCAGCACTAACTGTTCTCATTTCTGGACTGCCATAGTATAACGTCCGTTCTCACACTCATGTCCTTGACTGGTCACTGTCTAAGCGAACACCTATTCCCTTGCAATACTGAGAATAGGCACACAGCAGCAACCATACATTATTGCTGTGTTCCAAGTGCCTGGCATAAGAGTTTGGAAATGAATAGTAGGGCTAGTAAATGTTTATTAATGGAATGAAAAAACATAAGCAATCTCTACTGTGTTTGGAAGTTTTTTAGGAAGTTACCTTAACAGCTCAGGTAAGAGGTGGTGAGGAACTCTTGTGATGAAGATAGAAAGAAACAATAGAAGAGGCATTTCAGAGGTAAGCCAGGGAATTATGACTCTGTCTACAGGATTATAAGCTAAATTCTAACTCACAAAATTATGTAACTCTTCCTTAATGAGTATTTATTACTCTGATATTTTCAATGAAATGAATATGAAGCAGTTCTGGAAAATCTACCCTGTGTGTACAGAATATGTAATTACATTGACATTTTTCTATTTAAAAAAATTCAATATATTTGATATATGATATTGTATAAACTCAAGGTATAGAACATGTTAATTTGATACATTTATTTATTGTAATATGAGTGCTACTATAGGGTTATTTAGTGCCTCTATTATATTACATAATTATTATAAATGTTGTTGTCAGTGTTTATATTGTGCATTAGATCTCTATGTCTTGTTTACTGCTTGTTGCCAGTCTGTCCCCTATCAGGATTTGATAAGTATTTGTATTAAGGAGAAAATATCATTTATTAATACCTTGGTTTTTAAGTGAACAAACAGAACCAACAAAATCTTAAACCTAAAATCACATCATTATGGTATTACTTTTTACCTTCTTTTGCTGGTGGAATGGTTGGAGGAAAAGTAGGTGGCTGAGTGGGGGGCGATTCTGTAAGGGAAAAGGAGAGAAAACATCCATTAGCCTTCTGCTGCTTGGCGGAGAGAGGGAGGTCGTGGAGTAATGGCATGCGATGGCTGGGGCAGCTCTCTTCTCAGAGAAAGGAGCGACTGCTAGAAACCGACCACAGCCTGTGAAAACCGACTCTGCCCATCCCTTCAGCCTTAAATGGAAGTCTTGAAATGCCACTTTGCCACAGTTCAGTTTACGCAGTCAGAGTCAATGCAATCAAACTGTCAACTACAAAGTGGTTCTAATGCTGATTTAAGGCGGGAACTCCACCAACTGATTTCACATTAGTCTCTGGCTGTTTCACACACGTAGTCAACTTCATTTCCATTCTGCCTTGGTGAGGATTGACCATCAATCTTTCTTCAATAGTGCTTTCCCTCTTCTCATCCTGCATCCCCAGGATGTGATCTTCAGTGGCATCTGATTCACTCTCTACTCTGCTCAGCCTGTAACTGGAAAGCTTCCAGTTCTCATGACCCAATGGCAGGACTCTAGGAGGCTACAGATCAGCTCCACCAGGATATGTGGAAGGTGTCCTTGTGATAGTATGTGGAGATGTGGTTTGGTTAAAGGATCTGGGGATAGTTCATCAGAGTGGTGACTGTCATATCACTTCATGTGGCAGATCACCAGGAAGTTAGGGCATCATTAGACAAATATTGTGAATATTATCTTTTATGTATTCTTTTCCATTTTTATTTGAAACTAATAATTTAAGAAAAACTGAGAAAATTCATATTAGCCCAGTTTAATATGTGGTAAAGACCCTCAATTAATCATAGCCATTTGCAGTTGGGGATGTTTAGCCTCTGGAGACAGTGAGCACCAAGAAGCTGGAAGGATTTGAGCTTGGGCAGAACAGCGACTTGCCGGGAATGTTGGAAAGGCAACTCCTTCACTGCAGAAAGGTTGGAAGGCATGAATGTTAAGGTCTTTTCCAAATCTAAAGCCAATAAAGTAAAATTGAGTAAAGTGATTAAACATTTAAAAGAATGAGGTAACTATATTACTGATATGGAAAAATGTTAGACATTAATTATTATATGAAACGAAACAAGTCACAGAATATTATGGTATAATTCTATTTGTGAAATATAAAAAAATTTTATCTTATGCATCTATCAGATATACATTGATATATTTCTATTTATATCAATATATGTCTATATATGTGTATACATATATGCACCTATACATACACACATGTGTGTATATATGTGTATATATATCAGGTAGACTTTCTTAAGGGAGATCAAGCTGATACAAATGGGTATTTCTGGAAAGAAAGGATGGAGAAACAGGGAGGCTGACAATGCACTTTATACCTCTGTTGCATTATTATGAATATTCACCACTTTTTTCTTTTAAAGCTAAAAACTTTCAACAATAGGAAAAAAGATAAGAAATCTTAATACTAAAACTAGGATTGCAAAACTTGCTTTAAAGCACCAAAATGCTATTAAAGCCAGGTCTATTTATTTTAAAATCTGTGGAAGCAAGATTTATGCATCTTTGTTAATGGAAAATTGAGGTATATCTAAAGTTCAGTCAATAAATCAAGTAACAAACCAATGGGAGGCTATGGCAGATAGATCAATATGTTTGGGCAGAACATCTGGTCAAAGAATCCCTTGGGTAGGGAGAACAATAAACTAGTGACATGTGTTTACATTCTCTATGTGGCATACAGATGGTCCCTGTCTTCAAGTATGTGAGGGGCTGTCACATAGAAAAGGAACAGTCTTGATCTGCATGGCTTCAGAAGGTTGAACTAAAGCCAGTGCATGAGCCAGTACATGGAAGCTGCTGAAAGACAGATGTCCCCAACATAAGGAAAACATTTACATAAAACAGAGCTATTCAAATTAACCCTGGGTTGGTAGTTCACAGTCATGGGGTTAAGATTAGGGGAAGGGAAGTAGGCCAGGGACCCCAATTTCAAATGTTGTCAGAGGTCAGGCAAGTAATGAATGTGAGCAAAGAACTAGTCCAAACATTAAGCAGTAGCAACTTGAGAACACAGACATTGTCTAAAAGAGACGGCAGTTACTCGGTTCCAGCAGATTGGCACCGCGAGGATATGTGTGCCCTGTGATGTCAGAGCTTTTGAATTTTCAAAACACTTCAAAAGTTAGAAAAAAAAAATATGACCCAACAAAAACATGCCTGACCCCATGGTCATCATTTTGTGACTTCCAAGGGATGACTAAAAAAACTTGTTCGGTAAGACAAATCTAAATGCGGCTCAACATTCTCTTTTGCTGGATCTTTTCCACCACCAGTGGCTAAGGGAGTGGGTATGTCATTTTACTGATGAGCAAAAAAGAAGCTCAGAGATGTTGAATTGCCTAAGGCCACAATGGCAGAAAGGGCATCAACTGAGCCTGTTGGTTAAATCTTGAGCACTACCACGCCTCTGATAACATTAAAATTATATGATCCTCTATCTATAAAACAGAATTCTCATCTGCAATAAAAAGAAACAAACTACTGTAGAATGTAAAACTACAACTACATTCTACAACATGAATAAACCTCAAAAACCTATGCTAAGTGAAAGATACTGGTGCAAAAGATTACATATTATATTGTTCCATTTATACAAAATGTCTAGAAAAGGCATATATATATATATATATATATATATATATATATATATACACACACACATACATACATATATATATGAAAAGAAAGCAAATTACTTGGGGCTGAAGATGGGACTGGAGACGTACTGAACAGACATGAAAAATCCCTTTGGGTTGGTGAAAATGTTTTAAAGTTGGGTTGTAGTCATGGCTGTACAACTATTTGTATTAAAAAAACATTGAATGGTACACTTAAAATGGCTGAATTTTATAGTATGTAACTTATACCTCAAAAATTCGTGCATAATATAAATGTTGAATAGTTCAGTGTTATGAAATAAAGTCTTTATATTAGGAAAAAACTAGATGATTCGGTTTAATAAACTTTGCCTTTCTGTTTCTGAAGGTCACACATTGATTTCTTTCTGCATGTCCCAGATCAACTGGAATACTGATACACAGACAGTAGAACCTTTTAAATATCAGAAAGATGATAGGGGACATTCAAGAAAGCCCATTGCCCACCAACTCTCCAGACACAAGTGCTCAGGGATTCGGAATTTAAGTCAAGATTCTGAGGTAAGCACACAAATGTCCCCCAGAATTCACTGCAGTTCAAACCATTTTAATGCTTGTGGCCTCTAGGTCAGGAATCCTTGATTAAAAGTCATTCCATGAAGCTGACACCCTCCTTGCTCTTTAGAACATGTAAAAAGGACTTTGTTTTAATTGTATACTTTCCCTTCCCCTTCAGGCCATCAGATCTGCAGCCAACTTGGAAAAAAGACAAGAGCCTCTTAAATAGGCAGTAACTCCAAGGTCAGCAAGTCGGAACCCGTTGGCCCCATGCCCGCCCACACGGCCACGGTCTATGCCATTGTTTCATTGTCAGGACCCAGTCCTTATACTTCATTTCACCCTCCACATACCACAAATGTTCCTTATGGATTTGGATCGCAACATAGGTCATTGTTTCCAGCACTTTGCCATCAGATGGCCTTATCGTTTCCTGAAGCATATGAAGGAAGGAAAAAACCATACAGATGACATCAGTGGGTCACATGCAGTGAATTCTGGGGCTGGAGAGGAGGAGCAAAATTTGTATTACAGATATTTGTGGGCGGCAATCGTTAATATTTTTCTAAATGGAATAGAGTGTTTGAACCAAAACAGGATGCCTAAGAACTGTTCTTGGAGACGGGGCTCAGGAGGGAAGGCACTTGACTTACGTGTTTTCTCCATGATGCTCACACTGGGTCCCTCAGTCTCCTGAACCCTTGTGTAAACACTGATCTTATATCGTGAATCAGGCTGAAGTCCATAGAAGCAATGCCTGCTTGTCCCTCCACCCACAGTAGTTTCTTGCTGTCGTGCATCTATAATAAAAAGAAAATAAAACACACACATATGAAATTTTTAAAATCAGCCATCAGTAGATGATTTGTTTCTAAAGTGCTTAATATGAATGGCCTAATCAGATAACTCCAGAAAGAATTACACTGTCTGAGGTATTGTATCCTATAATTGGTTTAAAAAAAACCCAATTCATGCAAATTTCCATTTATGCAATTTTCCCTCTAGAAAAATTATGCAAATTTTTCTCTAGATTGATTTTCAACTGATCCATACATTGTATTCATCCAGCTACAGCCTTACATTGCTTTATTTCTAGAAATTCAAAAACCAGTGTCAAAAAAAACTGCAACAATTAAACACATTACACATATTACTTAGTGGTTAAAAAAACTCCTTCAAAATGTTATCTGTAGTTTATTAAATATAAACAAAACAGAGAAAACATTAGAATAGAATAGTTGCTTTTTTAAGTACAAAATGCAAAAATGTTAAATACTTATTTTTGTCTATTTGAAAAGTAAAATACCTATTAAATTTCAATCCATATTTTAATATACAGGAACAAAACATATGTATATTACAATATACATATGTCAGAACAAACATGACATATGTCATTTAAATTTTTGTCAATGGACAAATCCTAATTTTAAAAAATAATAAATAAAGTCATTTGTTTAGTAAAATTTATTTTAATAATTCTGAATATTGAAGAGTGTTAAAAGTGATCTTTATAATATAATCCTTAGTAATATGTGTGGTTAGAATGAATTAAGTTCTATCTAAATAATTTATCATATATTTTGCAAAATGATGGAATGAAAAAATTATTAAGGTGTTTATGGGATTTTCTACTACTCTGAAAGGAAATGTTAGTAAACCCACAGGGTGCATTGCTTTGTTGATGTCCAAGTTCAGTCTGGCTCAGAATCGCACAAAAGATGTTTCTTGCTAACCCTTTCCCACAACTTTGGAGCCTCTTGCAAGCTTCTGTTAGCCACCTGCAATACAAACATCTTCTAAATCCTATGCATGGATCATATTCATCTGTCTCCATAAAAGTGTTCAGGGACTCGCCTGGAATCAGTTCCAGAAATGTGCGTTTCTGTCATCTCCTCTATTTCTTGTGGATACTCATGTACTTTACCGACCCTTGACAATAAGAATATAAATGGGTTTTACTGCTAAAAAAAACTATAAACCTTTGGAAAACTGGAAAAGTCACTGTAAAATTAATGGGAAACAGTATGGTTAGATTCCCAATACTAACAAAGAGGGGTTACATGAATGGGGTGGATCCATGTTGCTTTTGGCATGTGTGATTCAGGTCTAATGGCTTTGCACTAACGGAAAACATTTAAACTGATCAAATGATGACTAATTTCCTCAACCCCTTGTGCCAAAAGCAGGGGATTAATTCATTTTTTGGAACAGAGAGAAAAAATTATGTCTTTGTGCATTCATTCTTATGAAGCAAGGCTAAATACATGCTCTGGGTTATTATCATGCTGGTAATGATGCCACCAACTTGACTCACCAAAATGTCCTAAGACAGCTTACTGAGATCCACAAAGGAATATACAGGATCCAGAATACCCTGCTAGAACGTTAGGATATAAATTCTTCCATTCCCCAAGTGTCTCAAATACCCTGACCCCCAATCATAATGTCACAGCTTCAAAAAGTTTGATCTTGGAAACGGGTTTTTCTTTCCATGACCTTTTATTTTTAAGGTAGACTCTCCACTATGCTGCAATTCCCTCTCCTTGTTAATGGACAATACTGCAAAAATGACATTTCAGCACCTAAAGATAGAAAAGTTGAGCATCCTTTGAAACCTTTTTTTTTTTTTTAATAGCAAGCTAGAAAGAAATTCACCAAGTGATGGAGATAAACAAGGGAATGCTGTATTTGGGCTCACATGGTGTAGAAATGCATGAACTTGAAGGGAAACGCTATACTCAACCTCAGATGCCACATCAACTCAAAACAGCTGGAGAGAGACAGAACTCCAGAGCATCCACAGAACTAAAGCAGGCTCTCACGGGTTCTCATTTACCCAACACCAAGCAAAGGTCTCTGACTTTGGTGTATCCTACTATTAACCAAAAGCCTACAATTTATTTGGCAAGTGAATGACTGACTCAAAAGCAGATTTTATTTCAGTGTCTCTTGCAAAGACATATCCTTCTGCAATCCTTTTTTATTTTTTCCAGTCTTGGCTATAAAAAATGTCATAATATTTACATGGGTAGAGGACATCTGTTGTTTTTGCATGTCTTGCATCTAATCCCTCTTTCTTTGAATTGTGCTTCCCCATTCTTGGCCTTTATGGTTTGGGAAGAACAGAAAAACAACACAGGGGTGTTGGCAACCCTCCAGATACAGGGGTGAAGGCAACCAGGTCCGACCAGTCCATTTATTTCATATCCTGCAATTCAGTGACAGATTTGGGGGCATCTGACATAATCTGAGCCAATAGGACTCAGTTCCTGGACTTTTGTTAGAATTATTAAGAAAGAGAATCTCTTTCTTTTACAAAGGCTGTTAAGCTAGAAGCCAGGAGGATGTAACTCTGGATCTGAGCAGAGCCAACTCACAGAATCTGGTTGGGAATGAAGGCAAAGGAGAGCAGAGCAGCGGGATGAAGTAAGACCCAATCTCAATGACACTGTTTGAACACCTAGATCCAGATGTGCCTGAAGCCAGACGCTATTGAGTTTTGCAGTATAGGAGCCAGGAAATTGATCCTTTTGCTAAAGTCCCTTTTACCTGTGTTTTTGCCATTTACAAACAAACAAACTGGAATGATACAGCCCTGCTACTTTGCTTGCAAATTCCTTGGAAATGTGCAGGTATTACCTCAACGGAAGTAATTTTGGAGAAACTGAAGCTCAAAGAAGAAAGTTGAGCAACAGTTAAGGTTTGAGCAGAGTTCTTCCACAGACGTTGTCTTAAAACACAAGGGCACATGAGCAGACCACAGGGAATATATTCTTTATAAAAAGTGAACCTGGAAAAAATTACCTGTCACACAGTAGGAATTTGTCAGAGGCATTTAGAAATAGGTCAGCCTGGAATAAAGCTTTTCTTTATCACAGGGAAAGCAGCAGTCAGGGAGATGATCACATTTCTCTGTGAGATAAAGAAACTCAACCTAAACCAAGCTCACAGAGACAGAGAAGAGATAGTGGTTGCTAGAGGCGGGAAGGTGGGGAGAGTGGGAAGAAATGGGCAACGATGTCAAAAGGGAAAAAGAAAGAAACTCAGCCTAATTCTCCCCTACTCCAAAGGAGAAAGACTATTCTTTGAGCTAAACTGTGGAAGTTAAAATATTTAAACATTCTCCTTGCTGCTCTCTCCACATTCACTCACCACCTTCAATGGTCCCTTTTGAGGATGTCAGTTAGAGTCTGTTGCTGTCCAGTTGGTTAATAGTGTTCAGTTAGGCAACTGGGTAAATGAGATGTAGGCTAATTGGGTTCATAAGTCTCTCAGCTATAGATGTTGATGAAAAACACATACTTTTGTTCATTCTTGTTTAATTGAGACATTGAGTCTCTGTTAAAGAGTTTTCTGGCCACCTGAAAATTATACTTGAGTACAAGTTAACTTGAAGATAAGAAGGAAAGGTAGACTCATATTTTCTTTTGCTAGCAAAGATCTTGGCTTCAGAAAGAGCTTATTGAGGTTTTGGGTTACCAGATTAATGTTACCAGACACATCAATCGTATCCTCTGATAAGAATCTCAATGTTATTTTGCAAATATGCTAAACTAAAAACATTTAGTTAAAATACTAAGTATTTCACCAATTCTGCTGATACATCAGTCTTTATACAATTTTATAGCAATTTATATAATTATAATTTTATGAAAGACAATGACCCTTCCTGTCAACTTCTTAAATGTTATAAAAAGATAATAGTATTATAAGGGAATTTGGGAGTGCAATTTTCATACTTAGTATTTTTTAAAGATAAAAAAATACCCACTAAATGTCAATCCTTCTATATAAAAGTATGAATTAGCCATCATATAAAGATGCATGAAACATAACCCAAGCTTTTGCAGTTGCTTCTCAAATAGTTACATATATTTCATCTACTCCTGCTTAAGCATCCCATTAATCATATTAAATACAACCACAAAATCCCTGTGACTTATCCTGACTTTTCCTTTCTCAGTGTTCATTCTGGATTAAAGCTACTCCCTTAATTTTAGCCCATGCCAGGTTAAAGAGATTTCTGCAGGATCACATACAGGGAATCAAGGAATTAGTGCTTACCACTGTGTTGAGATGCTGCCTTGGCTGGGGTGGGCAGAACCTTTCCTCATGGTGCTCTTACTCCATTCTCACATTCTCATCCTATTTCTAAATGCTCTCAGTTCACAAACTGTGCTTTCCACTTTCATGATTAAATTAAAAGTGGGGTTTTTGCATTTTGAATGTAGTTATAGGTTGTATTTAATATGATTAATGGGATGCTTAAGCAGGGAAATAGGCTACTGAACCCCCTCTTATCCAGACCCCTCAAAATTAGCTCCTTCTGCTTTTTTAAAATAGGAATACCATAACCATTTTTCCAGAAAGAAAAAATTTTAACAATTTTATTAGTTTAAAGTATTTTAAAAAATCATTGGGGATTCTCCAGTGTCTCCTATAGCCCCCCCAATGTAACAAGACATATCTTTTCTACTGATAGACGAATCTGATGAAAGTTATGGTCATTATTTGATCTCATTTTCTGAATCTTATCCATGATGATAATGTGGGAAGAGAATTTACAGTCCCTAGAAACTCACTTTTTTGGGAATCAATTTTTTGTTGTTGTTCTTGACATTTTAATGAAAATAAGCAGACATTTTTTAGCGTTTCAACTTTGAAACAGTCCCAAGTTGTAGAAGTACTTGAAAACTATAAGAACCTGCCCTGGATGACACAGATACCATCTCCTGAATGGGAGTTTCTTGCTCATCAATTACTCCCAAAAGTAAACCAAATCACTAAGAAAAACATACAAGTCAAACCTGGATCCCCACTGAGTATCTAACTTTAATGTATGTGAGTCCTGGCTATTGGGTTCCCACTACCTATAGCAGCTAGTATTTCTCAGATGCTTAATGTGTTACAAGTTCTTTACATAGATTTATCTCAGCTTAATCTCACAGAATGTGACCAGAGCAGCACTATGGTTCCACCCATTAACAGATGAGAAAGTGGAGGCTGGGAAGATTCAATAATCAGCTTAACCAGCCATTGTGACTCCATATCCTGCATGATCCATAACACAACGTTGCCTCTTCCATGAGAGGGCTCTTGTCTAATGTTAGGTGCATGTTGTCTATAGTGACTTACACAGAACTAAGTACTCAAGTCCTTGACAAAAACAGATGTGATGACGTGCACTTACCCTGGACAGATTCTATAACTATTCTGTAGGCAGTGGCGTGACGGTGTACCTGCCACTGAGCACACAAGCTGGTCATTTGAATCTGGTCTGCCTGAAGATTGGTCACACCCAAAAACACTGTGAGGAAACAGAAACATAACTGTGTCACACAAAGGTCCCCAAATCCAAAATTAACTTTAACATTAGATCACCTGATAAAATTCTAATTAAAATTCCTTAGTGAGAGTCGGGAAGATATCCATGAACTCACAAATTTTTGCACAGAAATAACTATTTTATAACATGAAAAAACAGTTGCAAAACATTATGTATTATATCCAGTGGTGTCCAACCTGTGGCCCATGGGCCACATGCAGTTCAGGATGGCTATGAATGCAGCCCAACACAAAACCGTAAATTTACTTAAAACGTTGTGAGATATTTTTGTGACTATGTGTCTTGATGTATTTAATGTGTAGCCCAAGACAACTCTTCTTCTTCCAGTGTGGCACAGAGACATCAAAAGGTTGGACATCCTAGCTAGTCTGTCATATTTGTAAATAAAAGAATATATATATATTCTGAGGGAAAAGGCAAGGTGTGATGGATGGTGAAATTATGGGTGAGTTTTAACTTTTCCTCCTTATTTGTTTGTGTTTTCTAAATATTCAAAAATTAATATGTTATACCCTTATAATAAAAAAATTAAATACAATTTGTACTTATCATCCAGTGAGAGATAGTGATGGCTAAACAAAGGGAAGAACAAAGTGGACACAGTGGAAGTCTTACTCAAAGGAGAGTAGTTTCACAAGGACTGGCCTTCAAAACATGATGGAGTGAGAATGCACAAATTTTTGAAAATTTAAAAATAAAAGATTATTTTTATAACACAGATAACAAAAAAGTTATTTTAAAACAGATACATAGATTCCTATTAATCTTAGAACACTGTGATATTCAAAAGTGATTCACCAAAAAGTTATTTTGGGAAGTAGTAAAACTATTGTTTCTCCAATATAATAGAAGTGTGAGCACGCAATGTTTATCATTTAACCCAAGCAGAAACAGCTAAAAAATTAATATTTGCTTTCTCTAATGATCTCTTATTCTTATCCATGTCATTTTTTCTTACTTCTTCCTCTCTCTTTGCTAACTCATAAAATTTTTTAAAAGTTCAAAATTATTTTCAAGATGATAAAAATAAACTTGTCTACTTACAACTTACGTCTTTACATTGTTCTTTGGTTAGATCAGAGAATGAAGAACTATTTTCCTAAGGCCAATTAAACACACCTCTCACCCCCCACAAAATGAAATCAATAATTATTTATATAACCACACTAAATTTAAAGAACATCTGAAATTAATTTAGTTGCCATTGTACAGAGTTTTATTTAGCTTGAGAGGAGAGAAAACAAATAATAAGCTGATCTAATTTCTACTTTTAGAAGATAAAACAATTTAAATATTTTTAGTCTTTTAACATCTATTTGGAATATCTAACATTTATTAAAGGAGAGGAGCGGCATAGACCAGAAGGCAGAGGGGGGCAGACAAAGGGGGATAACAAGAGACAAAAAAAGAGTAAGGAGAGGAAACACCAATAAAAAAAAATTGCAGAGGCAGAAAAAAATGGTGCAGACAGAAAGGGTAGTCTAAAGAGGAAAATGAAGATAAGCTGGAGAAGACGAGAGGAGGTAGATGGTGGGAAAATGCCCAGGGGATTCTAAGGTGTTTCTAAGGAAGGGCTGTGGGGTTGCTGTAATAGTACAAAAGGAAATTACTTGGAGGTAAAGGTAGCGCCCAGAATAGTAGCACTTGAACAGCCAAGCAGGAGATCAGGACCACAGACTAAAGGCTTCCTGGGTCAGTTGAAGACAGGCTATTTCTTTTGAGATTAAATTGATTCTGTATCTAGACTATAAAATTTGAAGAAACTCCATAAAAAAGAATTCAGGAAGCCTCTTCCAAGCACTGTCTCTATATAAAATATGGGTGGCCAAATAGAGGTGTCTTGGGATCTGCTAAAATATATACCTCAATTCTTGCATAACTCCACTGATCAGACTACTCATCTGATTAGAGGTGAGATACGAGCCAAGTGCATAAAGTATAATTACTACAATAATAATAGGAGTTATTAATGAGCATTTGTCATATAGTAGACACTTTTCATATATTATCTATTTAATGCTGGCAATCAGCTTGTATGTGGTTATCATGATCTTCATTCCAATGTGGAGAAAACAGGCTCAGAGAATGTAAGTTCTTTGCTCAAGGCTATTGCTAATAAGGAGCAGATTTAAGGCTCATGCTGTTGATTATGCCCTATTACTCCCGAGGGTGGGGCGTGCACCCAGGATGATTTTCATTAGCACACAGCCAAACCACCTTTATTTTGAACTTTTCTGTATTATCTTTAATGTATATTAAAAACGCTGGTGTTCTGTTTAGAGTGATTATGTGGGTTTGGAAAGTATTTAGGTAAAGAAACTGTAAGTTGATTTAAAGAAATATATTAAACAGATGGTGTGGAAGTATAACAAACATCAGGAATATGGAACAATCACGCTGGAGTTTGGAAACACTGCATTAAGCCCCGGGTGTCTGGAGTCATATATGCCAGTGAGAAGGCCCAGACAGTGTGCAGACAGCATGAAAACTCTTAAAAAGTAGAGAAGGGAGTCCTTAGACTGGTATATGTATCTTTCAGGCATGGCGTGTGTGAGCGTGGCGGGGGGTGCGGGGGGGTGGGAAGGGGTGAATGCTTTGAGAAAAGGCATTCTCTCCCCACTGGCCCAACTTTGACTGGCTTCGCTATGTGAGGCTACAGGCTGGTTGGAAAATTTCACCTAATTTGAAAAATGCCAACAAAGACTTTCCAGAAGGAAATCCTATCCGCCACTGTCAAGTACAGTTGAACGCCAGGCTCGGACATTCTGCCTGCCAACCAGGACTCTGAACTATAGCCCCGAATAAGGAACACACCTTTCTTTCCATGAAACACCATCCAGAAAGGGAAACACTGAGGAAAAGAAAAAGCAAGTGCCGAGCTGAAGGAAGAGTTGAGTTACAGTAAAAAGAGCCGCGAAACCACATGGCAAGGCTGAAGCACCAGGACATCGGCCTTACGAGTTTTCACCACGCCTGTCAGGGCATCGCTGAAGCCTGAGGCCTGGGAGGCAAAGATCTTCACATTGTAGTCCATTCCGCTGAGGAGGTTTGTGATGAGAATGGTGTTAATGTTAGCTCCCACGAAAGTTTCCAGGGTCGGGCCAGCAACTGAGAGGAGGAAAAGTATGGTTCAGTTACAGCAGAAACACTCCTGAGGTGAATTGTACTGACTCAACGGTCTTTCAGTTGCCCAGGATTATACAGCAGAGAGACTCCCGCCCTGTGTAGCTCTAAGACTTGCATACCTGACGACCACGCTAGGGCTTTTTCTAGGGATCTCATCCTTTTCTCAAATATAGTTCTTTCCTCAGCACCTACTAAAAGAAGCTGGTCCACTGCACTATCACCCACCATATTGTGAGGCCTTGATAGTGGAGCTACTATGTTGTCATAGGCTCTGGGACACTTGCCAAACAGAAGTCATTCTCTATTGTCCCTTCTCAGACGACAGCTTTGTCCCCAGCAGGCATGCAAGTGGCAATAGCAGCAAAATGTATCATGGACACCACACCTCACTTTACTTACCACATGGGGGGACAGCGTGTATATTAACACTGTTAGCTATATCCACTCCTCTCACAATGTTTTTACAACAGACACATGCCACTCTTTTTTTAAAATTTTTATTTATTGATTTTAGAGAAAAAGGGGAATTGGGAGGAGAGAAAGAAAAAAAACCACATTGATTTGTTGTTTGATTTATTTATTTATTCGTTGGTTGATTCTTGTACATGCCCTGACCAGAGATTAAACTCATGACCTTGGCATGTCCCCTTACCGGGAGTCAAACCTGTGACCTTGGTGTATTGGTACGACACCCTAGCCAACTGAGCTTCCGGGCCAGGACAGGCAGATGACACTCTTACTCCAAGGCCCTTGCCCAGCTGGCTTCTTGGGGCCTTTACATTTTCACTTCTATTTCAACCCAGTGGAGCCTTTGATTTAGCATTCAAAATATTCCTTGCTAAGTCCTACACAAATTTATTTACCTTCTGCTTCTTCCCATATGTGCTCTTTCTTTAAGAGCTGTGAGTTAGTGAGAGATTTTTTTAATACCATTGTTTTACTGCAGAACTTCTCTTCCAAGAATACATTTATATATTTCTGTGTTATTTCACTTGTGTTTTCCCCACTTCCCAAACTCCTGCTTCCAATGCCCACATACAGTTCTTCCCCTTGAATGTGAACAGTATTTCTCAGCCTCTGCACTGTTGACAGCTTGGGCTGGATAAATCCCTATTCTGGAGCAGTAGGGAAGAGGTCCTGTCACTTGTTTGATGCCTAACAGTGCCTGCTAGATGCCAATAGCCACTCCCTACCCCCATATGAGGACAATCAAAGGTATCTCTTTTGGGCAGCAGAATTGTACCAGGTGAGAACCACTGGCCTAAAACAAAGCTATTTTCCCTCAGAAAATTAGATCAATGTTTATAAAATGGGCCAAACAACATGTTTAGCAAGGCTCTTTTGCCAATTAACACATGCCTCAGGACTAAAAAAAGGAAAAAATTGGTGATGGACTCCTAAGGAATTCATCTCGAGCAGACTAGTGACCCATGGTGTGTTCTTGCTACTTCATTGCCATGTTTCATACAGATATTTGTCTGGAGAAATTGGAGGTAGGGTATTGTAGTTGTATGGACCAGGATAATGGGGCACAAAAAAAGGCTAAAATGTGCTATAGAAGCAAGAGCAACATCTCAGATGGAGACTGAGACTAACTAACTTATCTTAAAAGACATTTTAGATGCTAACACTATTTTTGAAAACATACTTACCACTAACAGGTTTGTAGACAATCCTATAGCCCTTTACAGGAGAAGATGGGGGATCCCATGTAATACGCAATCTGTTATACCATTCTTCTGAGACCCGTAAGTTCTGGGGACCAGAGGGTGGCACTGAGCAGGAAAGAAAGGGAAAAGGAGGATTTCTTGTGATGTCCATCTTTGCAACCTACAGCATTGTTAACAAAATCAAAGATATTGTCCTACAGTGTTAAAAATATTTACAGGTGAAAATGCACTACCTCTATGAGTCCATGGCTGTTCTATTAAATATATAAAAAATAATTGTGTTTTAAATGTTTTTATATGAAGATCAGCCATTCATTAAATGTCATTGGGGTTTTTTTCTTCAGTTAATTTTAAGTAAAACGGAGCTGAATGGTGTTTATTAAAACTTCTGTATACATACCATTCTGTTCCCACCACCAAGGAATGTTTGTTTAGCAATACCAAGGGGGAGCATGCTATAAGCAATGATGGTAATTCTCCAAGGTAAGATTCTGATGATTGTATTTTCACTTTCATCTTCATGTTGCCTATATTGTTTAAATTTTATGTTATTGTTTATCGATTTTTTATCACAACGTTAAAGCCATTTTATATGGAGGAACTTTGTAAGCTATTACGTACATTGCTGGATAATAGCCCCATCATTTTGTTGTTGATGGAAGTTAGTTGTGTTCACCACTGCTTAAAATAAGTAGGCCATCCACTAACAGTTGGATATAATTTTACTGAGTGACTATTGCTACATGTGATGGTATTTCTGTAATGATATTTAAGTCATATTTCAATAGTAATGGTCTTTAAATAGCTTTTATTTGTGCTAGTATGTATGTGTGTTTAACAAGAAACCCTTTACAAATGAGCTAATTTCTAACATATGAATGTTAAAAATAGATCTTTGAGCTCAGGACATTGGCAGTTAGAGGGCGATCCTTTGCCTCCGCTCCCTGACTCCCCTCAGCAAAGGGGTTTATGGTAACTTTATGAGACATTAGGGTGTTAAATAACGCAGTTCAAAATCAACTGAGAACAGCAGAATTTACTAATATTATTTTAAACCATCCTTACATGCGTTTTTTAACAACCTAGACTTAATATAGACAAGAATGATGTATTTAAAACGCGGAAGCTGCTCCATAAATGTTAGGTGAATACCATTTGATTTTCTTCTTTAATTGTTATTTAGCCTGTGGTTTTAAAACATTTAGTTAGCAGCAAAACACCAAAAACATGCTAGAAATTCCAATGTGTTGATCCAAGTCAATATCAAGTTAAGATGCCCATGCACGGGTGAAATACAAGAAGAGCATGGAGCTCGCCCACTGCTCTGCTCTTCCCCGGCCTTCTCTCCTTCCACACGACCCTGAGTGGGTCACTGCAGCAGCCCTTAGAGTTCACAGTGCCCTGGGGGATCGTTAGCAAAATGTGCAGACTTGGTGGGCATCTGGGAAGAAGCACATACAGCACAGGCCTGGGGGGGGAAGGAGAGAGGCCAGCTCTGCCAAGTAAGGAGTGAACACCCAGTTGCTCAGCTGGGAAGAGTCAGGACTTTGGGCTGCAGCTACGGAGTTTTAATGACTTGCACTCTTACTTGCAGAATCCATACTTACGTGCCCAGGTCCAGAATTCAGCCCTTGCCACCAGTGTATACCACATCACCCCTAACCATTGGGTAACGGTGGTAGATTAAAGGTGAGTGCGGGGCTCCTGACTCTCCTCCCAGTGAGCAGTGGAGGCTCTGATCCTCTCTTTGAATCTGAATGTGTTCTATGACCACCTTGACCTATAGACTACAGCAGAAATGATACTGTTCTAGTTCCAGGCATACACCTTAACTGTCCTGACACTTTCCACTTTCCGTATGTGCTCTGAGGACCCTTGCTCTTACAGTCCTGAGTCACCCCCTAAGAGCTATGACTTTCGTGCTGGAAAGACAACATGGAGCGGCTCCAAGACTACATGGAGACAGAGGGACCAGCTGAGTCCAGACTTCCAGGCATCCCCACGATGCTGCCAGGCATGTGGGTGAAGTTATCTTGGATACTCCACACCAATCCAGCTAGCAGGTAGCCACAGTTAATACTATGAGAAACAGAAGGACTTCCTGGCAAGTCTTGCCTAATTTCCTGACCCACAAAATCATACAATATAATAAAATGGTTGCTATTTTAAGCCACTAGGTTCTGGGGCTGTCTTCATGCAAGGACAGATAACCACACATAATGAAGACAACGAAGACTTTGTAGGGCTTTGACCAAAGGTTGTCAGGCATGCTCCTCACTTGACCACCATGGCCAAGTCATCCAAAAACAAATATTTCATGAGGGCTCCTCTCTGCTGGAGGGATTTGGCAGGCAGAGATGAATACACAGACGAGGTCCAGGGCTCTCATGCTGTTGCCTCCCAGGGACGGGAGACAGGCAGTGAACAAATACAGGAGTAAACAAGAAAATAGTGTCCTGACATGAGCAAAACAGAACAAAACATAGCAGGATGATATCATAGAAAGTAGGAGCTGCTTTGCGTGGATGGTCAGAAAAGTCTGAGGAGATGACATTCTGCTGGGACCAAACTGACAAGAAAAAGCGGGGAATGCAAACAACTGGGAAAAGATATTGTCCATGGAAGGAATAGTGCGAGGGCCTGTGGCAGAAGCAAGCTTCAACGGTCTAATGGAGAGCAGAAGAGGAGGTGTGGCTGAGGCAACTTCAGTTAGGAGAGAGATTAAAGGGATCGGCAGGGTGCAGACAAAATAGGGCCTTGTATGGCCTTAGGAAGAACTGTTGGATTTCATCCTGAATACAAAGGAAAGCCATTAGGAGGCTTCAGACAGAGGCAGGACATGAGATTATTTATATTTGGAAAGCCCCACAGGCTGCTGTGAGGAGAACAAAGGATTCAAGAGTAGAATCACAAAGACTCTATTGGTGCTTGGGCACTCATTTTAGTGAGAGAGTGTGTCTTGGATTGGGGGAGAGCAATTAGATGAAGAAAAAGTGGACAGTTGTGTAGAATGCACTTTGGAGGATCAACAGAGCTTGTGATGCATTAGGTGCCAAAGGAGTGAGATGTAGTTGTTTTCAAGCCTTTCCTTTAACAGACAAGAAAACTGAGGCCCAGAGCAGTTAAGCAACTTGCCCAAAGTCACACAGCTTGACCATGCGAAGACAGAACTTAAACACAGATTTTCTGTCTCCCAATCTCTTTTGCTCTTTTCACCACAGTACTTTTGCGTTATTTGGGATAAATTACAAGGGGCATCATTTTCAATTGAATAGCCAGCTAGTATCCATAGGGAGAAAGCATCACTCACGGGTTTTTCCAGGGGCTGAGACGCTGACACCCTCTCCGTCATCGTAGATGGGAGTCACTGTGACTTTGTATTCGGTATCGGAAAGCAGAGGTTTCAGAATGACATTGTTCTGGCTTCCAGGCACCATGACCTGCACAGGAACGCAAAGGGCCATGGGCTTAGTGAGACCTCTGTTGCCACTGGTCACAAAGAGCAGGACTGTGGGCACTTTGAAAGGATCAGAAGCAAGATGTGTTTGGAAAGTGATGCGAAAAAAACAAAAGCATCCGTGCAAAAGCATTTCTCTCTGAAATTCCCCTCAGTAACCCTTAGTATATAATCACTAATACAGAAGGTTTAAATGTGAAGCTTTTGGCTCTGAGGAATGGTCTTCTCTCAACATCTTTTCTGCATTTGTAAAGGATCCAGAAGAGACAGTGATCATCTATTTGGAAAGCAGGTGTTCATAGCTTCAGAGTGTTCCTTCTAGAACCCGGCCTGCCTGCCTATCCTGTCTGATTCTACTTAACTATCACCTCAAAAATTTAGCCTTCTATTCTTTACCATTTCTGAGATCATTTAATCTCAGCATTTTAGAAAAGTATGGATGTTAGCCAAGAACAACAGAACCACATGTCCGATCCAAGTTTCCCGGATCTAAACATATTGACCAGGAACACTAAAAATGTTGCAGCTTTTTCACTTCTAAAGGGAGATGTTTCCCGCATTCTGAAATCACCATCACTCCGTCTCCACAGCTGCCAAAAATGAAATGCAGCCGTGGGGTCGACCCCTCACAGGCATCGCCGTGCCACACAGTGTGGCTCAGCAGCACAGACTCTGGCACCCTGGGAAGGATGTGTGGACCAGAAAAGCCACATGTTCCCAATGCAAAAACCACAAACCTTCCTGCCTGTGCTCCAGCAGTTAGATGCTGACACATCTTGAGCCATTTAAGGAACTTAATCATGGCTGGAAAAAACACTGGGATGTAAGAACTGACCCAAACTCATTTAAGGCAGTCACAAGACCGGGACAGCTGGAGCAGCTTTTCAATGCAAACGCCAGCAGGCAAAGGGCTACGCTCTCTCCTTCTGGATGAGAGAAGGACTCTATAAATCAAGGAATAAGCCCTAGAAAGCCTCGAGTTGAACCCACAGGCAGCTGTTGCTAAGATATTGCTCAACTTTCAAACAACACTTTTTTTTAATGTATATAAAAAGAAAGTCTGAATGAGATGATTTTCTATTGGATTAATGTAATTTTGCTCCTCACAGCAAAAGGACATTGATATACAGGGTACAGGGTTGGACTGACGTGGCCCCAGCAGGGAGATTTTCAAAAAGGAGCCTTGCTTTATTCTAGAATGAGTTAAGACAACCCTAGCGTTAAGGACATTTCCAAAAGGAAGAATTGTGGTGGTACCGACTTGTATTTTTACCTCATCGATGTAGCTTTCTTCAGGGTGCTTCTTTCAAATAGAACTCCTCTGGACCACAGAGCCTGGGCTTTTATTCCAAGCAGTATGTTTAGCAAACCACCCATGTTGATGGTCCTTAAATAAGGTCTCCTCTCAAACCGAGAAACACATGCCCCCAGAACCAATCAAACTTTGACTGTGTAAAACTGCAAAGCAGCGAGGCCCTCTGGGAGGATGCCTTCAGTTTTCTGGGACGCGGTTGCTGTGGTTTATGATAATAGCCAGCATTTACTCATCAATTACTATGTGCCAGGTGCTACGCCAAGTAGTCTAATATAGCAATTCACTTCATCTTCACCACATCCCTTTGTTAGGTAGTATCATTACACTCATGTTACAGATGGGGAAACGGAGGCCCACACAGCTATTGAGTTCAGGAGCCATGTTGACATCCTGGAAATGGGGCCTGAACATAGTTTTAACCACTGCCCTCTACTCCTCATGACTGCACTGCTTGAACCTTTTCGTCCTAATGATATTCATTTGCAAGACTAAAATGTAAATGTCTCTGGAGTTTGCAAAGTGTTTTCTGCTTGGTTTCTGCTTGTTTGCACAAAGCAAGGTAAAGATGGGCACCCAGCACAAACAGATGCCAGAGAGCACTGCAGACGCTGGGTTTGTTTATAAAACAATTCTATAAAAGATGCTCATGGACAAGTGAGACGCAAATCTGACCAGTGAACATCACGTTTCTAATTTTCATCAGAAATGCAACTTCACATCTGGCTCTATTATTGCCCAGAGCTCTTCAGCGCAGCCTGGTTCCAGCAGTAGGAGGAGGGTTCCCTACATCTCACTCCTGGCCAGTGATGCTCACGCTCTCTGTGGTGATGGACTAGGTGGTATTGGTGCTGTTGGGTTGATTCCAATCTGTTGAAGACCAGTATTTTTATAATTACAATAAAACAAAATTGCTTAGAAGCATGGTCTTCGATGCTGCAATATTAAATTGCTATACATGTTCGTAAAGCTTAATTTTACTCTCTGAGCTTATCCTGTAGGAGAGTGAGCCATACCCTAAGCATCCCTGCTGTAGAATGTTTCTTGCAAGTCAGAATTCAGGTTACGGTTATGGATTTTGACACCTAGGCTCTGAGAAGTCTGGGATACTGATTCGCCTTTCACAAATAAAGAAGTGTGAGTCCCATTACCCTGACAAAAAATTCCAGGCATTGTGATTGTCACGCCTCCCTATTTCAGAGCAGAGATAAAAGTCAATCCATATGAAATATTTGTCAGGTATCTTTACTGTCTAAATGTTTAAAAGCTTTTTATTGGAAATACCTGGTAGATTTGAATATGCTTAAATATGTCATTGCAACTCGAAAAGCAAGTCTAATTCCCTTTGTTATATATCTACATATATATACACATATATGCGTATGTATACATGTATATGCATGTATGTATATATATACATGTATATGTGTATATATATGTGCATGCTTGATTTTGGTTTACAATCTTATATACATACACTATTCTCCAACTTCAATACTCTTACTTTAGTCATTTCCTGAAGTAACTTTAAACAGCATTTGCAGTTAAGAAAAATTTAGAAAGATAGTAAGAAGCACTTCTCATATCCAGAAACATGTCCCATATCACTTTTGGGATATATTTCAGCCATCTTCCTTTCTCTGCCATGTATCATTATTTTAAGATGTTTCTTTGGTGTGTGGGAGTTCAATGGCCTTGGATTTTGATATAGGTCTGCAACTGTCTGTCCTGCTTTGGTTTTATAATCTAAATCTAGATGCACCCATTTTCTGTCTCCAATAGCAATACATTACATTTATACAGCAGTAACACTTCATAAAACACTGAGATATAAATTCCCAGTTAATCCTCAGCTGAGTCCCTGAAAATATGCCCATAAAGTAAGCGTACACAATTCCAATTTACTTATAATTCAAAGGCGCTTGATATTCAAAGAACTCCAGAGTACTTTCTTCTGTATAGTGAAAACACTTCTGCACAGTAAATAATCACTACAAAATTTATCAATATTTTTAATTTTTATTAAAAGTTTGTTTAACTGGGGCACATGTGCTTTAAGACTTTTGATCTTTTCCCCCTTCATTTAGGTTGTCCAAGTATTTCGAAATAAACTGTGTGAAATGAAAGAAACTACCGAAGTGAAAATTATCTAGGGACAAGCCAAAGAAAATATTATTATTATTGTACCTTGCATAGCTTACAAGTGCGTACATAAGATTACATTGTTACTCTTTCCAAATTAGCAAGAATAATTTAGTAAGAAGCTTAATGTGTTTCTTGGAAAGAGTAGAAACAAAAAGCAAAAACAAAATTCTCATTCTGGGAAGTTTTTATGGGTCTCATTTTTAGGAACTGAATTAAAATATGTGGACAATAACGGGGAAAATAAGACATCCAAATTATAGCTTTAGTTTTAATTTTTTTTTGAAATTTTCCAGCATGAATCATTTGAAATCTATGGTCTGAGTCCATTTATAATTCAACCTGTTTTGTTTAAGCATTCATTAACTTCCCAAGGATACTCCCAGACTAATTTCATGGACCTTCTGGCTATGCACAGTAGATGTGGATATTTTACGGTTACCATTGTATTGTATAATGATTTTTCTACCAGCCAGAAATAAAGTGTTTCCTGACAGAATTTTGGGCTCAAATAATTTTTTAGATAAACACATAAATAAAACTAAATTTTCATCAAAGGCCCTGTAAGTAAGGAAGAGGAAGGAAGGATAATGATTTCATTCTTGAGTAATAATGAATTTTGAGAACTCTTTCTTAAAATGGCTCAAACACAATGCACTGACAAGAAATGCGAGGAATGAGGCTAAATAAAGCAAGTTTCATGACCAAAAAAGAGAAAGAAAGAAGAACATTTGTTAGATGAAAACTGGAGTTATCTGGTCTGATAAGAAGCATATCTAAGAAACAATTTTCAGGTTCTAGACTAAAAGGAATGATGCAGTATAATTTTTTTTTAAATGGGAAGGCCATGATTAAGCATGTATCCAAGTTTCCAATATAGAAAAACAAATGTAGATGATACCACTTAAAACTCAACACATGCAAATATCTAAATCCCCTAAGGGAGATACTCATGATTAAGAATAAATTAAAAATGACTTTATGTCTACTGAAAATGAGATAATGTCAATGAAAAATATAACTATTTGTTACCAGATGGCATTTTATTAATACCACTTCAACTATATAAAGAAGATCATTCATGTATTCTTTGCTAAACAGGCTATCAGATTCCCAAGGTCCAAAAGTTTAATGTATGTATAGCTTTGGGGCCTTAAGACAGCAGAAACAACAGGAGAAACAAAGTTCAGAGGCTTTATCAATTTGAAGCAAGCTATATGTGGGGCAAGTTTCGGAGATAGAAAGGTCATCAAGAAACCAGTATTTGAGTTTGGGTTAAATGAAAACATTAGTGTTTGGAGACGGTAAAGTCACCAAGAAAGTAGCTGTAGAGAGAGCTAGCATCAATCTCTGGCGGTAGCGCCATTAGCTCTGTCAGTCAAGAAGGCTCAGAGTTTCTAGTCAGCTGTATTTATACAGACCGTTCCTACCACTTCTTCCTCAGGGTCTCCTTGAGCAGTCAGGTAGGTCACCTTGAACTGCTGCACGCTGCTGTCTGAAATGTCCCATTTTACCCGCAGGCTAGAAGTGGTTTCATCATCTACAACCAGGTTTCTGATTCCTGTCCGGAAAACTGGAATAAACACAACCAAGGATTAAAGAATTTTAAACCCATCGTATTCCAAAATGAGCTACAGAGACAGTCTGTGGACATGGGAACAAGGATCATTTAATGTATTTCTTTAATATAGACTCACATGAAGAAGAAAAATTTAGCTTTAGTGGATAATGGGGAGCCATAACTACTGGCAGCAAAAAGAAAATGGGTTCAAGAGATGCTGACAAGGCAAGACCATGGACACCTCAAAACTACCCGCTCTGTATACACACTAGTAACAGGGGAGAAGCCCTTGGGCTGGGAAACCCCAGGGGAGCCCACTCATGAAGGGGAGCATGCTAATAAAAACATCACGCTAGTGCTCTGTTGGAGAAGCAGACATGATGGACCGATGTGGGCCTCGGTGTGTGATCCAGCATCCAACATGCCTGCTGCCCTGTTCCCTTATTTCCACTTTGGCACTCGCCCTTAGGCACAAATCTCCCACCATGGCTGCCTCTCTTCATTCAGCCCGGGCGGAGATTATTGTTTTCTCTGACACCTGTCCAAACACCTTCACCTGTATTCTCTGACACATTCCCTCTCATCTTCCAAGGTGTCTGCCCCCTTATTTGTCCTGTTTTTCTTCACCTTTTTGCAAAGACTTCCTTTCTTTCTGTCCATCTCTACTAACTCTTTCTTTTCTTCATTCATTTATTCAGCCAACATTTACTGAGTTTTTCATGTACGTCAGACAGTGTTATGCCTTTGAGATAGACAGTGATTAACTCTTGACAAAAATAGTGAAAGTATTACAGAGGTAGTAGGAGAGTGACATTTACCAGGCAAAACCAGGGGAAGGTATCAAGCAGTAGAACAGGAGGCAATAGCACCTTATCTTCAGGACTAAGACTTCTAGATCGCAGGGGGACATGGGGAAAGTATGAAAAACATGATTGCAGACCAGGAAGAGATACAGAACACCATCAGGATCTTGGGTGTTATGATAAAGAGATTTGGGGGAATAAAAAAAGGATCAATAAAGATTAGCTGAAGAATAAATGAATCAGTGAATGAATGAATATGGAAAACCTAGAAACCCATAGAAGGGCTTTAGAGAGGGAACTAAATGATGTCATTAAATTTGTATTTTATCTAGTTGACTCTGACAGCTAGTTAGAAGGTGTGTTATAATGGAGGGGGAAGTTAAGCTGAAAGAGAAAACAACTGTTATAGAAAAACCAATAGACCAGCCAGACCTTAGTTACCCACAGAAATGCAAGGAAACCATGATATGAATAATTCTCAACTGAGAGTAATAGGAGAAGTCACTGAGATCAAGACAAGGACAGAAACTCTAGGGTTTGCTATGCTAACGTCCTCGGAAAGATTAAATGGGAATCCAAAACAAAGACAGAAAAGGTAGAGAGGAGTAAGAGCGACATGAGTAGTCTAAGCACCTACTGGTATTTAGGGGTAAGAAGAGGGTGAGAGGTCATGAGAGGTGTGAAATTCGAACTGGCATACGCTGCTCCTAATTAATAAAAAAAAGAAATGAATAAAACTGGGATAAATAACTTCAGTTTAAATCAAATTTTTCTTACGGGTAATTAGGCTTTGATTTGTCCTTACCTGACGTCACAGGCCTGGTAGGTACTATGGTTGTAGGTGGTTCTGTCCAAACACTGTCAACTAAAAAATACATGTATTATTTTAAAATTCTGTCATGAAAATAACTCTACATATTTGTACATAGCATTTTGTAGTTTTCAAAGAAAGTGTCACCTATATTATCTCACTTGCTTCTCATAACAACCTTGGGTATAGTTGCAAGAGTAAAGGTGTGAGCTGTATGTAAGGCAGACGTTGTACCTATCTGCAGAGAAGGACACTGAAGACCAAAGAAATTCAAGTGCCTGATCACAGATACCAGCCTTCGTATAAATATTTGAATTATACCTATAAAGTTGTGAAACCTCCCAGTTACTTCAAAATGAGGCATAACCATGGTAATTCAAGGAAGTTGCTGTAGATCAGGGTGTGAAAGGGCTGCCAAACAAGGCCACCAAGAAGGACAGTAGATGTGCATCTTCTATTTCATGTATCCAACCTGGGTAACCAGTGGCTGGAGCAACTGTGAGGTGCTCCACCAAGTCCCCTTTCCAGTGTCGACATGCTCATCCACCAGGTTCTGGAGTACTGGCTGCAGTGGCTCTGAGCTCTGGGGACTGCTTTGCCTGAGGTCATAGTCCCTTTCGGGGGATAGCCTACCTCCAACAACAGGAAACTGCAGGGATACAAGGGCCTGGCCCCTTTGACTCAATTTGGGACAACTCAGGAGGGTCATCCCAGGTCTAGAACGCCTAACAGAATTAGCTGAGGGCTGTTTAGCTCCTCTCTATGTCCCATCCGGCCAGCTTTACTTCCTTACAGATGTATCTCCCAACTAAACTCTTAAATAAACCTTCTGGATGTAATTTTCTGTTTCAGAATCTGATTCCTGGGAACCCAATGAAAGAAAATGTAATGTGTTTAATACCTCATATTTAAAAAAATAAAGGGATGAATGAATCAGCAAGTGAATTTTGTACATGATTCTTGGAACCAAAATCAACTTGGGAAATTCCATAAACTCTTGGTGGACATGTTTCCCCTAGGTTTATTTGTTTGCTCACTTATTCATTTATAATTATTCCATCCATCCATCCACCCACCCATCCAGGCAGCAAATATTTATTACACAATTAAAACATGCCAAGTACTGTGCTAAGCACTGGAAAGATTATAATGAACAAGATAGATAGATGCTGGCCTTATGGTGGTCATAACCTAAGATGCAAAGATGCTTTACATATTGGTTTCATTAAAGGTAACGATATGTGAAGAGTTCTGGGGGACAAAGAGAAATCGAAGCTTCTGTAGCCCAGGATAAGGCTGATGGGCAGGGAACCTGGTGGGGTATCGGGTGGAGGGAGTTGGTGATGTCCACCTTGGTCAGACCAAGACTCACGTGTGGTCCCAACAGCTGTTACCACCTCACTCTCGCTCCCATCATCCAGTACAGCCAACAGTGAAACTTCATATTCAGTGCCAGGATCCAGGCCCTTAATAACATGGGAGTCTTGGTCTTCTTTTAGGATGACCTGAAGAGCATTTAGTGTTTAGTAACTGGGTTTACTTGAATAACAGAGGAGAAATTTAAGAAAAATAATAATAAAAAGGAAAAATGTTGCCCTGAGTGTAGGCAAGAAACAACGAAGCATAAAGGACTCTAGGGTCATCGAGCTCAACTTTTAAGTCAAAACAGAGACCTTACTCCTTTCAATTCTCTCAGCACATAAACTATGAATATCACAAAAGCAGCATTTTGAAGTTTTAGTCAATGTCATTTAGGAAAGTTAGAGAATCTGAAGAGATATGAAATATTTAACTAAAGCACCTGCAAAAATGCATATGGAATCATACGGTTTCACATTTACAAAAATCCATGCTGTGCAATATATTAATTACTTTGGGATAAAATAGATTCTCCATCTATTTTAAAAGGAAGACCAACTCATGCAGGAGGGGGCCTTCCCTTCCTAACAAAATACTCCAGATTAATTTTCAGCCTGTTTCCCATGACTCACTTCCTCGGTCTTCCCACCATAGACTGGGATCCACATCAGCTTGTGCTGCCCTTCATCCGCCGAGATGGGATGCCAGGTCACTCTGAAGCCATCTGTTGTCACTTCATCGATTTCCAAGTATTGCTGGGCTGGAACTTCCTCTGTGAGACAACGAAAGAGATTCTGTGAGGAAACTGAGAAGGCAAGAAAGCCAGCACTCCTGGAGCTACAGGAAGAGAAGGCTCCCTGAGCCATCCCTTGATTTGGGAGGGGACTCCCAAGAGCAGCACCCATCGGTCCAGCGTGACCTTCCCAACGTTTCTGTTTGCAGCATTCACCCACCGGGTAAACTGGAAAGACTTTGGACAGAGCAGACTGTACAAGTGTTCCAGTCATTTCCAGAAAACTTAGGTTCTCTCTATTTGATTAATTATTGTCATTAACTATAAAAAAATTATAAGAGTGCCACATTCATCATTTTACAAAGATAATATTTTCCCTAGTACTTTGAGGAAATTAACAAAATGCTGCCCTAGAAGTCTGAGAAATGCCCCTTTTAGCTTTATGCACTTTCTTCTCTTTTTAGTTTGTCTATTATGGTCTACCTCCAACATTACTTTGTAGGAGCTTCAGGTGCAGAGCACAGGGGTTAGACAACGATACGTTGCAATACTTGACATTGTTCCAGCCAACACCTCCAGCATCCGCCTGCCACCTCACACCATCATCGTAAGGTCATCAGCTACATTCCCATGATTTTATTCACTTTCATGCCTAAAGCTTTCTCTAGGAATAAGTTAAGTCCTTGAGAATAAGCTTCATCCTTTTAATCCCATACACATGGCGGCCATCAGAAGTGAAACACAATTTATCAGACCTTCCATTATTTCACTGCTTACGCATTTCTGAGATGTACAGCAGAGAGTATAACATCCAACTATACCCTGAATGAATTGTCCATCACTGATTTTTATTATTTGAAATCAGAGATGTTTAGGACTCTTTGTCAGGGCCCCATGAGAATTCCAACTGGAGGTAGCCCTTGGGAGATTTTGTGAAATGGCTAAAATTTTTGCCATGAACATTACTTCTGGATCTAGTCTAATTCTCATCTCTCCCCAAATTCTCATCTCTCCCCAAATTCTCATCTCTCCCCAAATTCTCATCTCATCACCTCCTCAAATCTGTTTCCATGTGCAATCTGAGTACGTTCAGAAAGCAAACAATAGAATTGTCACCACAGGGGCAAAAAAGTTTTACATTTACTGAGTGACTACGGAGTATTTGTAGAAAAGAGAAATAATGCATTTGTGCCTTATTTTTTATTTAAGTACTTAAAGTATCCCAAATTGTATTATTTTAGTCTGCATGAAACTACATTATTGGCTATAAATTGATGTATTAAGTTAAATAGTATAAAACTGTCATTTTGTAGGTCAAAAACTTTTGGATATCAACAATTTTGAAAGTTCTATGTAATATACATGCAAAGGAATACCAGAAAGTCGGGAAAATATTACACTGATAGAACAAAAGAAACGATATGAGGTTAGGAACAGAACAATGTACACTTTCATTTAACTGACACCTTCTGAATTTCGATGGTCTTTTCTCTCTTTTGCTTGCTTTGATAGAAAATAATTAGCCATTATGCAGTCTAGTCACCTAATTGTGGGTTTGTTAGGATTAATATAAAATAAACAAAAATTAAAATGTAATCTCTTTAAAATCACAATTGAAGAAGCTGCTCCATTTCTTTTTTTATTGTTTTAATCCTTACTTGAGGAAGTGTTTATTGATATTTTAGAGAGAGAGGAGAAATGGCAGGGGGTGCAGAGAGAGAGATCAATGTAAGAGAGAAACATCGATTGGTTGCTTCCTATACATGCCCAGACCCGGGATCAAACCCGCAACCCAGGTAGTACCGCTGACCAGGAACTGAACCTGCAATCTTTTGGTGTACAGAACAACGCTCCAACCAACAGAGCCACCCAACCAGGGCAAAAAGATGGTCCATTGTATGGTTGCCATAGAGTTACTCTTGGAAACCATACCATGGCTTACTTACCTGTGGTGAACATTCCAGTCAGAGGCTCTGACTGCCCTTCCTCATACATGGAGGAGATGGCAATGGTATACTCCGTGAGGGGTGTCAGGCCCTTCAGCGGGAATGTAGTGATAGGGTCGACTTCAACCTGTAGAGGAAAGACGGCATGACAGCTATATCAGATACTCTCTGACACTGGAAACAGAAGTCGTTTTATTAGCATCTGTGGTTCACTTGGCTGGCAGCAGAGGTATAAATATTGCAAAAAAAAAAATTCCTGTATTATAAAACCAGTCAGTTTTTATATACACATTTCTAATCTTATACCCTTAAACAGGTTACCTATCAGTTAATTCTCAGGACATCTTTACAACTAATATTATTTCCACTCATGAATGATCTAGAACGTAAAGTGCACACAATTTATACTGTTAGCATAAATATAATGCTTCCAGGCTGATCTGCTAGACGCAGCCAGTTTTTGGCTTGATTTTCTGGACTCTGTTGACTCCATGATTAAGTAACTCCCATAGAGATGCACAGGTGAGTAACCATGCAGGGGTGGAATAAGAGAATGGTCATATGAAAGACAATAATAAATATTTGAAATTGCCCGTTATCTTTCAGAGAGAGATATACCTGGGAAAAATATGTATCCATATCTTTAGGGCACATAAAGGAGGAAGTACTGAAGGTAAGGACCAAAAGTGTAAAGAAAAGGAAGAATTGGAAAGGGAAAGGAAAAAAGAACAGATCTTGAAGAAGAAAAAAAAAACAAAGTACAAGGAGGTGAGGGCAGAATCTAGAAGACAGAGAGAGCCCTGAGCAAAGTCATCTTCAGAGTCAAAGAACAGACACAGCTTCACCTCTGAGAGGCTGGGTCTCGGGCTGTTGAGTTACATACAGGAGAGATACAGGAGGCCGAGCAAATGGAACCTCCCACTTAAGCCCTTTCCAGACATTGCCTCAATTAAAATTCACAAAACTACTATACGCTAGGGACTCTGGGAAACTGAAGAAATGAACCTATTTACCTGAAAGCAGACTCTGCCAAAAAATATCTGACTTAAAATGTTTTCAGGAGACATTTTAGAGCAATATCATGAAGATCCGTGGTTTACAACAGTGCGAATAACTAATCGTCATGCTCCCTGAGGTTAATGGGAAGGTAACTAAGCTCACTGTATTTGCTCATGGCAGTCAAAGTGACCTTTACCAAAATATAAAATGCATCACATTCTACCTAAACCCTCCATGGGCTGCCCTTCAAATGAAAACCAGGCCCCCTGCAATGACCCCTTGGCCTGGTACCACCTGGAGCGCTGCTCCTTTTTTAACCGCACCTTATTGCCCCCTGGGCTCCAGCCTCACTGACCTCCCAGCAGGTCCAAGTCTTCTTCACCTCAGGGCCGCTGCACATGCCGTTGGTTTTTTCTGGGACCCTATTTCCCTAGATCTTTCAAAATTCCGCCTTCCTCATTGGTCAGGACCGAGCTTAAATTCCACCTCCTCAGAGGGGGTTTCTCTTTCCACCTCTCCCAGTAGGGCTATTCTCGAACAACACCCTTATTTGTTTCCCCTCTAGCACCAATCACAGCCCCAAATTATTTTATTTCCATACAAAGTGGTTTGTTGTTTACCTCCTACATAGAGTGTAAACTCCTTGAGGGCAAAATGTTGGTTAGCTTTTTTACTACTGTATGTTGCATTTTTTTTTTTTGAGGGAACAGAATAATTAAATGAAAATTCAGATGAAAGCAACAAAGAGTCTTGTAATTTATTTTTTAATTATATTTTTTGATTGTGTTATTACGATTTTTCTAGTTTTTCCCCTTTGCTCCCCTCTACTCAGTGCCCGCTACTCTCTCAGGCAATCCCTCTACCATTGTTCATGGATCGTGTGTATAAGTTCTTTGGCTACTACATTTCCTGTAGGGTACTTTGCATCCCCGTGGCTATTCTGTAACTACCTATTTGTACTTCTCAGTCCTCTCACCTCTTTGCCCATTCCCTCCATCTCCCCTCCCATCTGACAACCATCTGGTAACTAACTTCTTTTCTCTTGCTGCTTTTAAGAGTCTCTCTTTATCTTTAACCTTTGGCCTTTTCATTATGAGGTGTCTTGGAGTGGACCTCTTTGCATCCACCATAATTGGGATTCTGTGATTCCTGGACATGCATGTCTATTTTCTTTGCCATTTTAGAGAAGTTCTCTTTCACTCTTTTTTCAGATAGATGTCCAATTTCTTGTTCTTTCTCTTCTTCTGGTGCCCCTGTGAGGTGACTGTTCAGTCTCTTAAAGTTGTCCCAGAAGCTGTTTATACTATCTTCATTTTTTTGTATTCTTTTTTCTTCTTGTTGTTCTGATTGGTTGTTTTTGCTTCCTTATGTTCCAAATCATTGATCTGATTCTCGGCTTCATCGATTCTACTGTTGTTTCCCTATAAATTGTTCTTTAGTTCAATCAGTGTATCCTTCATTTCTGACTGTGTCTTCCTTATGCTGCTGAGATCCTCACTAAGTTCCTGGAGCATCCTTATAACCAGTGTTTTGAACTCTGCATCTGATCGATTGCTTATCTCCATTTAGCCCTTTCTGTGGAGTTTTGATCTGTTATTTCAGTTGGGCCATGTTTCTTTGTCTCCTCATTTTGACAGCCTCCCTGTGTTTATTCCTATGTATTAGGGGGAACTCTTTTGACTCTGCGTCTTGATAGTGTGGCCTAATGTAGTAGGTGTCCTGTAGGGTCCAGTGGCACAGCCTCCCCTATCATCCAAGCTGGGTACTTGATGTGCGCCCTTCGTGTGAGCTCAGTATACCCTCCTCTTGTAGCTGAGACTTGGTTGCTGCTGGCAGATCAATGGGAGGGATTTACTCAGGCCAGTCAGCTGCAAGGACTGGCTGTGACCACTGACCACCAGCCTCCGCCCTCCATGGAGGATCTTCTGTGCAGGGGCAGGGTGGTGGTGCTCCGAGGTGGTCTGCAGCTGTCCACTGGCTGCGTTAGCCCTGGTGTTTCCCCAGTGGTGCAGGCCAAGGTCAGCCCCCACTTGTGTTTTGTTCAGGGGAACCCTGCCTGAGCTATAAAGCAATCTGAGATGGCTGCTACTTGTGCTGGGCCTGGAGATTCCCTGACAAAACCAAGCTGTGAATCTAATCTGGCTGCTAGGGCTCACTGAAGCCAGCTGTTGCTTGTTTGATAAGATTTATTAACCAAGATCCATCATTCCTATGGAAAAGCAACTTGGGTGGGCCCATTGATTGGGTGAGACAGAACACCTGGGGATTCCCAAAGCGGGGTCAAACAGTGTTAGCCAAATTGATGTAGTCTCAGATATGGCACCAGCTTACCAGCCCTGTGGGGAGTTTAGCAAAGGGATAATGGTCTCTGCTCACCTTGATGCCAGACACTTCTGTTTCTCCCTGTGAACCACTGGTGCCTTTCAAGCTGTTACCCCAGTGCTGGAGCTCAGAGGGAGGGAGTCTGAGTAGGTGAGTCCATGTGTGGGTTCTTTAAGAGAAACTGTTTGGGGTTCCAGAAGTTTCTTCCACTGACTCAATCCCCGCTGGTTTTTGCAGCCAAAATTTGTGGGGACTTATCTTTCTGGCACTGGAATCTGGGAATGGGTGGCCTGGTGTGGATCTGGGAGCCCTCACTCCAGAGATATCCCTCTGAAATTTTTATCCACATGTGTGTGGGACAAGCCCATTCCACATCTGCACCCCTCCTGGAAGCTTGGATGGATGTGGTTTCTTTTATTTCACAGTTGTCATACTTCCATTCAGCTTGATTTCTGGAATCCTGAGTGATGGTTGTCCTATATTTTAGTTGTAATTTTGACATGGTTGTGCAAATAGGCAAGCCATGTCTGTCTATGCTGCCATCTTGACTGGAAGACAACAAAAAACCTTTTTAAAGGAGATAATAAAGGGCTCGTCTAACCTAAGAGCCAATCCAGAAACTACATAAACTTTTAAAACAAAAGTAAACTACAGTTTCAAAAAAGAGTGTCAACCCTGGAGAGAAGAGCATCCATTTTCAACCCTTTGAAACCCTGACCAATCAGTTGGACAGAGGAGCCAAACTTCTAGCCTTTTCAGCCACCTCAGCAGAGGTGCCAGATATGGAAATGAAGTCATCTTGGAAATTCTAGCCCACTCAAGGTCCCAGATGAGTACAAGAGTCACCCCAGCTGACACTACATGGAGCAGAGACAAGCTACCCCTGCTGAACCCTGCCCAAGTTGCATAATCATGGGTTGTTATTTAAGCCAGGGTGTTAGTTACACAGTAATAGTTAACTGGAAAAAAAAAAAAGGAGTATCTTCTGAATCTGAACCTCATATTATAGGTCATTCTTAGCATTTAGCATTTTTCTGTGGTCTGAGTACTGTATGTAGGATTTACATGTATTAGTTCACTTAATTCCTACACAACTCCATAGGGTAGTTAATTATTACCCCTGTTTGAAGATGGGGAAATGAGACTCCAAAAAGTTAAGGATTTGCTAAGGGATAACCAGCTAGTATATAGAACTTAAATACAAGTGTTTCAGACTCTAAATCCTGTACTCATAAACATTATTCACAATATGGCTTCATTAAACTCATAGAAAAGACAAGTCCATATTTAAAATGTGAGCTGAATACACATTCATCTAAACTATATTTACATATTGCTTTCCGTTGTTTTGAATTGTAATAACTAGGATTTACTGAGCACTTAACAATGTGTCAGTGACTTTGCATCCATTGTCTTATTTAGTGCATTCTCCTCCCCCTGATAAACCCTAGTTATTTTTAATAACTATTTTATCAACAAGGATCTTGAGGCTCAAAGTGCTAATCTAACTTTCCTGGAGCCATAAAACTATTAACTAAAATGTGTAATTAGGACTTGACCTCTCTGTCTTAAATACACAGTCAGTTTCCCATATATATACATATATATATGTATATATATGTATATATATACATAAACACACACATACATAAAAGTATATATTGATATATCTCTTTTCAACAGATATATTTATTTATTAAAGCCTTTTATTTGATACTGAATAGACTAATTTTATGCATTAATTATTGATTATTTCATCAAATATAATCTTTTATTTTTATTAGTTTTCCTATTTGAGTTTCAGACTAAGTTCTGAAACTAGTGTTCCTGGTAATAGTTTTAAGATGTAGGAGAATTTGGGAAAATGAAAATGATATCAAATGACCATGATCTCATTGTTATGGAAGTGCTTTTGAGAATAATTTTTCAAACAGTCTCGCTAAAAGCTTAACTTCAGCCTAATTCTGGGCGAGATGAAGAAATAGTCCTTGATGAGGAACGAGGGATTTGAGCTCTATTCTGGGCTCTGCTGTTGAGCCATTACTGTCGGAAACTGGACTTGCTTCTCAGAGTCTAAAAACTGGGGCCTTTCCTTTATAAAACTCACATGGCAGCACTTCAGGTCCATCATGTTTGCACATGTCCCCAAATTCTTTCACAACACATGCTCTCTGAGGCGGCTTCTCTCCTGGGTTCGACAGGCCATGTGTCGGCAGCACTTGTGTCTAAGGACTGTGCTCGGTACTCTCTGTAAAGCTCTCAGAACAGCGACTGGCGCAGGAGAGCACTGAACACGTTAGCCGCCGCCACCACCATCACCATTGACATCGCCGTCACCAACCGTATTATCATCACTGACATACAAGTGTTCTGTTTTGATTTTCGTTTTTAGTCTCCAAAAAGTTGGGGAGAAGAGTAAGGCAGAAGAGACACAGAGGGAGGAAGAGGAAGTAAAGGAAGGAAATATAAATTAAGCCAAAAGCAAAGCTTTAGCAATTCATTGCATGTTACCTACTGCCTCGATTTCAGTTGGGACATTTTAAAGCTCATTCCAGAATGTTTCAGAAATTTCCTAAAAACCCACTTGTAAAATTGACTATAAATAAAATCTTAAATTAATAAAAGTTAGAGCAAAATGTGATAGGAATATTCACCATTAAATCACATATTCCAAAATGAGGTAAAATAATATTTCACTTAAACAGGAGATGCTTGTCAAGCAACCTCTAGTCTCAACTGCATAGTTAAAACTTAAGAACGTACATGTACACACCAGTCAAAATGAAAATGTTACAAAGTAACCAGAGGGGATGGGGAAGGAGGACAATGATGGAAAGAAGGGGAAGGGACTAGACAAAGAACATGGATGAATGACCCACGGACATGGACAACAGAGTGGGAATTGCCTGTGGGAGTGGAGGGCGGGGTGGGATGGGTGGAGGAGGGCGAAGGGGGAAAATTGAGACAACTGTAAGAGAATGAATATGATTTAAAAATAAAATTAAAAAAAATGAAAATGTTACAAAAACTACACATTGTTCATCCATTTTATTCAGATAAAATATTTTCATATTTTCAAGTCCATTTACCTATATTTTAAGTTCAGTTTTACCAAACATATTTTTCTAATTTTCAAGCACAATAAAAATTAGAAATAGTAAGTGCCAAAGGCATCCTCAAGATTGAAAAACACTACAAGAAAGCACATGTTTTCTCAACAAATGTATTAGCCTGGGACCATTCTTTATAAAGGCAAATAACATAAAATACTGTAAAAGGCTACAACTATAATTTTTTTAAACGAATGTTAACTGGACCTATTGTAGTGATCATTTTGCTATTATACAAATGTCAAATCACCTGAAACTAATATAATGTTTTATGTCAAGTATACCTCAATAAAAGTTATTGTATGATATAATTATATTTTTAAATATAACTCATATGTACATGTATGTGACACTTTATTTTTGGTTTATGAAAAATCATTACCAAAGAAAGATGCTCTACAGTGAACAAGTATTTACTGTGGAGTGTGGCTGCTGTGTTATTTCGGTTGTTTAATGAGGCGACGTTTTTTGTTGGTAAGCTTCACATAAAAATAGAAATCCCCGGAAAGATTAAGGGTCACAAGGTCTGGCAACCCTGCCTGGATTTCCATGCGGTGACAATCTGCCGGAGCTGACAGTGGGGGGTCTTGGACGGGCACGTGTGCACCCCTCGGCCCACTGGCCCCTGCCGCAGCCTAGCATCCTTGTCACGGTGCCCCACTGTCCATGGTCACTTACCATCAATCTCGAACTACTGTTTTTCTTTTGGTGGAAAATTTCTTCTACTGTACATCCATGTCCCCAAAATGGGAATACAAAATATATGAAATATAGTCCAAGTTAGCCTCGTGTTTTGAGAAAAACAGGTGAAAGTGTGTTTCTTTGCAGATGTGACTATTACTGCACATTTAATGGCATGCTTCCCTCATTCATATCATCTGTTTGATCTTCCTACACGCCTGAATTTGTAAACCTGATAGCTCAGTGTTTTTTGTTTCAATCCTTTTCAGCCAACACAAAAAGCTGTCATGCTAGAGGGTTCATGTGGAGAGTCTCCTTAGAAACACAGAGAGCTGCCCCAGCCCCAGCTGATCCCATCTTCCCAGACCAGGCGCCAGACCTATGAGTTAGGAGGCCATGGTAAGGGCACCAGCTTCAGCCACTACCTGGCTGCAGTCTCACGAGTGACCCCAAACCAAGTAGTGGTGTCTTCAAAAGCAAAGCAACAAGTCCAAATGGTCCCAGCTTTGTCAGATTTTGCCATAAGATTTATAGGATTTAATGAAGATGTTGAACGGTATGTCAACATTATTAGCCAATGTGTAGTTATTGCTCATTCATTACCCAATGTCCTGCAGAGGGTGCATTCTGCATTCTGAAAAATACTAAGTGGATTTAATTACAAGGAAAAATTTGTCTCTGCATATGAAAATGCTTGCTTTATTTGGTCAGAAAACAGAAATGATGTAATCCAACATATTTCCCTCTTTGTCTTAGCTTGTTGGACCAAGATAAGGAAAAAAGAATAAAAATAACTTTGCTAACTATTCTGCTAAAACATATTGCCAAGGGAAAAATGTCTAAAGAGTATTAATCACTGAATGCAAGATACTATATCTTCATAGGTTTTAATAAGTTCTATTATGTAAAAGTCTCATCCTACACAAAATTTGAATTATTCAGTTTGCAATTTAAGTTCATCAAACTAGGGTCTTTCAGATGCCAGTCTACTCAAAAACAGACAAACTGGGTAACAGTGACATTATTTCTAGTTTACTATTTCCATGAAAATACATACTTCCCCACCCCAGTTCAATGGGGAAGATGATATTTTCCCAAGATGGCCACATCACTGTCTACCTCCCTTCCCACATGCCTCCCCATATAGGTGCGACCTGTCTTCCTCCCCATCTTGAATCCATAAGGGACTTGTCAAATTTCCTATCAATAGAGTGTGGTGGGGGTGATAGTCTGTCGCTTCTGATACTAGGTAACTCAAAGTGGCATAGCTTCCGTGTAGCTGACACTCTGCCTCTATCTCTTTGAACACAGGTTTGGGGACTCCTGAGCCAACACAAAAAGCTGCTGTGCTAGAGGGATCATGTGAAGAGTCTCCTTAGAAACACAGAGAGCTGCCTCAGCCCCAGCTGATCCAGTCTGCCCACACCAGGCGCCAGACCTATGAATTAGGAGGCCAAGATGAGGGCACCAGCTTCAGCCACTACCTGGCTACAATCTCATGAGTGACCCCAAGCTAAAATTAACAGCCAAGTCCCAATTCCAGACCCAAAGAAACTGTGAAAGAAAACAGTATTGTTTTGAGCTACTATGTTTTGGGATGGTGGGTTATGCAGCCATTAAAAAAAAACAAAACAAAAAAACCCCAAAACATAAGCAGTGGAAAATTCGACATAGTGTTCCAACTTACCTCATTGATTTCAGTCCCATCTGCGTTGTTATATACAATTTTATAACCAATGACCTTTCTTGAAGTTGGGTCCCAGGCTAACCGAGCACTGTTAGAGCCAACATTGGAGATTCTCAGGTTTCTTGGTGGACTTAAGGGCACTTTACAGTATATAGAATAGAAAATAATTAAAATTTTAAATAATGTACATGTAAAAAAGACAACAACAAAAAAACAGCATCTTTGACTTCTGAGCTACTTACAAAGAAAAGTTTTCATTGAGATAATAACATATAACCAAAAAATTAACAAAAAAGTTTTTCTTGTAAGGAATGAATAGTAGGAATAAATTACCCACACTTAGATATTAATAAAATTGAGGTAAATTTTCTGTGCCTTTCTTCTGCAGTCAATGCTAGTATAGCCTGGGATAAATATAGCCTATTAGATCAACCAGGATACCTGAAATTAAATGTTAGCCATTCCATCCACCTATCATATGATTCTGGCAAAGTCATTTGACTGGTCCTCTCCACAATTTCCCATGTGCAAAATGAGGGTGATGCCTACTTAATCTGCCATCATCACTTTGATCTGTTAGGCATTTCCGAATGGGTCCAAAATTGAGCCTCTGGCTCCTGCCGCTACTCCCAAACTTCTCTCTTGGTGTCTCCCTCTGAGGAGAGAGAAACTCCATTTTTCCCATTGCTCAGGCCAAAACCTTGGAGTTGGCCAAGATTCAGGTTTTTGAACACACATCACCTTGTCAGTGAAGCTTCCCATGATCACCTCACATAAAATAATCCTTCTACCCCATGGTATCTATCTTACTTCCCTGATTTTTATTTTTTATTGCACACTTATTTTCTATTGTCTTCTCCCCCACTATATTACAATCTCAGAGGGCTAGGGAATTTGGTTTAATTTTGTTCCAGGCTTTACCCCTAATATAACAAGCACTCAACAAATATTTGTTGAATCAATGAGCAGTGTTCCACTTGAATAAAGCTCAGTGACTTTGTGAGACTAGATTAAAAAAAAACACTTTCCTGTTGTCTTAATAAATATTTAAAGAGGTTTTGGTATTTCTGCAGATTCCTATCAATCACATAGTGTTTTATACTTCTTAAGAGCCCCTTTATGATTCAACAGATTAAAACCTGTCAATAATCTTTGAGAATGTTGTGAACTTGCACAGGTTTATAGTAAAAACAATAGTTAAGATGTATTTCATGCTTTCTATGAGTCTGAGACATACACATTATCTCATTAAATCCTTATATTAGGTTGCAAGGATAGAGTTACAATTATCCCCACTATATAGATCATAAAACTAAAGTAGCTTGGCCATGGTCACAGTTAGTAGGAGCAGAGGAGCATTTAGGATTTAACCCAGGCAACTGAACAACTGATTTAAGGACATGTGATATAGTACTGATAGAGCCAGTAGAGCAAAAATTTAGAAGATAAATAATGATAGCTGTCAGCTATAGTAGCATAATGTTTCCCTCACCCCTAAGGTCAATTCTTTCATTAATTATATATATAAATTTGTCAATAAAGAGCCTATATGACTTAGTGACTCTCAAACTTATCCTTAAGTATTGAGAGAGAAATTGTAGGAGGGGGAAAAGAAATATAATTATTTTAAGTGTTGTGCAGTATGATGAAACAATGTCTGGTTTCCTTAGTCCATAAAACTGCCAGTCTAAATGGTGATGGAAGGAGAACTTGACTTTGGGTGGTGACCACACAATACAATATACAGGTGCTGTATTATAGAATTGTACACTTGAAACCTTATAATCTTATTAACCACTGCAACCAAAAAATTTCTGTAATAATATTTTAAAAAATAAAATAAAAAGCAGATTAATAAAAAGAACACCATTCTCAGGAACAAGTACCTGGGACATTAGTTTTTAGTTTGAGCCACAGTGATCGGATAAGAAAAAGAAATAAAGGCCATCCACATTGGAAAGGAGGAGGTAAAACTATCATTATTTGCAGATGACATGATATTGTAGAAAGAAAACTCTATAGTCTCCACCAAAACAACTATTTAATCTAATAAATGAATTTGGCAAAATAGCGGGACACAATATCAATATTCAGAAATAGAAGGCATTTTTGTATACCAACAATGAAATATCAGGAAAAAACTAGGAAAAAATCCTATTCACTATAGCAACAAGAAAAATAAAGTATCTAGGAATAAACTTAACCAAGAAAGTAAAAGACCTGTACTAAGAAAACTATAGAACACTGAAGAAGAAAATTAAGGAAGATACAAATAAATGGAAGCATATACCATGTTCATGGATTGGAAGAATTAACATCTTTAAAATGTCCATGCTACCTAAAGCACTCTATAGATTCAATGCAATCACTATTAAAATAGCAATGGCGTATTTCACAGATCTAGAACAAAAATTCATATGGAACCAAAAATGACCCCAATAGCCCCAGCAATCTTGAGAAAGAAAAACAAAGAAGGAGGGATCATAATACCTGATATCAAACTATATTACAAGTCCACTGTAATCAAAACAGTCAGGTACTGGCATGAGAACAGACATACAGATCAATGGAACAGAATAGAGAGCCCAGAAATAAACCCATGACTCTGTGGTCAATTAATATTTGACAAAGAGGGCAGGGGCATAAAATGGAGTAAAAATAACCTCAATCAACAAGTGGTGTTGGGAGAGCTGTACAGGTACATGCAAAAAAAAAAGAAAAGAAAAAAGAAAAAGAAATGAAACTAGACCACTAACTTACACCATACCAGAATAAACTCAAGATGGATAAACAACTTAAATATAATTTGTGACACCATTAAAGTCCAAGAGGAGAACATAGGCAATAAAATTTCAGATATCCCACACAGCAATATTTTTGTAGATATATCTCCTAGGGCAAGGGAAATAAAGGAAAAAATAAACAAATGCACAGCTAATCAAATTAAAAAACTTCTGCACAGCTAAAGAAAACATCAGCAAAATGAAAAAGGATCCAACCATACAGAAAAACATTTGTGATATCTTCGACAAGGGTTTGATCTCTAAAATATATAAAGGACTCATATAACTCAACACCAGGAAGACAAACAATCCATCTAAAAAAAATGGGCAAATGATCTGAACAGACACTTCTCAAAGAAGGACATACACAGGGCCCATAGAAATATGAAAGGATGCTCAACCTCACTAGCAATCAGAGAGATACAAATTAAAACCACAATAAGATACCACCTCACACCAATAAGAATGGCTATCATTAACAAATCAACAAACAAGTGCTGGCAAGGATGTGGAGAAAAGGGAACCTTAGTGTACTCCTGGTGGGAATGCAGACTGGTGCAGCCACTATGGAAAACAGTATGCAATTTCCTCAAAAAACTAATAACAGAACTGCCTTTCGACCCAGCAATTCCACTACTGGGAGGATACCCTAAGAATCCTGACACACCAATTCAAAAGAATCTCTGCACCCCTATGTTCACAGCAGCATCATTCACAATAGCCAAGTGCTGGAAACAGGCTAAGTGTCCATCAGTAAATGAGTGGATCAAAAAACTGTGGTCCATTTACACAACAGAATACTATGCAGCAGAGAGAAGAAGGAATTCAACTTTTGCCACAGCATGGATGGAACTGGAGAATATTATGCTAAGTGAAATAAGCCAGGTGGTAAAAGATAAATACCATATGATCTCACCTACAAGAGGAACCTAATAAACAAAAGAGACAAACAAAATAGAACCAGAGGCATGGAAACAAGGGACAGACTGACAGCAACACAGGGTGGGAGTGGTTAAGGGTAGATAGAAGGGGAAGGGACTGGTCAAGGAACATACACTAATGAGCCGCGGACATGGACAACAGGGTGGGGATGGACCGTGGGAGCGGGGCAGGGTGGTGGGATAAGTGAGGAGGGCGAAGGGGGAAACATTGGGACAATTGTAATAGAACAATAAAATATTTAAGAAAAAAAGAAAATAGATGAAAAATGAACAAAAAATATCAACTCCTAATGGTAGATTTGGGTCATGCACATTTTTTAATATAAAGAAATGAATATTCTGAGTGAAAAATAGGTGGGCAGTTAGGAAAAGTTCACTCAAGTCAAGAGATATATTAGATTCTGTCTAGTATGATTCATTTCTCCTGTGTTGGGCTCTCCCAGCTTTTATTGGGGGGGGGCGGAGGGTGTTTATTTGCTGTTTTAATTAGATTTGTCTTTGTTCAAAGAGCAAGAACATGGCCTTGATTAGCAAAGAATGAATGTGGAAAATCTTCTTTATCATTAAATGTCTATGTATGTTTCCCAGACAGAATCTTAAAGACAAAAGCATTGTAGAAATTGTGCTATTCACCTCCTCCAAAGGCTCAGAGGGATGGACAAGACCCTGAATCTCTGTACTTATATTTACCTTTCCTAAAAATCCTATGAACTCCCTACATTTAACCAAAATTAGACTTGCCAGTAAAATTATCACTCAATTTTAAATAACTAATTATAATAACAGTCTGAGATAAAAAGGACTGCAAAGACTTTTTTGAGAAAAACCATGTAAATTTTGATAAGAGCAGAGAAATATTGAATAAATGTGTGCTGAGTGCTTTCACCTGCACTACTGTCTTTCACCTATACTACTATTATTTCTCCTTTTACAGACTCAGAAATGTTATATTACTTGCCCATTGTCACCCAGTTAAAATATGACTTGAGCTGGCATTGCCATCCCAGCTGGCCTGATTTTAAAGCCCATATTATAGCCTTTGGATTTAGACCAAGATGTTGGTGGCTAGAGAATGCTAAAGTTCAGTCTTAGCATCCATATAACTCGTAATAATAAGATGACTAGAAGAAATATATTTACTTCCCTTAAATAAAATACACATTTTCTTTTTAATTTTTAAATTTTTTTTCAATTACAGGTGAAATTCAATATTACTTTTAAATTAGTTTAAGCTGCACAACACAATGGTTAGACACGTATATGATTTCAGAAGTGATCCTCTTGATAAGTCTAGTACCCACCTGGCACCGTATATAATTATTACAATATTATTGACTGTCTTCCCTCTGCTGTGCTTTACATTCCCAAATACACATTTTCTTAAGTTATGATTAGCTCTTAAGAGGTTGAAACCTAAACCAGTATTTCCAATTTAGAACCCCAATGTTGATTTGGGCTTTTACTACAGCATTTCATCTGAATGACGGAACTGCTCACATGTTGTTTCTTGTCCTGAAACAGGATCGCTGGCCTCTTCTCCAAACATAGCATAAACTGTCACTGTGTACTCCGTATTGGGCAATAGCCCACTCAGCTCAATATCCGTGTGGGTCTGTCCAATTTTCATCTGGAAAGAACACACGTTATCAGATTGTGTGCCAATGTGTCTTATTCATGTTGATCAGAGTGGAACTGGATGAAGGTGAGACCTCACAGAATAAGACTGTCTCCTCACAATCCCTTCATCAAACAGGCATCGGTCATAATTTGTTCATTGTCACATTATTTTATATTAGGAACAGATGCTATGGAACATATAAAACTAAACACGCCCATGTGTGCTGTTTTCGGATAACTCTTTACATCTGGACAAGTGGCAACTGCAGTGAAAATAAGTGTTGAATGTTTGGTCCTCAGGAGAGTGTGGGTGGAATTGAATCAGAAATGTTCTCTAGAAAGAGTATAAGCTCCGGGCCAGCATACTGGGGGCCGTGCCAACTGGGCATCTTTCACCACTTGGCTAATTCTAACCAGTTGCCTGGCTGGAGGCCCAGTCTTTGCTTCAAACTCAATTGAGCTGGACCAGTTCTGTTGCCCAGTTCAACAAAGGGGCCTGTCTGCCTGTATTGCAAGTCTTTTCCAGGATTCAGAAGAGATCATCCCACCTTGATGCCCAAGTTGGCAATTTGCTTCTTTGATTCTGGGATGACTTTTCTGACCCTTGGAGTAAGCTAGCCAACAGTCTCAGTTGTGTAACCGCTAGGTGACAGCTGCGTAACAGGTTGCTTTTAGTTTTGTTGTGGGAAGAAGCAAAATATCTCCATAGACAGTGTCTAGTCACACAACTTCCCGTGTCATTATTTATCAAATTAAAAATTTTCCTTTTGAGACATCTCAACATACATAATAGAAATGTGGAGAAAATACTGTAACACACCCTGATGTATCCACCACTCAAATTTAATAAATAGCAACATTTTGTCATGTTGACTTCAGATCTGATTTTTTAAAGGATATATTCAGATAAAACAAAAGTTCTGTTCATTCTTTCTGTTCACTAGCTCTACCCTAATGTTGAGGTGTATCTTATTGATCCATTATCTTTTTACCTCTACATACATATGTATGTACCTGTAAATAATGTGGTTCTGTATGTTTAACAACATAAATGAAACTATAACACCATAATATTTTTATAATTTTTTTCTCTATCAATATTATGTTTCAAGATTTATCCATGTTGATACATAGGGACAGAATTGACATTATTTAATTCCTTTGTGGTGTTCTTTTGCATAAATAAGCCACAATTTTCCATTCTTCTATTGATGAACATACCAGTTGTTTGCAATGTTTTGTTCTGACCAAGTCCCTGCAATGAAAAATCCTTGCAGGATGCTTTGCTATGACAAATACCTTAAAAACTGTATATATCTTAAACTTGATGAAACATTTCAAATTATTCCCCAAGGCAACACTACCAATTTACATGAGTGATTCCGTTCCTCCACATGCTCACTCATATGTAGTATTATCAGGCTTTAAACGTTGTTCACTAATTGCATTTGAACTGGTACCTCCTCTTCTTTATCTGTCTCTTTCCTAGTGAAGCTGAGCATCTTTGCAACAGCATTTTAAAGACTCCCCTCTGCCAAAATAATTCAAACCAACATTAAATCCAAATGGGCAAAAGCTGCCGAAACCTTGCAAATACAAACACACGTCACCAATGCTCTGTTCTTGACACTCAGATTCACCACACTGTTGGCCCTAGAAATCTCTGGCACCAGAGGCAGATTTTAAACAGTGTTCAAGAATAAAGTTCTGTATTCCTCTCTTGTCCACCTGACTGGTCAGGACACTTTTAAGTGTCATAGATACTTCTCTTTAATTCCTTGAATATCTATCTTATAGTATTTGTTTCCTGAATTAAAAATGAGGACTACCATAAATTATTGAAAAGTCAAAGATTCATCATTGAAAAAGGAAAAATGCAAAAAATCTGTATCAATGAGATGCACTTGTCACCTTGCAAATTGGTAAACACAAAATTTCTGAGTCAGTGTGCATGGGGGAAACAGTCATTTGTGGACTACATATAGAAATATAAATGATGTAAAATTCCTCTAACGTCATTTGGTAATACCTAGTATAATGATTGGCATTCCCTTTGGGGAAAAAAAAAACCCACTTTATTTCTAGGACTTTATCCTAATAATCAGACAACCATACAAAGTTATATTTTTAAAATGGTCACAAAGCATGTTTGTACAGAAAACTATTTAAATGTGCAATAACATGAATTTAATTGAACATGAACTGGTACAAAAACAACAGTGGAATACTATAAAGATGTTTAAAGTACTACAGATAAATAAAATATTATTTAATGGTATGGAAAGATATTCACAATAACCAAAATGAAAACTGAAAAGTGCAAAAACATTCCCATGTGTTGTGTCCAAAATGCATTGAAAAAGACTATAACTAAATGTGAACAACTTACTACCTTTAAGTGGTGGGACTACAAATGACTTTTTCCTCTTGCTTAATGTGAATTTTATAAATTTTATGCATTAAATTTTCATAGCAAAACGTCTATTTTAAGGAAGTCAAAGATTCTAGGACTCGAGTGGGCAGTGGGTGGTTACCTCTTTCTCATCCCCAGCCAGACCCTCTGTGAGCGGAGCGTAGAGAACCAGGTAGCCCGAAGCTCCAGCCACTGCGTTCCACTTTGCCCGCAGACTGTTCTCAGTCACATCGTATAGTTCAAGGTTGGAAGCCATGGGTAAAGCAACTGCAAGAGGAGATTACTTTTTTAAATATTCATCCATTACCAGTGTGCTTGCTTATTTCCAAGTATCTATGTGCTACTTAACTACACGTAGTTTGTTTTTCAGATGATTTTCATCCTTAAATCTGTTCACATAGTCTTCTGTGAGGGAAAACAGTGAGTGTTTAAAGCAGGAACAACATCTTCTAGTTTCTTACATCCCACTTCAGTGATGGGCACCTTCTCTGGGAGCCAGTCAAGAGCGAGAAGACTATTCTCACCATCATTTTATGTCTATCACCAAGCAGTCTCTAACATGCAGCAGCCATTAAAAATAGTTGTTGGGTCACTTAACAAAATGATAGAATGGGTGGCTGGATGAACAAATACATGAATGAATCAGTACTCATTGAAACATTCAATCAGGGACAGTGATGAGACGTGACTAAGTAGCCATAGGTTTGAGAAAAATGGAATAATTAAGACTGGCCATATTTGTGAGGTGGGGAGAGATTAAGGATAAATTACAAGTTTCTGGCTTTAACAATGCCAACAAAAACTATGAAATGTTTTCAGACACAAACCTAGGTCCTCCATACTGTGGCTCTGCCTGTTTTTCCCACCACAATGTCAAATTCAGGACTTTGTTCACATGCGCAGCTCCCTGTCACGCTTTGGCAGAAGTGCCTGTAGCACTTCATTGCACCAATTTGTTTGCATGTCCTCAGTTTGCATTCCCTCCCTTAACTAGACAAAAGCTTCCTTCGGGGCAGGAATTGTTACCAAAATATTTCTGAAAAGCAAGAATATTAATACCCGCCTTACAAATCATTGTCAGGGATAAATACAGCAATGTAATGAACAGGAGTGTGATTATCATAGCACCATATTGCTATTGGTGTTGTTTATTCTGCTATTGTTTTACCAGAAGCAGAGTTTTTAAACCAACTTTGCCCACTGCCTACCATTTCATAGGACCTCAATTCATGTTTGAAATAACTAAATGAGTGGTTAATTGTGTTTTCTAAGATGATCCTTTCCCAGGATTGCTGGTGTGTGTGTGTATGCTATCACAATCATGCTCAGGTAAGGAATTACTAGTACTCAGGAGCTTGTTTTAACTGTAATGCTATAAAAAATGAAAACAGATGTAACATAGTTTCCTTGTAATTCTACTAGGCAGGACAGCTACAGAGCCCCTCCTCTACTTCTAATGACAAGTTCAAGCCTAGTGCTTAGTTCAGTACGTACGTGTGGTTTCAGTTCCCCGTAGGCCTTCACTAGCAGTGTGAGGATATACTGCAAAGACTGCTACCTGATACTCAGTGAACGACATCAAGTTTTTCAACACCGTGGAATTTACACTTCCATCCACCACCACCTGTTTAAAGAACAGTTCAGCAATGAGAGTATAAAATATCCCATGCACAGAATAAAAATAAAAAAGCAATAATATCTCTAGCAAGATCGTTTCATTAAATATGTTCTTATTTGCGTCACACACTCCTCCCACTGTGGCAGTCAGTTCTTCTTGAATTCCTACTTGAAGAGACACAACTTTTATGGAACGTGTCCAGAAGTCCCCTATTAATGCTTATCTAATGGAAACTGTGTCATTCTTATCCTAATCACATCTACCTAATAACAGTTAACATGTGATATTTTTCCATGGAGCTTTAGGAAGCATTTAAAAGGTTTATTAGTCATGAAAGATATAGAACTTTTGGAAACATTCCGATTTTTTTATTTTTTATTTTTTGATCCAGAGGATTTAAACCTCCATGATCTACTTCTCTAACATTTACAAAAAAAAAGTATAACTCCTGACATAATACAGAAAAAAAAAATGTAACAGGCTGAGGTTACTCAGGATGACAACAATAAAAGGTTAGCGCTTTAAAAAAGAGAAACTTTATCACATGTTAACATATTCCCTGTGAATTGCTGTATCAAAGGTGGGAACTGGGGAGAATTCAATCATCTGGCAAGGCTTATTCTCCCCTGATGGCCAAGCCATGAACGAGGCCGGCCCCAGATTCTTTCTTATGGCTTCTCCATTGCACTCAACTCCACACACATCAGAAAATCCCCAGCCCCGGAGGACTTCACAGCCACATAATTTGGAACACACTGACTCTGTTAAGGCCGAAAGTTCAGACCACTCCTGAAATAGAAAGAATACATGAATAGCAAAAGGGGGTTCTGGCCAGATAATTAACTACTGATTTTTTTTATTTTTTTGCTTTAGAACTCTTTAATTTTCAAAAAGAATAAAGTCAAAATAAGTTGTTTTAGAAATGGATACATGGCCAGATCTGAGGATTATTTGATGGAAGTGACAGGGAAAGATGTAAATAAACTACCTAGACACATGGAAATGTATTGAGGTCAAATAATTTTAAATGTTTGTGGCTCAACGTCCCTCCTATATATCCATTTTTGTCTTGTCCTCACTACTGTAGAAGATTTGAGAAAATGAAAACAATGGTTTAAAAATATTGTCTCCTTATTACCTCGTTTGGTTTTCCACCCCTGGTAGGATAATACACGACTCTGTATTTTTCCACCTTCCCTGGGGCGTGAGTCCAGTTGACCATAAAGCTTCTGGCAGTGACTTCAGAAGTAATCAGCTCTGTAGGCGGCCCAATGGTAGCAAGGGCTAAAGCTAAATTAAAGAAATACATACAATGAACCTTTTCCCCAAAGTTATTTCTTATGAACCTAGGAAACCCAATTAGCCAGAAATCACTATTGATTTTATACTACCTCTAAGATCTTTATCTCTAGATAAATTGATTCAGTTATTCATTCCTGTATTTGTTCAGTAAAACACATAAGTGTCTATTAAGTACCAATCCCTATGCTAGGTTCTGAGGATATAAACTTAAATGAAGACATATTCCTTGACTATAAAGAACTCGCTTAAAGAAATTGCTTTGGAAGAGTAAAAAACAAAAACACAACATTAATTGAGTATGTGCATATCCATAGGTATTCTTCCAAGCTCTTTAGAAGTATTATTTTATTTAATTCTCAGTAGTTTGTATTATTCTTCTCATTTCATAAGAGAGAAAACCAAGTCACAATGAATTTCAAAAACTTGCTCAAATCTCACATTTAGCAATTATCAGAGCTGAGATTGATATTCAAGCTCCTTGCCCCAAGATCCTGTGTTCTTAAGCATCAGGAGGTACAGCAGTTATATTGAAATTTCAATTCAACAAATGGCCAATATCTAAAAGCAAAATGAGAAGAAAAAGCAACCAAATACTGAACACTCACTATGAACTAGACACTGTATAAGCACTTTGTTGTTATGTAAATGTGAAAAGAGACGATTCTACAAAAGATTTAGGACATGTTAAGTTCAGGGTCCTTGAACTTTAGTTTTTATTATCCCATGGGGTCACTTACCCAAGAGACTTTAAGTAACCATAATGCTGGAAGGGAAATAGTTATTGAACACTTAACTATGCCCAGGAATTGTATAACATGCTTTATCAGCAACCACATGTAGAGATTTTTCCCTGGGAAAACCAGGGATCTAAAGTACTCTCATTAGGAAGCTCCAAGAAGTTTGTTCAGGAAACTACTGCTTGGCTGCCCAACCTGGTCTCTCATCAAAATTAAACATTTTTGCTCTGCAAAAGACCTTGTTAAAAAGATGAAAAGACAAGCTACAAATTGGGAGAAAATATTAACAAACCCCATATCCCCAAAAGGATTAGTATCTAGAATATAAAGAAAGAAGTCTCAAAACTCAAGTGTTAAAAACTAAACATAAAAAAACAAAACCAAAAGAAATCCAACTAGATGGAAAATGGGCAAAAGACATGAACTGACATTTCACCAATGAGCATATTCCAGATGTAAAATAAGCATGGGAAAAGGTGTACAACTTCATTGGCCATCTGGGGAAATGTAAATTAAAACCATAATGAGCCCTGGCTGGTGTGGCTCAGGGGATTGAGTGTCAACCTGCAAACCAAAGGGTCTCTGGTCTGATTCTCAGTTAGGGCACATGCCTGGGTTCCACAACCCAGATCCCAAATTGGGGGTGGTAGCTGACTGATGTATCTCTCACACATCGATATTTCTCTCCCTTTTTTCCTCCCTCTATTCCTCTCTCTCTAAAAAAAATAAATAAAATATTTTTTAAAATACAATGAGCTGTCACTACACACCTATCAACCTATCAGAATAGCTAAAATAAAAATCAGTAGCAACAGTAAGTGTTGGTGACAATGCACAGAACTTGGATCCATCATACATTGTTGGTGGGAATGCAAAATGCTACAGCCACTCTGGAAAATAGCTTGGCAGTTTCTGAACTAAAACTAAACTAAACTAAACATAAAACTACAATATGATACAGCAATTGCACTCTGGGACTTTATCCCAGAGAAATGAAAACATATGTTCACACAAGAACCTCTACATGTATGTTCATAGCAGCTTTATTTGTAACAGCCAAAGAATGGAAACAACTCAAATGTCTGTCAATGTGGGAATGGTTAGACAAACCATGGTATATCCATACCATGGAATACAACACAGCAATTAAAAGGAAAGCAGTATCCATACAGGCAACAACCTGAATGAATCTCCAGGGATTTACCCTGAGTAAAGAAAGCCCATCTCCAAAGGTTACATACTATCTAATTCCATGTATATGATATTTTCAAAATAAAAAATATTTAGAGAGGGAGAACCGATTAGTGATTGGCAGGGGTTAAGGAGAGGTCAGGGGAGGGATAGACGTGGGTGTGGCAATGGATGGACAACAGGAATGAACCTTGTGGTGACGACAGTGCCCCAAATGCTGACCGCGTTGATGCCGGCACCCGGCCCGTGACAATGAACTGTGGTTTTTGTTACCATCAAGGGAAACTGGAAAAGTATACACAATCTCTCTCTCTCAACTATGTAAATGGACAATTATCTCAAAAATCCAACGTTCAATTTAAAGAAACAAATATGATGGTCTCAGTGCAACACCATGGAGAAAAGTACCGCATGGTTCAAGCATTCTTCCCTCACCCCCATACCGCTGCCTATATACCCCCGTTTCTACCCTTACGATTCACTCGCTTCTCAGGAGAATACAGGGGGCTACGTAGAAAGTCAAGATTAAAGGTGGTAAGAATTTTCATAACCCCCGACAGCCTTGGGCTCAGGGCAGCACCCACGTGCCCAGAATGGCTGCTCCCTGAGACGCCTTTACCTTTGATCTCGCGGTCCTGCTCCTCCACGCGGAGGCACACGGTCCGCGTCAGGCTCTCCACCACCGTGTGCATCAGGTCAAACTCGGCGACGTTGTACACGTGAGTGCTGTCCGGTTCCGAGGCGATCTCCTGCAGCTCGTTCTCGTCCGCGTTCTTCACCCCTTGCATTGAGGACCACAGGGAGGGCTGTGACATCCGCGGCCCGTTTGGCAAAGCGACAGCTGCCAGCCCCAGCCCCGCCTCTCCCCCGCAATCAGTGCATGGGCTCCTTTAACGAGGCACATCTCTCCCGCCTGATGCTTTTAAAAAGTCATCCCCAGGATCATTTTTAAATGGCTTGTCTTAATTTTTTCAGTAAGTCTTAACCAGAAGATACATGCATGAAACTAACTTTTATCTTGCATGGCTAGTGCAGAAGCAATAGTAATTAAACCAGTATTCTAAACTATCAAAGCTTTGGGTGTAAATTTCTATAAAAACATGTTTACTTACATTGAGAACTACTGCTAGAATAAAAATAATATATAATTAATAATATCATTAATGTTATTATAACGTAGTTTTAAGAGGCAGCTTGGGAAAAATTTTTGAATGTACTCAAATGCAAGTGGCTGGCTAGTAACCACTGCAAACAGGGAAGCTCTGGTCCTTCCACAACGGTTGTTGAATTTCCTCACTACAGGTCAAGTGCAATGCTAGGTGTTTGGAATACAGCAGGGAGCAGCATGATACAAAAAACCCTTGGCCCTCATGCAGCTTCTCCAGTATCTACCTTAGCAGTGGATGCTAACACTTAGTGTGCTTACTATGGCCGAAAGCACTTCAGTGTGTTCTGTAAACCAATACATTTAATCCTCAGAGCCAACCCTATGAGTCTGGCAAAGCTGTCTTTCTCATTTTCCAGATGAGTAAACTGATGCACAGAGAGATTAATTAACTTGCTTAAGGAAATACAACCAGGAAGGGTACGCCTGGGATTCTGCCCAGGCCATCTAGGCTCAAAGTCGTATGCTCTTAACCACTATATCATGCTACCTCTCAGAAGACTGCACTTTAAAATGAGTAAATATTGACCAGTGAAAGTAGAAATAGAAAAGGGGAGGCACAGGGTTGGGTTTTATGGGTGTGAAGGTAGATTTCTCTTCCCCAGGCTTCAACAAGCAAGAGGCATTTCTTTATAAATCCCTGACATTGCAATCATCTAGAAGTGTTAAAAGAGGTACTACGGAAGCAAGGAAGAGTGATTACCTGGGGCAACATGAACTACTTCTTAGATGCCTGGCAGAGCCACGCAATTTATCTTCCAACCTCAACATACTGAGTAACAAAGCCTTGTTTGTCTCTCAAGTATTTGCTTTAGGGGGTCATAGGATAATAAATACTACTGGTTTTCAGGTAATTTAAAAAAAAAAAAAAGGGTCCAAATCACATCTGAATTCACTCAACATTTTGTTTAAAAACTCATCCATTCATCATTAACAAGACCAGAAAATGGAGAGTAAACACATGAATTAATCCCCATTAGTTTACATCTTCTGAAGGGATTTCCTTTGTTGGAGGAAAGGATAGTAAAATAAAAAAATGAAAATTAAATCAATCTCTTTGATGTTTCTTGCCTGAAGGACTTCTACAACAGCTTCTAAAAGGCACAGTTGGATCTGGGTCCACAAACAAAATAACATTAGTGCATGCTGAAGCAATGAACTTAATAATCAGTAATGCTTTCCATGGCATTTAGTCCCAAATCATCTATTTCTCATTTCTCTCTCTCTCTCTTCCTCCCTGTCTCTATAGAGAGAGATGGCATCCCTCTCTCTACATGGCATGTGTGTGCGCGCGCACACACACACACACACACACTTCAAAAAAAATAGCAAAATGATTTGTTGCCAACAACATGGAAAGAGAGGAAATGGTCCTCATGACTTGGAAGGGGCTTGTTTGGTACAGATTTGGCCTTCCTCATCTCTGTGCCCCAGTACCCACCACAATGTCTGGCACACAGCAAATAAGCAAATAGTTCTTGAATGAAACATTCTGTAAACCACATTTTGATAGTAAATCTAGAAATGGGCCAGAGTAACTGTGTCTTGTTTTAAGGTTTGTTTTTGTTTCGTCGGTCTCTACTAAATAGAAGGCCTTCCTACTGCCAAAGAAAATGTAAATGTTTTAATTGAGAGCAAAGTTGCATCATCTAAGTTTTCTGCAGTTATTCTGTATGTGTGCCATATATATATATATATATATATATATATATATATATATCTCCTTTTCTGCAAGAATGGTACCTTAAAAAGAGCTTCAGAGAGATAATATTGCAAATCTGGAACTTTGTGATTTCTTTGAATAGCTGCAGGACCTTAATTACTTAAAAATACTAAATTAGTTTCTCTATATACTACCAGAAAAGAGATAGCCAATAAAGAGGTATTAAAGAGAAAAGTCCTGACTAAGAAAAGGTAACAAGTATAAACCTAACCATTGAACTTCATGCTTTCCACAGCATTTTATGTATGGCATCTCACCTAGAGATTCTCACACTGTAGGTTACATGACGGTTACCATCACTTCCATTTCAAATGGAAGGAAGTTGGGCTCAGATCACATGACTAATCATGATGAGAGCCAAGACTAGAAAATGTTCAGGTCTCTTGGCTTTCAGTGAAGTGCACTTTGCATTACATATTGTTTTCAGCGGCTGCGTGTCTGTCCCCATGGCTTAAACAGGGTTATAAATAACATACCTATGGCAAACAGTTCCACACCCGACTCACGAAGGTTTCTGGATGGTGGAATAACATCATCCTGGGACTTCCCGTCTGTGATTAAAATGCCAATTTTGGATACTCCAGTCCTTGCTCCTGCTTCTGGCTTAAAGCTATTTTCAAAAATGTAGTTCAAAGCAAGACCTGGGAGAAAACAAGGAAAAATAAACACAAACTAACCACCTCTAATAAAAGGCCTTCCAATTCTGCAAAATGTAACCATAAGATGAGTAACTTATTGAACTAAAGGGATTTTTATTAGACGCAAACTTTCATCTACATTTTTACAACAACCTATTCCTTGACAGATCGAATGAAAAACTAAAATCCACCAGAAGAGACGTAATAAAAGTAATTGAATATTCCATCATTTTAGAAACTAGCCTTTGTAAAGAACACTGAATTCACAGTCAATGGACAAAGACAGATCTATGTACAAGAAAATCTAAACCTTCACAATTTAGGATAAAACAAGAATGCCCACACAATATTGACTGTTCCAAATATCATCACTACAACTTCAGTTTTGCTAATTATGGCCTAAAGAACCACGAATTCTTTCTATCTCTTTCTTTTAGAGGTAGTGGGGGCAGATCTAAAAGAATATTTAACTCGTGCCTTTTGAGTGTGACACTTTTCACCAAGAAAGAAATCAGAAATGCCGCAATATTGTTACAGGACTTGTATTAAGTAATTTTTTGGGTGTCTTAACAAAAGAGCCCATGACATTATGCCTCAAATTGGCAAAGCAATTGTCAGGATTTCAGTGGGGTCCTTAGAAGTCTATGGCAGCATCTATATGTTTTCATTTAGCATCTATACTGTATGCCTGGGGGAGAACATTAGCATGCAGTAAGGTTAAAACCTGAGACAATCCCTGGGGTTGGATAATTATCCCCTAAATAGTCTTACATTCTTGATTTATGAAAAACATCAGTGAGCCAAAGATCCGCAAGTATTTTCATACTAACTACTGATGGCAGAATAAGGGCCAAGAAAATACCTTTCTGGAATATAAGGTAGGATTTGTGTGTGTTTCATGAACAGGATGGCTGGAAGGGAAAATGGGTGAAAAAAGAAGGAGGAAAAGGATTCGCAAAGGTTAAGACAGCTATGGAACGCGGTCCGCCTCCGAGACTGCTCCGTTTTCTTCTGGGTCAACCAGACCCTTCCTGGGATGTTATATTTGTATGGAATGAGATGTCTGGGTTGTAACTCTTAAAGCTGAGTTAGAGAAAAGAGGCATCGAAGAACTTTAGATGATAGTTTGGTTTAAAAAATATGCTAAGTCTTACAAAGAGACAAATTGAAAAAATAAAACTGTTTTTCAGCAAATAGGTTGCTAAAAATGTGGACTGAACAAAACATACCTGTCAACGTATTTCCTCCCTTGTACGGTAGATTTCGGACAGCTTCGATCACCTCATCTTTTGTGCTAAAGGCATTCAAGTGCCATTCTATTCTGGGGTCACCGCTATACTGTGCAAGACCTGGAAAAGAAAGATAAGAAAGTCCACTCAGAAATGAGGGGTTACTCAAAGGTCTAGTGGACTCCTTGAGGAACCAGGATGATGAACTGCTTCTTTCTTGAAACACTTTTTTCTCTGACTCACTATGCACTTTCAAGAAGGATTCCTGAAGGGCAAGTGGGAGAGAAGGGATTTCTGGCATCAATTTAGGGAATTAATTGGGAGGATTACCTGGGAGCTGAGAAAATGTATCTATCATCTAGCCATCTACAAGTGACTACCTAATGAGGTACTTAGCATGTTTTTTAAAAGTCTGATTATGTTTATAAATAGGTCTAGATTTATATGTTGGTTTTTATTCCCGAAGGAAGGAGTTTCCTTAATGGTTATTTAAAAGTCAAACTAGGAGTTTTGTTGTTTTTTAACTCAGCTAGACTTAATTTGGCAAAGATTATCTTGTACTATGAAACTACTTCCAATTTTCACTTATTTTTTAGTTTACTCTTTCAATAGATTAAGCTGTTTCCTTTAAAAATAAAACTTTCACCTGAAAAATTCTTAAGCCAACTCTAATTTTAAAATTTTTATTATTATTATTTATTATTAGGTAGCGAAGATTTTGACTTCCAAAAAATTAAAATATGTTCAATAATTAATTGAATAACAGTACCATAGCAAAATTAGCAGGAATAAATATTTATCGATCCAAACTTGCACTTTGGGGAACACCACTATAGTTGATCCTGTAATTTTGAAAGCCACTTTGTAGAATTTTTTTGGAATTTCTTAAGAAGCTTCCCCAAAGTTTTACAGTGACAGCTGACTACTATTAATAATAGAAGTGTACCAATTCGAGTCTTCTCTGAGCCCACATCAAATGCTGTAACCAGGTTTTCCAAGAAAAGCCGAACCAGCCTGAAGTTGAATCTTCCAATACTCCATGAACCATCAACCAGGATTACAATATCAGCAATGGCTGGAGTTTCACAGAAAAATTTCACTTCTGCAAAGGACAAACCAGAAAAGCACCGGTGTTACTGCTGGAACTTTGAAAAGAATGAGTCTATTTTAGTGTCTGTCAAATAACTCAGTGCTAAGAATACAATCAAGTTCCCACTAAGGCAACCATATTTTTACAACTCTTCCCTTCAATGCATTTGCACTAGGGAAAATGATGGTAACTGCTGGTGGCAGAGACAGCATCCTGGAAATAGTTAGCAAAACACGGGCAGGTTCACACCATCCTGGCAACTCGAGCCTTCGGCATATTTTAGAAAGTAATGTCTGTGCAAAATCCTGCAGCTCTGGGTTTGAGCCGGTAGATTCTTTCCAGGAAAGATCTTAGCAACACCAGCATGAGCAGGTAGGCAAAGGCGGGGAAGATGGCTAGGAAGCAGGGCAGCTCCCTGTTGTGATTAAAAAGCTACAGGAAGTGGCAGGAGAAGAGAAGGAAGGGCCTCCTGAGTTCAAGGAAATGTCAAGACCACGCGTTTAGTCTAAGAGAGGCATGCTGAGGTTTGCTAAAGTAGAAAGGGTTTGTGGAAGAAGAAAATTGGAAAGGGCCCAAGAGTGTCTCCAAATTCAAATTCTTGTGCTCACAGCAGTATCCTCCTCTTATCTGCTGGGGAAACATTCTGAGACTCCCAGTGGATGCCTGAAATCACACATAGTATATGTGTACGTATCTGTATTTATCTATGTATACACATATTTATAAAAAATATTTTTTTCCTGTACATACACACCTGTGATAAAGTTTTTGATTTCTCTTTGGCATAACCTGGTTTCTTAAATGCTGGTATTGCTACTCTTGTTTTTTCAAGCCATTATTAAGTCCAATAAAGGTGACTCGAACACAAGCACTGCGATACCGTGACAGTGGATCTGATAACCTAGGTGACTGCTAAGTCACTTACAGGTGGGACGTGTGGCTATAGAGTGGTTATGCTGGACAAAGGGGTGGTCAGTGGCCTAAGCAGGTGGATCAAGATGGTGCAGGATGGTGGGGGATTTCAGTCTGTTACTCGAAATGGTGTTCAATTTAAAATTTATGAATTGTTTATTTCTGGAATTTTCCATTTAATGTTTTTGGGGCCATGGTTGACCACAGGTAACTGAAACCATGGAAAACGAAACAGTCTATAAGCGGGACTACTCTATTTTGTCTACATGGCAATAAAATTTTGTTCCTTAAAATCATTTAAGGAACTGATTTTTTTTTTAATGGCTCAAGTAGGTCTCAGAATAAGGACCTAGAACAGGAAGCCTGGGGCCTGGGAAGTCCTAGCCACCAGTGATTGGGGGGCCAAGGGGAAACTGCTGTCTTCGCAACAAAGGAGAAGGTTGTCTGATATGTATGGTAGGTCTGTGCTTGACTAGGCGAAAACCACCGCTTACATTCTCACAGAGCCAAGAAGCTAAAATATTCTTTTTTAAAAAAGAACATTATTTTATTTATTTACTTTCAGAGAGAGGGGAAGGGAGGGAAAAATAGAGAGAGAGAAACGTCAATGTGCAAGAGATTTAGTTGCCTCTCACATGCCCGCAACTGGGGACCTGACCTGCAACCCAGGCGTGTGCCCTGACTGGGAACTGAACTGGAATCCTCTTGGTTTGTAGGCCAGCACTCAGTCCACTGAGCCCCACCAGCCAGAACTAAAATATTCTTAATGTGCTTAAAAACCCTTAAAAATGTCATGGTATTGTTAGTAACTTCAGTAGCGTTCCTTTGTACTGTAGTTTGCGCTTCCAAAAAAAACCCTGCTTAACTTTGCTGAATTTTCATATTAGGACTGGAGATCATGAATTGTGTGTGTGTGTGTGTGTGTGTGTGTGTGTGTGTGGGCGCACGTGTGTGTGTGTTTCTTCATATCTTGTCAGCTTCTTGAAATTGCTCAACAAATCCCTAGTTTGTTTTCTAACATTAAAATGACAATAAAACAATATTTGAAATATAATTTAGGTAATGAAAAAAACCAAAATATAAAAGTATTCATAAGTAAATATATTTTTTCCTAGGGGGAAAATAGTTGAATTACTATGGTTGGCCATGAAATTTAATATATATCGCTGCACCTAGCAGGCCAAATTTTGCTAAAAGGATCTTGGTTTTCTTCCCCCAGACATAAATATGTATAGGATATCTAATCCTTTTACCAGATGGGGAAAAATGTATTTGCCAATGAAATACTCAGATACACATATGAAAGCTATATAGTACAGCTTAATCCAAATTTGGTATATTACATTTAGGGACACCAAATTTCTCTTCTTTAATAACCAAATACAAAGCCACCACCATCTAGGGATTCAATTCTACTGTACCAGACTGAAATATTCTAAAACAGAGTACTGCGAGAAATCCTGGGACAGAAATTTAAAACTGAGGTCCTTTGATGCTTTAAGAATCCAGTTCTCTCATTTTTAATGGGAAAACTTGCTCAAATGGAGAGTATTTTCCTTTCTTGTCCAAAATTATTGGGAATGTTATTTCACTTTTGTGTTTAGTTATAGCGAAGATAAGGTTTTAGAAAGGGAATGACCTCTCCTTACATAGAAGAGGACTATGAAAACAGGTGTTTTCTATTTAAAAATGTTTCCAATAGAAATGTCCTATTTAGATCATTCAAGCCATTTTGACCTGGCGATAAAGTTCAATATAATTCATTAACCACTGTCACCCCAGTGGATTCAATAAAAAGGAAAAAATAAATTCTAATAACTCCAAAGTGAGATATAAAATTAATTGACTATAAGTTAGAACATTGACAAAAACCTTAAGAAAAAAATTTTTTTTAAAGTTCCAATTAGGAGAAGACATGTACAAGATAAACATTTAGAAAAGAATCAGTTGAAGAATATATTTAAAAAAAAAAATAAATAGAAACTTCAGAGAACAAGAAATATATATACCAAACAAATGAATGAAGAGAATTTTAACTACATTGGTGACTGCATTAACAAAATAAATTAAGGTCACAATGATATACAATTTGTGCTCATTCGACAGGAAAAAAATAAAAAAAAATTTATACCATTTATAAGTGCTCCAAAGATAATGAAATATTTAGGTATATACTTAAAACATCAGCAGGATCCATGTGCTGAAATTTAAACTATTGATAAAAGAAATCAAAGAAGACATAAATAAATGAATAAATGGAGAGATTTGCCATGCTCGTGGATTAGAAGACTAAACATAGTAGAGATAACAATTACCCCCAAGTTTGTCTATAGATTTAATGTGATTCCTACCAGATGTCAGAAAGGGTTTTGTGTTGTGTTTTTTTTTTTAAGATATAGACAAGCTTATTTTAAAATGTTTATGGGAAGGCACAGACCCTAGAATAGCTAAAACAATCATGACAAAGAAGAATAAAGTGGAAGGAATTATTTTACCAGATATATAGCTTACTAACTGTACAGGTATAGTAATCAGTATAGTCTGGTATTTCAGAGGGATAGGCACATAAATCAATGGAAAAGAACAGAAAAGCCAAAAATGGACCCATGCAAATATGTTCAACTATATGATTTAAAATCTAAATATAATTTCAGACAAATGTGCAAAAATGCTTCAACAGATGGTGCTGGAGTAATTGAATATCCATGGAAACAAACAAACAAACAAACTTGACCAAACCCTCCTACCCTATAGCAGGATTAATTCAAAGTGGGTCATTAACTTAAATGTAAAAAGTAAAACTATGAAAGTTTAAGAAAAAAATAGGAGAAAATGTTTGGAAGGAAGAGCTAGACAGTGAGTTCCTAGAGTTGGCACCAAAGTACAAACCCATAAACAAAAACGGTGATAAATTTGACTTGACCGAAACAAAATAGTTTTGCTCTGTAAAAGCTCATATGAAGAAGATGGAAAGACAAGCTAAAAACTGGGGAAAAGATTTGCAAACCACACACTCAACAAGGGATTTGTACATAGAATACACAAAGAACTCTCAAACTCACTAGTAAATAACCAAACAATTCAAATAGAAAATGGGTAGAAGACTCGAACAGCTCTTTCATCAGAGTGTATACAGATGGCAAACGAGCACATAAAAAGATGTTCAACATCCTTAACTATCAGGAAAACGTAAATTAAAACCACAATGAATTTTAACTGTGCCCACCTATCAAAATAGCTAAAATAAAACATAATGAAGGTAACAACAAATGCTGGCAAGTATGTGTAGAAACTGGGTCACTCACACATGGCTCATGGGAATATAAAATGGTATAACCACTCTGAAAATAGTCTGGCAGTTTCTTTTAAGTGTATACATAAAATCACCATACAAACCAAACAATTGCACTCCTGGACATTGATTACAGAGAAATAAAAACTTACATTCATACACAAAAGAATGTACACAAATGCTCAGAACAGTTTTATTCATAATAGTTAATAAATTAAATTAGTCCAGATGCCTGTCAACAGGTTAATGGTCAAACAAACTGTGATACATTCATACCATGTATATTCAAATGTTATTTAAAAAATAAGAGCTCAGATTCAGCACTGATGACAAATAATATCTCCTTCCACTGGCAAATATATTACCATTTTGACATTCTTAAATGGAGAGAGACCAATCAGAAAGAAAGCATTAAGCACTTAAAATGAGTTAGGGAACCCAGTGGTGAAAAACCAGCCACAGCTGGGAGCCCAGGTGACTGATGAGTAAAACTCTGCAGCCAAATGTAATTTAAAACCACATTTAAAGAGGGTAAGTACATATGCTTTTATTGTTAATAAAGTATTCATAAGCAATTGTTTTAAATAAAATAAATTGTTTGACCTCAGCATTATATTTATAGTTAAAGCAAAGAAGCAGAGAAAATTACTTCTTGAGATGGATTTTAATTCAGCTCTTGGCTTCACACGGTCTTTATCTAAAGTATAAATCTGAAAATATAGTGTTAAAAAAAAAAAAAAGCTAAGCAGCTGATTGCAGAGGAAAGCACCCAACAGACAGGCTAGATCACAAACTTAACAGCACTGAC